TAATATAGAATACTTACAGAAACGTGTACTCAGAGGGATAAATAATACTCACTATTGCTCACATACGGACCCTTTTTTCGAAAGACAAAATTTTAAAAGTTACAGATTTATACGTTTCAAATCTCGGCATTTTCATGTTTCAGTTGTCACGCCAAGAACTCCCATTAGCCATAATTAAACTCTTTACAAAAAATGACGCTATACCAGGCGCGGATCTAGGATTTATTAGGGGGGGGACCCAAATTTGAAATTATGCGAGCCAAATATTGGAACGTAATGGTGACACCGGCAGTGGCAAAAACTTTTTTTTTTGGGGGGGGGGGGGGGGTAGACAACAAAATCCCATCACCCCATCACCCCCTGAACGTTTCTCGGCGGGGGTCAAGGGGTGGAACCCCCAGAGGCTCAGGGGTTTTATACATTAAATTACCGTCAGATGAGCATATTTTGATACCTTATTTGTGACACTGGCAGGACACAAATTGGTGTTGGGTGTCGGGTTTTATATCGTCAGATGAGCAAATTTTTATACCTTATTTGTGACACTGGTAGGTCACGAATTGGCGTGGGGTCCAGAGGGCGGAGCCTCCGGAAGCTCAGGGGTTTTGAGCAATAAATTACGGTCAGATGAGCATATTTTGATACCTTTTTTGTGACACTGGCAGGACACAAATTAGTGTGGGGTCCAGGGGCGGAGCCCCTAGAAGCTCAGGGGCTTTATACATTAAATTATCGTCAGATGAGCATATTTTATACCTTATTTGTGACACTGGCAGGTCACGAATTGGCGTGGGGTCCGGAGGGCGGAGCCCCCGGAAGCTCAGGGGTTTTATACATCAAATTATCGTCAGATGAGCATAATTTTATACCTTATTTGTGACACTGGCAGGTCACAAATTGGCGTGGGGTCCAGGAGGCGGAGCCCACGTAGGCTTAGGGGTGTCAGGCAATATATTACGGTCAGATAAGCATTTAGGGGCCCGTCTTAGGGCTATAGGTAGGGTTCGGGGGGCAGAGCCCCGGAAACTCACGGCTTTAGGCATTTAATTACGTCAGATGAGCATTCCTTATTTGTGACTTTGGCAGGTCACTAATTGGCGTGGGGTCCAGGGGGCAGAGCCCCCAGAAGCTCAGGGGTTTAGGCATTTTATAAAAGTCATACAAGCATGCAGGGGCGCGCCTTAGAGCCCCTGGTGCGGTCGAGGGGGTGGAGTCCCGGAAACTGAGGGGTTTTACGGTCAGATAAACATATTTTGATACACTGGCAGGACACTAATTGGCGTGTGGTCTAGGGGGCCCGAGATCCCAGAAGCTCATGGGTTTTAAGCATTAAATTACCGTCAGATTAGCATCCAGCCATTCACCTTAGAGCCCTAGGTGGGGTCCAGGGGGCAGAGCCACCGGAAATCAAGGGGTTTTAGGCATTTAATTACTGTCAGATGAGCACATTTTGATACCTTATGTGTGGCACTGGTGGGCCACTAATCGGTGTGGGGTCTAGAAGCTCAGGGGTTTTAAGCATTAAATTACCGTCAGATTAGCATCCAGCCGTCCGCCTTAGGGCCCTAGGTGGGGTCCAAGGGGCAGAGCCACTGGAAGTCAAGGGGTTTTAGGCATTTAATTACGGTCAGATGAGCATATTTTGATACTTTATTTGTGGCACTGGTAGGTCACTAATTGGTGTGGGGTCCAGGGGGATTTAGGAATTGGTGTGGGGTCCAGGGGGCAGGCAGAGCCCCAGGAGCTTAGGGGGTTTTAGGCATTAAATTACCGTCAGATGAACATCCAGGTGCCTGACTTTGGACCCTAGGTGAAATCCAGGAGGCAGAGCCCCCGGAAGCTCAGGGGTTTTAAGGCATTTAATCAAGGTCAGATGAGCATTTTTTTAATGCTGTGTAGATGTCTTTATTGTTCACGAATATCATTTTTGTAAAATGCTATGTTTTGTTCATGTATTGTAGTTTTTCATGTGAAATAAAAGAAACTAAACTGAACTGAAACAGAAACTGAATTCAGACAAAAATTAAGGCAAAAAAAATAGCGCCGAATCAACAACCAGCCCCCCCCCCCCCCCCACCTTGCGCCAGGGGGAGGGGCCCGTCTTCTTTTTTTAATTAAAACACGGTTAAATTGACCAGTTTTGGGGGCCAGGGGAGGGGGCCCGGGCCTCCTGCCCTAGATCCGCCACTGGTATTTGACCTAAAACTTGTACGATGGCCATCTACTGGCTTACCAGTTTTTAGTGATACGTTATTTGCCATATATGTGATTTTCTTTGAACAGGCACTTAAAGGTTATTCTGTGGATTGAAACGAAGTCCTGTGGAAGCTTAGATAAACAACAAAGCAATGAAGCATGAACCAGGATTTAAGACCATATTCGGTGCATCAGCCCAAACTTGCAGGTACAAGGCGATTTTGATGGCGCTTTTTAAATACCCTGGTGTTCAATCATCCGTCACAGAAAAGACAGGGTAGAGAGAGAGAGAAAGAAAAAGCCTCTGTACCATGAAATAGTTTTCAATGTCATACGAATAATGGATTTTTAATTATATAAATGATATGCTATTAAAGTTGAATATACTTTTTTGTTTAAAGTATACGTACTGTAATCTGTGGTGAACGATTTTAAAATTACTGTTCAATCGTTTGGCATTGGCAAATATTTCTTCCTGAGGCTAGGGTGATGGGCGTGATTTGATTATTGATATGGAATGTATTTCATTTGAATGAAGAAGTCATGCCATGCATAATAAATATGACGACTTTTTTATTTGGCTAAATGGCTTTCCAATAATACGAGTAGTATGATGTATTTAATTAGGAATAAAACTAGAGTAATAATTTCCAAAGCTCTTTGAAAGCGCATAGAGATGTTATTTCATAACGTATTATGCGCCATATACAAGAACTGAATATTATTATTATATTCTGTTCGACACATCATCAACCAACAGTTGTGATAATGCAGTATGGCAGGTCAATTTGACACAACCTTGTTGGTCTGAAGATCCTCAAAAGTTAAGGTTTGAACGAATATTAGGGAAATTGTAAGTATTGTTTTTTTTTGCGCAGTGTTCTCTTGTTACAGTAACCCAGCAAATAATTATTCCATTACTCTCAAATTATTTTTTGAATGAGAATAAAACTATCATTAATTTAGAAATAGTTCACTGAATGAGTTGAGTTATAGCTAGAATTTAAGTTATTTACATGTTTCATTTCACTGATCGAGTTTATCTCTTTTTCCAGTATATCCTTATAGTACCATACATTCTCTCTCTGTACCCCTCCCCTCTCTTTTTGACTTTCTCCTGTCTGTAATTATCTTTATCTTTTTTAACACTGGACAGAAATTAAAAATTGCGTCTTCTTAATGTAAACAGGTTGAATAGAATAATTGTATTCAGCATTTACCAAACACTTATTTCTCCTAACTCCTTCTATCATCTTTCCTTATGCTATTCTTCCTTCTATCATTTTCTCTTTTTGTCATTATGTTATTCTTGTTTTCCCTTTACCATCTTCTCTGCTATATTTCCATATCTTGTTCTTTATCTTTACCATTCTATCATCTTCTCGTTCTATCTTTCCTTATTTTACACCTTATCCTGTCCTCTTGTTTTTCTACCTTTCCTCATGTGATTCTCTGTTTTACCTTCTATCACTTGCTTTTTCTCTTTCCTTATGTTATTCTGTTTCTCCTTCCAATATCTTCTCTTCTATCTTTCCCTATTTCATAAATCTACTTCCTTTTCTATGATTCTTTAATTCCTTGTTTTTATCCTATCTTCTTCTTTTCCTACCTTTCCTTATAGTATTCTTTTTTTTCATTCTACCATCTTGTATAGTATCTTTGCTCATGTTATTCTTTGTTTTTATCATTTCCTCTATCTTTCTTCATGGTATTCTTGTGCTGCAACAGATGACTGAGCAGCCCTCTTTTCAGAAAGGATTGTCAAAAACCTCTTTTCAAGTTAGGGCTGAAGAAATAAATGTGGGTCAAAAGCTCTAATTATGCAGTATTTTAATTCAGTCTGAACATTTTTTGTTTGCATTGATCATGTTGATTTTGTGCATTGGGAGAGAAAAGGTGACAATGACTCAGGTAAAAGCTCATTTACAAGCACAATTTTCACGATATTTTTGTTGGGTTATTAAAAAAACATAGTTTACTTGGGATGCTATCTATTTTCTTGTCAGTTTACTGTCAATATCTTTGGTAGTTATGAACATGACTGTGTTCTTTCTAGCATTTACTTTGGGGTTCGTAAACCTCCGAGTTTTCATGTGCTATTCGAGACAAATACCTTTCATATACACCTTACACATCACCTCCTGAACATTAGAACATTAGAGAGCAGAGAGATTTGAGATATCATGGGATTAGTAGTAAGTAGGCTATTTGAATTAACTCAAGGTTATCTTGTGGATTAAACCAAGGTTCAATGAAAGTTAACATACATTGGATCACTTTAAATAATGAAGAACTTAAGCATGAAACTTGACACTTAAAACAAAACTTAACTTTTCAAATGATTTAAATCCTATCTGCACTAGTTTGGCCAGGAGGGATATTAGACCTCTCTGCAAGGTTACTGACAGGTGGTTATCTCATCAAATCAGCTCTCAATTAACATAAGAAAGGAGGATCATGAGGGACCGACGGTCACCGATTAGGCATTGTTTGTTATATAGAGGGCGCAAGTAGCTATAAGTAGTGCAGTGGGGCTTTAAGAACACATGAATATGGCCTGACCCACATTCAGTGCATCTGATCAACCTGGTGCTCAGTTATCTGTGGCAGAAAAATATATGAATAGGATCCTAGTATCATCAGACAGAAGGAAGACTAATCTTAATTTGTCATAGATCAAATGTCAAGGTCTTATTAATCATAAGCTACCAAAGTTGAGTAACTTGTTTTGTAACGCACTCTATTATATGTACTAAAAATGTAGTTCACAACATCATATAGGATACACATGAAGAGGAGCATGGTTTTGACTTCACATGTTCATTTTTTATTATGTATTATTATGTATATTTTGAAATTCTACTTATATTCAACCCAAGACATTAATGTTCTGATGTACAACTATATATACATGCACACACATCATCCTTTTCTTTCCCTAGGACTGAAAAATCACACACCTCTTTGATTCATTAAAAACAAACTCTAGCTCAGATAAATATTTGAATGAAATACAATAATTAATTACTGTTTTGATTTAGTCCACATTCAATATGACCTTGCCAAAAGTATGCATGACTTCACTCAAAACAAGATAGTTTTGTTCTGGTAATAATGAAAAAATATATATATACCACCAAACCCATCAAAAATTACATAAATTAAAATGAATGCTTGAAAGCTACATATGAATATCTGTCAAATAGATTTGATAGAAAAATATTATATATAAAACAGATGGAGGAGTACAGGTATACAATGCCTATAGTAGGCATATCTCATAGATTGGTGCTTGTAAGTGCTTTTAAAATTATTTCTATGATTACAAAAACCATATAAATAACATCCTTCCTTCACTATGTATTTAAGAATTATCTTGGTTCAGAGTAGAATACAGACAGTTTCTTTGAAAGTACAGTTCCATTATCAACACCTAATAATTAACTTGATATACATGGTAGTAAAATATATAACATTAACAATTTGAAACAAGGAATACCACACCTGCATTATTATGGATGAACAAAAATTAAATTTAAAAGAGCACATTAGTATATTGTATATGGTCTAATATAATCATTTTCAACCTGAGATTACAGTGTAATGTAAATGGTATTAGGTGTGCATTACGAAATGCAATGACACTGGAAGCATTTATGTAAATTACGGTATGATGAAATAGACAGGAAAACTTGAATAAGTTCAAGCATTTAGCACAAGATACTCTCTATAAATACCCAATATAAAAAAACATATCCTCACTTGACAATCTCAGCCTTCTGAAAAAATAAATAAATCCATATTAGAACAAAAACAAAAGCGAATCTGAAACAAACTAAAAAGGCATCATTAGGAAGTTGACAAATTTATCTTCTAATTCTGAATACACTCCTAAAGTTGTACATTCATATACTTGACTGCATAGCATATGAGCATAGTCTTGAAAGGGAAGCCCACCCTACTATCAAGTTATTCATAAGAGAAGCAGGAATAAACGAGAGAAACCAAATGGGGGAATATTTGAGGAATATCTGATGAAAATAAGAAAGTTATGAATTTTAAAAGTTATAATCGATCAAACAAAGACTACTCCGTTACATACTTTTGAGTAATTCTCTTATTTACTCAAGTACATGTTTCATAACTCTGTAAATTACACACTGTAACATACATTCCCTACATCTGTAAGGAAATAGAAGAACATTGTGAAAGTTAGTAGACACAACAAAAACCACCACCTACAAAAAAAGTTGGTTCAAAGTCATTCATTTTAAGTTTTATTACTATTATCCGTCACCTTGTTACTAACCAGCCTAGACATGAAATCCTTTATATTAAAATGAAAATAACATAGGCTTCAAATTGTTTTCATGATGTATTTTACAATTAATTTGATATAGATAACTGTAAGATATTTCAAGGCTGTAACTTCAGGTGATTAAAATATTTGTTTTGAATTCATGTCTCCTAAAAGACAATCATATTCAATACGATGCCTGTAAAAAATGGTCTAACATCTTAGTAGACAATCAAAATAGACAATAAAGTTTACCACAAGACTGCCAGTTTACTTTTTATACAAAAGATAGATGTGTTTTCATTGATTAATTTCCAAGATTTGTTTTTCCACTTTTACAAACGCACGATAAGTAGAAAACATGAGTCATGTTAAATCAAAAGTAGTTGCTAGGTCAGTATATGTTGTCCATAGATGCTGTAAACTCAAATAACTTTTGTAAGAGGATAGTATTCATTAAAAAAATGTGGAAAAATCATAACATAAGCTTCATGAAGTATGTTAGAGTACTGTTGATATTGGGTCCTTATAGAAAAAACATATATTCTATAAAAACTTTGATTAATGATCTGATTACACTAGATAAGTGCTATTGAAAGAATTTTCATCCAGGTTTTCATTACTTTTAGAGAATATAAAGCAATATATGTTTTAGTATAAGACTATGGTAATGTAAATTTCTGGGAATCTTGCGAAAAAATCAATTGACCATGATTATTTTGAAAAGAAAACTGAACAGCTCAGCACTAACAATGTTACGTTAATTGGATCACTTTTGTTTGAAACCAATCGAAATGAGTATTTAGGTGCTATTAATTTTAAGTATTCAGTCCAAATATTCTGATTTCCCTTTTAGCAACAGATGTTTTTTTTTGCTGTAGATCATATGATGGGTTTTTCACTATCATGTCTATAACGTTTATATTGCAATGGCATGGTGTTACATTTTTGAGGTGATGATAATTGACTGGATGTAAATCTGCAAAAAGAAAAATATCATGGTGTTTGCATAAGAAAGACAACATACGTCCAAAAGCCAGGAAGCAACTGACATTTAAAAACTAAACTGCAGAGCAGTTAGGAGTAATTTGATCAATTTCAGTTGAACCGTTTCAATTGTTTGCATAAAGAACCTCCCAAAGTCATTTGTCAGATAATGATACTGACAGACGTGAAAAGAGCAAGCAAGGTTCTAAAAGTAAAAAAACTCAACCTCTTTGTACAAATATAACATTTTAGCACTTAACTACATAAACCACAACATAAACATACAATAACTCTCTATATATACTGAGTTTAAGGTAAACTTGATCACTGAATACCATTTCACAAAAAATTTGAATTGCAAAGTTTATGTCACCTTAGAAGAAAAAAATATCATAAGAACCAGCAATAGTCCAATTTGTGCAGAACTAGAACATATCCACCAAAATTAATAAAGTCATATTTTTCTACTTTTTTCTTTTCTACTCCATAGTACTTACATAGCACTTCATTTATCTATTACTCGTTCTTAATCCTTCATGCCTTTTTAACTTTCATTCAAATGATGTACCTAATTGTAAAATATCAAACTCATAAAATCTTGTCACTATTGATAATAAACAACAGTCTGTCCTCCTTGTCTACATATTAATGGTGGCTTCTTATATAGCTCCTGATACTTCAACATTATTACCTCAGTCATAGCTGTTGGTCAAATACTAATACATTCACATATGTACATACGTACACATCTACATCTATATCTTGAGAGTAATTTTCTATCTCTTAAAAAAATTTAAATACATGTATCAAAATTCAACACAGCATTTATTATAATCTAAATCAAATATCTTTTTATGACAACTATTGCTCCATCAAGAGCACCTTATTGAGATATCACTCTGCCAGGTTAAACAGGTATGGTCAAGTGGATGTTGCTTTCTTTGCCTTTCTGCATGGTCACTTGCTTGCCATCCGTGCAATTTTGCACAAAACAAAAGGCAACAATTGACGGATTGACGGATTCCTTTGTGCAACACGATGGCTTTGCAAAGTTACCCATTTCCAATCGTGATTACGGTAGCTCCAACAATCCTTATAACACTGGCATAGACTAATCTTGAATTGGAAACAGTTAAATAATCTTGAAGCCTTGGTACATGACATGTATATCTATCCCATGATGAATACAATGTGGCACAGGGAAATTATTTGGGTGGCATATAATGATTTAATTTGCATAGTAATCAAATATGTCTTCAGCCTTTCATGGTCTGTGTGACTGAAATAAGAATTATGGTCTAAAATTTGTATCTTGGAAATAGGTCAAAGTCCTCTACCAAGGCAATTATCTGCACTTGACATCCTTTACCCATGAGATAATAGAAAGATATTGAGATTACTGTATTACCCCCTCATGATTAACAATTGAAGTCATAACCATGGTGATGATAATCATCTCTTACTCTGATCAAGGTGTTCCAAAAGATATTTGCATGATATAACCTTATATAAATAATAATAATAATAATGGGTTCTTGTATAGCGCTCATGTCTGTCAGACTTGACACTCATGGTGCTCCCGATTATTATTCTCATAATCTTTATCACTAAGTGACATTTTTCATGTTATTCTTAAGACGTAGCTATTGCAAAAAAAAAAAAAAAATTGAATACAAAAATAAATAGTAATGCTTCCAGCAAAGAGAGAGGGGGAAAGCCATTTTGGTTTTAATATAGAGGGTTTGATTTTAAGTCTTATAATTAGAAAATAGGGATGAAAAGATCAAAAGAAATCATGGAAGAAGATGTGCAGAGAATGAAAATCTATAAATACTACATTACACATGTGAAAGCTGAACAGTGTCTCATAAATATTACTGTGACTATCATAGGAAAGACTGAGAAGGATACAGTAGAAAGTCATCAAGGTTTATGAAAGATATTTCCCTTTCGGATTCTCCTTGTCAATTCTTGTCTCATGAGCTTTCGTTCTTGAGTCACTCCTTTGAGCATTCCACTGTTCTCCTGTGCTCTACGGGATAGGTATGGAATCACATCATTCACAGGGCCATAGGGAACATACTTGTACACTGCATACCCCATCTCACCTGCAAATAATACAAATCAACATCAAAATTATGGGGTTTTTTTTAATTATAAGCAGTAGTGGCGTACAACAAAAGAGAGATACAAAGTGAGCACTTAATTATTTTTTTCTTCTTTTTTGCTCCCGGAAATGTGAAAATTGTGCCGACCAATTATTTCTCTCAGTTGGTGGGGGTTGGGCATTTTCATTTTTTGTTTAAAATAGGTAAACATTCTTTTTTTTTAAACCGTATTTTGGCCAGTCTCGTCGCCCTCCCCCCAGATGCTGGTGCCCTTTCAATGTCGGGACCCATGATAGAACAGTAATGTCTCATAAAATTTAAGCGGATGACTCAAGTCTTCTCAAGATATAGAATTTATTCTCTTCATTTCTTTTTCTTTTTTTCTTCATCTCTTTCTTCGGGGGTTAATCGGTAAATTGTTATCTCATTCACTCTTCATTCTTGAACACAACACGACAGATCAATTGGCATCTCTTCACAAGAATTTCTTGAAGAGCCTCAGAGAACCGACAATGCAGTACCATCTACTTCATACTATTAATTTCTAATTATTGTTGTGGTTTTTTAATAACCCACAGATAAACATTCTGTCCGTTTTTGTTGCATTATGATAACAAAATGTTGTTAGATGCTACATATTTGACAATGAAAATAAGCTCCAAAATCTACAAAATAATATCAAAGGGAAAATTGGAAATAAATGTATTTCACTTAAAACTGGCATTTTTTTCCTTCAATATAATTTCTAGTCACTCATCTTTATTCTGGATCAATCATTTTCTGTTGAAATGGTGCAGCATTACAAGAAATACATGTGATGCCAATTTGTTTATATGAACTGCTGACTCTGTAAATTTAGTTTGTGGCTTTATAAGTTTTATTTGAATAAGATTCTGAATGCTCTGAAACTTACCAAGAGGAAAGGAGACCTGGTCACACATTCCTAGGAGTTGACCGAAGTAGACCAATCTATCTTTAGGACCAATGCCAAGCTCCTCCATCCTGACAATAATAAAATTAATCAAACAATTCAATATCTTGGGAAGTGTTAGCTGATGCATAAGATACAGAGTGGAACAAATTCCTTAAAGATAATATAACACAATCACAAGATTGTCTTTGTATTAAAAAAAAATAGATCTGGATTATTGATAAAAACTAGATGGAATTCGACTGCGCGCAGTCGAAAATGATGCCTCCGTTATAGAGCAATTTTACAAACCAAAACAGAAAAAAAAAATTGAATTCACGTTCAATGGTAATCCATTGACAGGTTCTCAGAATATTGTGATTACAAGCAATTTCTCATATACATATATGACCCTTTGATCTTTGACCTCATGACCATAAAATCTACTCAGTTCATTGGCTCTGCAAGATGTTCTGAGTTAAATAGTAATCCATCTGTCAGTTCTAATGAGAATGCGTTCACAAGCATATTTTTGCATACATAATGGGCCCATGACCTTTGACCTTTGACCTTATGAACCAAGAATCTACTCAGTTCATTGGCTCTGCAAGTAACAAACATGACCTAATTTTGGCATGAATCCATCAATCGGTTCTTGAGATAACGCGATCACAAGCTGTTTTTGCATTCATAATGTGCGCTGTGGCCTTTGACCTTTGACCTACGTGCTCCAAAATCTAATCAGATTGTCTTCTTATGGTGATACACACTATCATTAAGTTTGAAGTTTAAATCTCCAGTGGTTCTTGAGATATTATGATAACAATCTCAATGTATGGAATTTCATAAGTTGACCTCTGTGACCCTTGACCTTTGACCTACGTGCTCTAAAATCTAATCAGATCGTCTTCCTATGGTGATACATACTATCCTTAAGTTTGAAGTTTTTACATCTCCAGTGGTTCTTGAGATATGATAACAATCTCAATGTATGGAATTTCATAAGTTGACCTCTATGACCCTTGACCTTTGACCTACGTGCTCCAAAATGTAATCAGATTGTTTTCCTATAGTGATACACACTATCACCAAGTTTGAAGTTTAAATCTCCAGTGGTTCTTGAGATATCATGATAACAATCTCAATGTATGGAATTTCATAAGTTGACCTCTGTGACCCTTGACCTTTGACCTACGTGCTCTAAAATCTAATCAGATCGTCTTCCTATGGTGATACATACTATCCTTAAGTTTGAAGTTTAAATCTCAAATGGTTCTTGAGATATCGCGCTAACAAACTCAATACAAGGAATTTCATAAGTTGACCTCTGTGACCTGTGACCTTTGACCTACGTACTCCAAAATCTAATCAGATCGTCTTCCTATGGTGATAAATACTATTCCCGAGTCTTAAGTTTAAATCTTAAATGGTTCTTGAGATATTGTGATAACGGTCAAACGGGACGGACGTACGGACGGACGTACGGACGGACGGACGGACGTACGGACGGACGGACGGACGGACGGACGGACGGACGGACGTACGGACGGACAACCCGAAAACATGATGCCTCCGGCACCACCTTCGGTGGCGGAGGCATAAAAACATTCCGAATAGCAAACGTAAGGGCTGAAACAAATTGAATTTACAAACAAGAATACAACTCTATAGTAATTAAATTAAATTATTCTAAGGTCCATAGAAATTACTTTTAGATAAAAAAGAGCAACTGGAAAGTTGCAATATTGATATAGTTCTTACAATATGCCTGAGTGAACTTAGAATATGGCCAACTCTCTGCATTCATTCAACATCTTTAATTTGGTATGGCAATTAATAGTCATCTAAACTTAAAATAGCTCTCAGAATACCAATTTATAATTTAGCAATATTTGTTATATCAATGAAACAACATGGCCTGCAGTGCTCCAAAATTAGCTTCGACATCTGGGATTATTTCATCAAAGATATACATGTGGGGTGAGGGTTGACATTGGGTTGTAGGTTAGGGTTAAGGTTAAGGTTAGAGTCAGGGTTTGGTAGGCCTATCATGTTTGGTCCAGGGTTGAAGTTAAGAGTTTGGTTAGTGCAGGAAAATGGCTCAGACCAATATTTGCTGGAGCATGTGTAATATACATGTAACCTGACTCAACTTAATATACATAATTATACAAGATTGGTTGAAATAGGCTGGTACTCTAGTACAGCTGTTGATGTTAGAATTGGCTTCAATAGGTCTTGTGTGTTTGAGCAGGGATTGGTCCAGGGTACATCATACATTGGAGGTAAATAGTTACCGGTATTCAAACTTTTTAGTAGAGCAAAGGTTGAAGAGTCCCTGAATCAGGTCAATTAGCAAATGTACGTAAATGGAAGCCATTGATTTTAGCGTTCATTTTGAACAAGTGCAGCAATAATTTTGCACCACAATACCACATAGGCTTGGTCCCCTAAGTGAACCTGACCACCACCATACCTTTGTACAGCATGCCTCACTGTATCCAAGTTATGTGTTGCCACCATGATATTGGTTTGACCTCTGGCCTGTATAGTATCCAGTGACATATCAAGACATCTATGGTAGCTCTCATTGGTGTCCTCGTACGTTGGATTGATGGGGTCATCGTAGCCAATGTCCTCAGCACGTTGGCGTTCCTGGTCCATGTAGGCTCCCCGAACAAGCTTGGCACCGAAGTGAAAACCTTCCCGGCGAGCCAGCTCCATGTCAGCTTTGAGGCAGTTATAGGCATGCTGTTGAATATATTTCAAAGTTGATGGAAAGTCAAATTACATTCGTGCATAAGCAGGCCAATATTACAGTCCTCAAATTGTAATACATGTAATGAAGGGTACTTGAATAAAGGATTCCACAGAAGCATGAATTCTTGCAATGGTCACTCTTAAAATGGTGACATGGGTGAGACATTTTATACTACCCTTAAGAAACAACTTTATTATCCCAAATTCTTTATTTCACTTACTTTCTGTATTTCAATACAAGAGGCAGTAGAATTAAAGAACTTGGATGAAATGATTTCTTATAATGGTAAGTACTCCTACAATAGGAACATGAGTGAGAAATTTTAAAGTAAAAAAGAAATAGGTCGGAAGTTAATGGATATCTTACCTAAATGTTGTTTGCATTTATTTAAAAAAAAAGGAAATTTGAAGACAACATTCCCAAATCAAGGTGACAAAGTTGTCCAAAGGTTTGTTACATTGCCAACAGAATAGTGGTGAGGGTGTGGGGTGGGGTATCATTACCCCTCCCCCCTCTTCCTGTAGCATCGCCTCTGAATAAGAGCATTTTAGAATGGGTTGGTTCATCAAATCAAACCTGCAGGGTTTACCTTAAGATAGCACTGGTAGGTATTGTAGATGACAGGTTTGTCACGGTTAAACTTTCTCATCATCTCTACAGTGAGTCGACTGATGGCTGGCTGGAAGTATGTCTGTTCAGCATCCACCATCACACGAACATTCTTCTCTAATGCCAACTGAAAGAGTGAACAGAACAACAAAGATTAGGGCCATAACACACAAATATTGACTGCTTTGACGCTTCGAGTCACATAACTATAGCTCCTCTGTGATCTTGAGACTGTACTTTGCCCTGCATGAGACAAGGATGAGGAGCATAATGTAGTCTCATGATCACCGTGGAGCTATTATAGTTTTTGACTCAAAAAGTCAGCAGTCAATATTTTGTTTATATACCGCATCCTCTCAAAAGGGCATATTTTTACAAAATATCCCATTCAAAATGTATTCATAAATGTAGGAAAATTTACCAATCTACACTGTACAAGAAGTATGCATCCACTGTTGATTTAGGGGATCCATAGTGATAGTTATGCGTATGTACTGCATCCATGTATTGTATGTGCAAGTAGAGCTATATGATCCAATTTATTTCAAACTTTCGCCATTCTGTTTATCCTATTTTGTTTCTTATTACAGATGAAGTTACTACAAAGGTTGGATTGCCCTTTAATATAAATATAACATTATAAATGCAGACATTTATAATTTAATTGAATTGATCTATTGTCCACTAAAAAATGGAATTTTGTTGCTCCCTGGTATTACAAACAATGTACCCAATTATACAAATTATAAAACATAATAAAATAACAACAATGGCGTTACATCCAACAATACATAGATCTGCATAATGCATAACATATCAAATCAGAGGGTACTAACAATAAGCAAATCGATAACAAATACACTGAAGGTGTAAACAATATTATAATTTTTTGTAATGTAATGCTTCCTGGGAGAAATTTCAATTATTTGAACATATTTCTGGCTTACACCCAGTAAATAAGATCGATTGATCGATCTGTATTGAAAAACAAGTCAGAAAAAAATCTTGGGACCAGCGGGACTTGAACCTGCATCTACTGCTTGGCGGGCAGCGACTGAATCAGGAAAGCTTGGGTATTTGTTTCTAGAACATCGTGACTGTGCAATAGACCAGTGATGGCCTGGTGATAGAGTCTCTGCCCGGCAAGCAGTAGATGCAGGTTCAAGTCCCGCTGGTCCCAAGATTTTTTTCTGACTTGTTTTTCAATACAGATCGATCAATCAATCTTATTTACTGGGTGTAAGCCAGAAATATGTTTAAATATAAGAATTGAAACATATTCAGGAGAAAACACTTGTGGGTATGGTTTCAGCCTTCTTTTAAATTTTAGTCGTCTACAGTCTCACATTATATCACTATTATACTTTGGAAGTCTGTTCCACGACTGGAACCTTTATCACAATAATTCATATCAGCTGTTGAAATAACACAGATTTAAATCATCCACTGTGTCTTCTATGAGACCTGCATTACTGATTGTACATGTACAGTATGCCAGTGTATGTATGTTGACTAATGTTCACCTTAGCTAGTTCGTTGGCCCTTTGTAACATGCGTTTGGTTTGTTCTTCCTCCTCTTCTGTTAGTATAAATTGAAGCAGCTCCAACTTGTCTCCCTGTTATAAAATAGAGCATGAAACAAATGTTATAATGATGTGCTCAAGGTACCACAATGTACATTGTTTAACAATGATTTGTTAATACTATGCATCTCACATAGTGGCCATTGATCCAATACACGAGGGTTATAACAATGTTAAATCTGAGATGCACTGCCCCACGTGTTATCAGTGTCTGTGATATGGTGTAATATTGAAGCCCTAAAAAATTGCGCTTCAAAATGATCGAGAAGTGCCTCTAAAAATTAAAAATCTTGGAGTGACTGGTTTTACTATCCAATTTTTCCCCAATAGACTGTAGTAATGAAAACCGTTGGGAAAACGCAATATTGGTTTTGATTTCCAATCATAAATATCTTGATAATCAGACAGGCGATCGGCTTGTAAAAGTCATGGGGTTCCTGACTGACCTAAAGGTTTATAATTATCATTGCAGCATGAGCTAAATCCAGGATTTAGTTTCAGATTCTGAGACAAATTTGTTACCGAATCCCTTTAACCAATATGATCATGGTGAAAACTTATATTTTCTGACCTGTACTGTTCTACTAGTGGACACCAACCCCAAATCATGAATGCAATTTTCCTCGCTCAGCAACGAAAGTGCAGTACATACTTTTATACCGTAAAATATACTGCACAATTGCACATGTGGCAAATGAGAAACCATGCAGAGAGGCAAAGAAAGCAAGTGAAGTGTTATATGACTGATGTACAGAGCTATCATTTGAATCAGACACAGGAATACATGGATATGCTGTAAGTGATGTGCCTTAATTTTGCACAATTTAAAATTCATAATTCTGAAACAAATCTTTAAAGTTTATACTTTATCTCGACTTCAAACTATATATGCAACTAACAATCATTTACATGTATTAACTCTTAACAATCTCCTGATATGTATTGTATTAATGAAGCAGAGTAAATAATATCACATAGTTCAAATGACAACTGACTTATTCTTTAATGACATAACAATTAACATTTTGGGATAGGTTTTACTACAATACAAAACTTCAGAAAATTTAGACCTTAGATTGTTGATCCTTCACAAACACTAAACATTGACTAGAACAAACAAAAAATAGATTAGGTAGACACTAGACAGACGGTATATTTGATTGAGATAAGACCTATTTGTTTATGATTAGACCTGCATACATATCCAAAGATATTACACTTCGATAGCTTCTCAACTTGTGCTGCACCCTATAAACTCTTCTCAGGTATAACCAAGAAGATATCTCTAATTTGGTTATTACATTCTTTTAAATCATCTTTATAAATATTTTATGATTTCTAGACATAATTCAAACATTCATTGATTGCTGCATACCAGGTCTATTACTAACAATTGTGATAATGACTGCATGTATTTACAAACAAGTAATTTGATCTCTGGTATTTTGTAATCTGCTGGAACTGTTGTTATGAGTCAAATCTATATGAGATCCACATACATGTAGGTATAAAACTTGTTCTTACAATACCGGTAACTATACAAATAATAAAATTCCCATCTTCAATCAGGATATATGCTTTTCAAAAAGTGTGACACAAGCAGTCATATCTTCTCCCTCAGATACATATTTGTACACCTATTTTTTGCCTATTGTCAAATACAATGCCATAAAAGGGTCTAGATATTTGTTTGTATATTGTAAGTTATGTATTGTATCACAATTTTGCATATTATGACACAAATTTCAAGGGAAAAACTTAACAATTGAATAGAACTTGTCAAATTTATTGTTTGCTTTGGTTTTTTCCCTATATTTTTACATTTGTTAGCAATTTGAATTGTCCACAAAAGACCACAATCTAATATGCAATGAGGAAGATGTTTCATACCTCTATCCTTGGAGCTTTGAGGATCTTGGAGAGCTTGAGATCTGGTTGAACAAGACATTCCCAATCTAAAAGATCTATCATCCTGCAATAAACAAATCAATTAGAATCCAATAATAAGGGCACATATATAATATATTCACTTGGTTACTAGGAAATGTAATATGTACTAAAGTGTATTACATTGTAAGTGTCATTCAATTTCAAAACAATAGTAGGTAATTGACTCTTTAGCTTGTATTAATCTTAATTACTTTTGATGTAATGGAACAAATAAACTTCAAGCTCCAAACTACTAAAGCACAAGTAAAGAATATTTATCCACTATCAAATTTTGAAACCAAACGATTCATTTCCAACCAATTACAATTCAATTAAAACTAGATGGAACTTCACTCGAAAATAATGCCTCCGCCATAGAGCGATTACACAAACCAAAACAGAAGCAATTTTTCAAATTCAAGTTTAATTTTAATCCATTAACAGGTTCTCATGCAGAATATCGTGATTACAAACTATTTTTCATATACCGGTACCTGTATGACCCTTTTATCTTTGTCCTCATGACCCTAAAATCTAATCAGTTAATTGGCTCAGTTAAAGATACGTATATGTCCTGCCTTTGATGGTAATCTGTCCATCGGTTCTAATGATGTGATCACCAGCTATTTAGGCATACATAATGAGCCCTGTGACCTTTGACTGTGTGACCTAAAAATTGATTCATTGGCTCTGCAAGATACATACATGACCTAAGTTTGAAAGGAATCCATCAATCGGTTTTTGAGATAACGCGATCACGAGCTATTTGTGCATACATAATGAGCACTGTGACCGTTGACCTCGTGACCCCAAAATCTAATCTTGAGATAACACGATCACGAGAACGGGACGTACGTATGTACGAACGGACGACAACCCAAAAACATAATGCTACTTCGTAACGGAGGCATAAAAATAAGTTGAATATATACCCAAGGTCAGATCAACCAAAGGAAAGTTTTCAGTTTCATATGTAGGCAGTTCTTTATGGAATGATCTCTCACTTACAGTGCGGATAGAGTCATCTAGAACTTGCTTCAGGAAAGCAGTTATAGAGTGCCTTTTAAATGAGTAAAATGTCATTATAAACTTCTAGGTATTTGATATTTGACCTCTCTTCTGTACAATTTGAGTACAGTTTTGTTTGTAATTAGCTTTATATGTAACATTATATCTATGTTTGTCTATCATATTTACCTATAGCCAGTGTTTTCATATGTTCAAGGGTACCAGGCTTGATTAGCATTTATGCTATTTTCTGGTTCCCTTTTAACCATTCCTTTTATTGCATATAAGTGTTTATACCTATTGTTATGTGTTTGTCATTGGATAATACATTTCAAGTTCAAAGCTCAAACTCAATGATGATAAGTCATATAAATCCAGTTCAGAAGATATATCACCCTACCTCTATATGTCACACAATGAAGCTAGTTTTTACTCAAACCAAATTCAATACTAATTGATGATATATATATGTATATTACACAGTGCTAGTTTATATATTGTCAATCTCATACTATATCCACTTGTATCTTATAATAGAATGCCAGCCTTTAATTGTTACCAGGCTTTATCAATCAAATTTGATCTATTGAATTCAGTACTCAATAATTACTCCAAGAGTAACCAAATGCTTTTTACTGAGCCCTAACAACCTGGCTAAACCCAAATAGAAATGTAACTCAAATAAAATAGTTTAAAAATCACCCAAATTATGGATGTTTTTCATTAAAATTCAATTCAGTACCCAACAATAATTACCAGAACAAACCAAATGTTTCTATACACCGATTCGGTTTGGGGGTTTTATGTACCTGCCCGCCGGTGGCGGCGCTATAACTGGGGGGCTTCTCCGATCCAGCTGACAGTACAGAGAGCTCGAGAGCGGTTACTAGCTAGCGGAGCAGCGACCCTGGCCGGCCTGGGCAAGGTTAGGTATAGGTATAGCATACCCGTTGAGCGCTGCAATGCAATGTAAGCTAGCTAGCTGCAGTCAGACGCCCCCCAGTTATGGCGTCACCTTATGAGGGCGCACTTCCACCAGAAGTCGCCCGAATCGGTGTATACTGACATCAATTAATTGCTCAGCCTCAGCAAACTGGCTGTATCAAACTGGATAATAAATGGCTAAAATATTCTACAGATAATAATAATAATAATAATAACACATCAACACCAACTATAGTGGATCCTTGTATACTTGTATATTTCCAAGTTGCAGCGGGTCCAAAATACATGTGCACGACTAATTTGCAGCCTCCCAATATTCTCTCGAATAACCCCACTTCTAAAGGAACTACACTGGTTGCCAATTCGCCAGAGAATTACATTTAAAATATTAATGATAGTCTACAAAGCTCTAAATGGTCAAACTCCTAGTTACGTTACTGAATTGTTGCATATCAAGTCTCAAACTCATGGTCGTAACCTTCGTAGTACACAAGACACATTTATGTTGCAAATACCTCCATATAAAACCAAATAACCCTCAGGGACCGGTCATTTCTCTGTGCTGCCCCTAGATTATGGAATAAATTACCATTAGAAATAAGGAAAGCCCCATCACTAGATAATTTTAAATCAAAACTGAAAACTCACTTGTTCATATAGTATGTATAGCACAGCATTTACGAGCTCTTGCAGCACAATAGAATATATCCATATAGTTATTGCGCTTTACAAATGAATATTATTATTATTATCATTACTTATTACTCATGTTTGTCACACTTGACACTCCTGGCACCCCACCATTCTATTAAAGTGATTCTATTCAATTCAGTTTAATTCCTTCACAGCATCAAAACGTACAAACAGTGTAAGAACAGAAATAAGCTATCACCCTTTCAAAAAAAGGTGAAAAAAAGAGAGGAAAACACTATTCATTTGAAATGGTTTCAGTTTTGCATTTACTTTGAAGCCCGCAGCCACCGTAGAGAATATTTATGTATTATTATTGTTGTTAAATGTGGGGAATTAGGGTATATCGCACGAGTGTGTGAGTATACTTCACGCGTCGGCATAACATATGAAATATTCTCAAAGCAAAGGCAGTAAACCTTCATGTCCCATAAAAGAAAAGCTGTTCAATTTTATTGTTATTCATTGTATAGAACAGTACTTCATTTTTCACTATTATATCCTTAAGTTTTTGTACTGAGTTGCAAATTACCGGTAAACAGTTTGTTCTCACCCAAGCATGGACATGCACTCGATCATTGTCTATTAACATTTTCAACAAATTGCAAAATCATCCAGGTACTTTTGTGCAAACTTATTTGTCTTGTCAGTAACAAAAAAACTCCTTGTACAAATAATAATAAACAATATTTCCTAAATAAACTCCCTTGTAAACTTGACACAATAAAAACATTTATCTAATGTTTATTAATTCTTCCACAATCAAACCACATTTACACAGGGTTGTATTTTCATGAGCAAAAATTGTGCTGCTTTGAATGAATCCACCTTCTAGACCGTGACCTCATCAGGATCTCAACCACATTGATTTGTCTATTTTTGTAATGGCACTAATGCAGTGTACATGTACTAGCTATCTACTGGGCATTCCATTTTCACTGTACTGTTTGCACAGATGGTACAAAATAGAGCCTAATCATTTTGATTGAATCCCCCTCGCCAATACAGACTTGCGTAAAAGCGTAAAAGCGCACTACCAAATACAGAGAATACAACTTTATCATTCAACTCTTTACATGCCACACTGATATTCTCTGTGTGCCACATTGCATTTAACATGGGAAAGATTACTTGACTGTGCAAGATTAATCATGGCGTTATTAAAAGGGTTGTCAGGGAACTATTAAATCAAGACTGGAAATATGTTATTTTGTAATGCTGTGTTGCACAATGCAATACTGTTTTGTGTGAAATCATATGTGTGGCAGCTGGCAAACTTGGGACTGTGCAGAGAGGTGAAGGAAGCAACTTGAACTGTAAATAAATCTAATAATCTGGAAGTGCATACATCATACATGTAAATTAGCCTGGAAAAGGTACTATGAATATCTTTTCAAAAAAAGGAAAATCATTAAGATCAAAAAGAAATTCATACATTTTGTTTACCCAGTATACATTTGAAGGAAAAGGACTCCTGAACTAAACAGGAGGGAAAGGAGATAGAATTTGTTTATGAGCAAAATAAAATGAGGAAAGAGTGAAAATGAGACGGAGCAGAAACAGACATGTACAACATTTGGAATAAAATCAAAAAAGTGAAACCAAACAAGCTAGGTCAATTTCAGGAAAAGTGTTCTGATCATCGGAACTGTGCAACAAGAAAAAAAGGGGAAAACCCCTCAACAGACTAAAACATATAAATACAACCTTACATAACACTTTGAATACTATATATGGAATTTCAATTCTGTGCAAATTATGTGTATAAGTTTACCTTCTGATATCTCTGCTGACATCCAAGGTCGACCAATTTTATCACTGTCTAATTATATATATGACTGATCTTCAATTTCCTATAAAACCTCAAGCACTCCATGACTAATACAGCTAGGTACATGTCTGAATGCAAAATGGACAGGTACAAAGAGATCGGAAGCATGAAAAATGAAATGTGGGATACAACAGAAAAAAACTGAAAAATATTAACAAGAAAGCTGAGAGGGAAAGAGAAAGAGACTTCAATCAGGTGATTTTTAAGTTGATTTTTGTTTTCGGTAACTTCAAGCGAAACATTTAAATAGCAGCACGGATGTGACGTATGCTCCTCACAATGAAAGTGCCGGCAGTATACATTCTGACAATTGCCTATTTTCGTAATGTAACCAAATTTAATGCATACGTCTTTGTGAAGTGCCTCGATACAAACTTTTTCATTCACCTGATAATTGATAAAGAATAAGTGTATTTCAATAGACGATAGAATCAGAACTGCAACATTAGTCGTTGCCAGGTAGGACAAACAATATGTTACAGGGTGTGAGTCTTTTTTTTCTTAAAAAGATAAATTAATGTGTTTGTTTGTTTGTTTGACTTTGTGCTTGTTCGTTTCAGTGTATGTTGTTCATGGAAGATCGTCTGCTAAATTCTTCAAAAAAAGAAGAATGTACAGCGAAGAAGAGCAATGAATTTACCACTTTTTACTTTTGACCTCGCCCCTTATTTTGATGTATAATTGCACATTCCATGACTAGACAAATCATAACAAATAGGGTATCATTTTAAAAGGAATAAACCCACTTTCTCTTGATCCATATAAAATCCTATGCCATGACAAGAGATATATAATCGATCATACTTTGAGTTTCAAAACTTTTTTTTAAGGGGTTTACATGTACGCCTACAGATAAGGGACATTAATTTTTTTGAAGGGAAAGTCCACGCTGATATTAACTTGGTTTTAATAGAAGCAGAACAATGAGAAGAACAGGTCAGTGAAAGTTTGAGCACATTCCGAGTAAAAATAAGAATGTTATGAATTTTTAAAGTTTTTTTACATTTTTCATCGGAATGTGCTCAAACTTTCACTAAATTGTTTCTTTTTTATTTTTCGTTTTATCAAGACCATCTAGTTATTAGGGTGGACTTCCCATTTAAAGGTACTGTATGTCCCATTTGCAGGCCCAAAAAAGAAAAGGTTAAATTCTAACGGCATTCGAAAGATAATACTAATTTAGAACTTCCCTAAAAAAAGGGGGGCTTGAAAATGTCTTTAAGTGGGAAAATAATGACTATTAGTTGTCGAATCAACTTAAGAGCTAAAGAGCCAGTAAGTAATAGTCTGATTTTCAGACCATTTTACCGAATGGTCGTACGTTTTATGCTGCACAAAGATTCAATCAGTTTAATTTTGGCTTTTACAAGAAGTGGGTTATTGATGTAGACAAATGCTTACGTACCCTTTACAGCTCAATACCAAAGAAGAAAAAAAGCCAGTCAGTCACACACAATAGTGTCTGACAGTGAAGTCTAGCAAATAAACGGTTTTCCTTGCGCTACATAAACACAGAATATTATTATTATTTTATGATTTGAACCCTCGACCTTCGCATCTCCAGTCAAGCTCCCACTATAACTATAAATGGATTTAATAGATAGATGATTTCATTGAAAACTGTTTATTGATACCACGCAACATTGCATCTTACTAGTACTTGTTTTCTATGGACTGGAAAACCTTCATGTCACATGCACAATGGCACAATGGCACAATTGTACAATATAGGGCAGAAGTTTGTATAGATTTCCATACAGAACTGGGCCTTTTAACCGCGTCCTCCATAAGCTCCATCACTATGGGATCCATGACAACCTTATCAGATGGATCAGGGTGTTCCTAACTGAAAGGTTACAACGTGTTGTTGTAGATGGAGAGTCATCTGAATGGGTCCCAGTCACCTCTGGGGTACCGCAGGGCACAGTTCTCGGCCCACTTCTGTTTATGTCCTTCATCAATGACATAGTAGATGGGATCTCTTCCAAAATCCGACTCTTTGCTGATGATTGTCTTTTATACCATCCGATCACTGATCTCACTGATAGCCAAGCCCTACAACAAGATCTCAACAGGATGCATTCATGGGCTAACACATGGCAGATGAAATTCAACACCGAGAAATGCTACCACATCACATTCTCCCTACGTCGGAAAGCCATCACCACGACATACACGCTAGGAGACACTCCTCTTGCGTTGGTAACAGATCTCCGGTATCTAGGACTGACTTTCTCATCCAACTTGTCCTGGCAAGGCCACATGAACAACATCACATCCCGAGCCAATCGGTTGCTGGGACTAGTCAGCAGAAATCTCCGCAAAACCTCACAAAGATCCGCCAACAAGCCTACTTCTCTCTTGTTAGACCTCATCAGGAATACTGTTGCTCGGTCTGGAACCCTCACACAAACAAGCATATATCCAAAATCGAGGCAGTACAAAGGCGAGCAGCAAGATTCACCCTCCAGAGATATTGTCGTATGGCCAGTGTCTCGGCCATGATTCAACATCTGAAATGGGAGAGCCTGGAGAGGAGAAGAAATGCTGCAAGCCTCCACCTCATGTACAAGATCCAAAATGACACAGTAGCCATCAATGCAAACCATTACACAGCACCCATGATTGCCAGCAACACACGACAGTATCACTCAAAGAAGTTGCTGGCTATCCCATCTCGCACCCAGCACTACCAGAACTCATTTTTCCCTCGGACAGTAACTGCGTGGAATGCACTTTCAAAGATCACCCTTGACGCTACTTCACTGGAGGGCTTCAAGGGAGCGCTTCCACCAAGCATCTAGACCAAGAACTAGATAGTTTATTCCTCAGCACTTGCTACATCCTGACTTATGGATCCTGCTGAGTATCGTCGTAGAGGTAGAAGTAGAAGTTTATATAACCTTTTAAAAATAAAGTTGAGTTCTGGTAATGCGATTGCATTGTGAAAGAAACGTTGTGGAAACGATCAGAAAAGGTTGATCACATAGCATATTGGTCGTTTCAAAGCCAATTGCCGCGAAAATTTGCCTGCATGTCAAGTGAAGTGTATAGAATACTATGGTAATTTTTGCAAATACATGTAAGGTCATAAAATTCACATTTTTACTCATAAATCATATATTCTTCATATTTAAGCATTCTTTTTCACTACATATATTCGTTAGACCATTTGGAAGAAAAAATACGACCCAAAAAATGGAAGAGCCAGGTTATTCCTTATATTATCTCTTGTTTTGATAATTTCTTAATATGTATTTCTTTGTTTTTTTAACTCATGTATTTTATTGTTTTAGTTGTTTTATTTCATTTCTAACTACAATTCTACTATTTTGACCCCAAAACAAACACCTTAACTTTAAACATGACCAAATAATCAATGTTTTATCTCTTTTTAGGAAAAATTATATTTCCGTATGTTTTGTACACAAATCACAAAAATGAGCGATTTTCGGGCTGACATGCAAAGACAAAAGGTCACGTGATTTTGTAACTATACGTCCGATTTTCAAAAAAATTGTTTTAAAAGATGTATTAGACTCGGAAGAAAAAAGTAATGAAAGGAAAACTTTATATCTGCTGTGGTTCCTGAGTAGTCGCTAAATTACTACAGGCGGGGGGGGTCTTTAAAGGACCGATTTTGCTCCGTTTTCATGCCTTTCTTTCAGCATCCTACAGGTGTAGTTGATACAGACTTCTAACAAATTCCTCTAGATTGTCCAAGAGATGATTTCTAAGTTTTTGTCTGGATGATTTTTTTGCATGGCTTAGAAATTTGGGGGTCATATTATCTTGGGCTTGAAGTAGATATGGACCAGGGATATCGCGCTGGTGGGGATTATTACAAAATTAAATTAGCCACATTATAGACCAGTGATACTTTTGGCTAAATATTATTCAAAACGGATAGAGAAAATGTGAGGGGATGACATCATCAACTCGCTAATTTGCATATAGCCTACCGGTATGTCCTTTTTTTTTCTTTTTGGCATTTAACAAAATATTCTTTAGGTTAAAGATGAAGTTGAGTTCTGGTCATGCGATTGCATTGTGAAAGAAACGGTGTGGAACCGACCAGAAAAGGTTGATCATCTAGCCTATAAGAATTTGTGTGTATTGCAAGGTTCTGGAATCATCAAAATGATAAAAAATTTGGCCAAGTCTTAGTAAAGTTACAAACACTGTACACAGAAAGATGTATATGGGACTACACGAACATGTGACGTAAAAAGCCGGCCCCCCCCCCCCCCCCCGATTTTTACGATGTTACATGCATATTCAGAATATGAAGGCATTTGAAGAGCCATGCTTTTTCAGGGAACATGTCTTATCTGATGTTCTTCCACAGTTGCATAATAAGAATGAGTAATGCTCACAAATTATTTTTCACCTCTTCCCAGAACGCAACCTTCTCTTTAACAGAAATTATCCTAATCTGAATCTCAGATTGCCACGACCACTGATTTCCATCAAAAAGTGAACAGCTTCTAAACCTTGGACTCTTTTATTGTATGTCATAATATTTTAAAATTACTAATTTTTAAAAGTTATTAAGATGTCACACCTGACATTTTGTTGAAGTAATAGCCACGATGCCCAATCACCAAATACGAAGCAACAGTAACAATTCAGGTGTGAACAAGTCCAAAAATGCACTGCCCCATGCATAACATGTCCCTTGTACACTTACCCAAGCACAGCTGCCCCATATATACATAAAAATGCCCCTTTCACATTTACCCGTCTTTATCGCCATTAATTCAAGTGAACCATACACCTGATCCATCTATAGATATGATGCCCAGGGTTACTCATTTATATGTATTGTCCAAACTATACATGTACATGACAGTGCCCCTTTCACACTTACCCATCTTTATCTCCATCGATCCAAGTAAACCATACGCCTGACTCATCCCTAGATGTGATACCCATGGTTTCTAATTCACATGAGAACTGGTCCTTGGTCAACCGATGTGACATGAGATCTACAGTAGGGTTTTCCTCTTGACCAGACATCCTAAGAAAAACCTGACGAGTACGGACTATCACCTCTGACAAGTTTAACTAAATGGATAAGAACAATTTTAAGAAAAAAAGAAAGAAAAAAAAAAAAAAAGAAAAGAAAAAAAGAAAAAAAGAAATCAAATTTTAAAGAGATATACATGTATAGTACACTTACATGATAATCTAATGAGCTTATATTGTGCCATCTATCTCATAAAACTATTCTGATGCACATTACAAAATCGAGAAAGTAAGAAAGGAGAAATACAAATTGTGTTGAGTTATATTAAGGTACTGTATGATTTCAAGAAAAGTCTACACTGTAGTTAATATTATTGGTGATATGGGAACGGCCCTTAACCCCCAGTGCATTTTTTGCACAGTATAAATGTCTTTCTTAAAGTCTTAGCCAAATTAAGTAACAATGACACTACTTTTATGTCCATGTCTGGTGCAAATTTGACCTTTTCTGTCTGTATAACAAGGTTGTACAAAGTATGTAAAGTTTGTTGTAATTCCTACCAAGATTTGCGGCCTTCCTAATGCAGTCAGCTTAATCGCACAGAAACCATCATCTGATGTGGCTCCTACACATAAAGGTACGAATCAAGAAATGGGTGATAAGATAACAATTAAAGGTTAACAAATTTTATAACTTATGCTACACTCACATAGGTTCGTACGAACGATGCATTTGTACAAATCTCCCTGTTTTTCCATGGTCTTCCCAAATTTCCAAGGTCTGAAAATTGTTTGTACGGCGTTCGTAATGGCATTTGTGACCAAGGCTTAAAGTTTCATAAAATATGCTACATAATGTTACAATTAAGTTCATTCCCTAATTCAAAATTTATAATGGTAAATTTTTCATTATTTAATTGAATCATAGGGAATATATTTTTAAATTTCTATCATTTGATCATTTAAATGACTTACATGTAAACTGGCAAATTACCAGAACTTTAGTTTTATGCTAGTTCAATAATTTAAGGCCTCCAGTCAAATGACTTAATGTTTACTATGGACCTTTATTTTTCTTTGTCAACAGATTTGAAAATGTGAAAACCTGTTATTTTAAAGGTTGTTTAGCGAACCCGTTGAAAAAACTCATTCTAAAAATTCTCATTTGGAATGGTCTAGTAATGCCCCCAAGACAACATGATGAATCCCCCTCTCCCTCCCTCCCTCCCTGCCTTCTCTCTCCCACTGACACCTCTCAATCTCTAGTATCAGTTGCAAGGTTCACTGACAATATCATCAGGTTCTTTGGCATACACGCATAACACAACCTGTGGCAACTTTTTATTTTTCAATTTTTTAATAGAACCTCCACAATGATAACACTATTTTTATTCATTGGCTATAACCTGTATTTGCATATTTATGTGGTATCACAATATGCATGCATCTCAAAAAGTACAATCTCCGCCAAATGTTGTATGTTGATGGCTTACTGATGATAGCTACTGGTACATGGTACAATTGGAATGCATGTACCGGTAGATATATATTCCCTAAACTGTAAAAATCCGTAATGATTTTATTCTCCATTATCTCTACCCTGTTTTTCACCCTTACAGTGCTATACATGTAGGTGGTGGAACCTACCCAGATTTTGATGCTGTAATTATTGCCAAACACTTCGGAACGAAATATTACATTTTACTTCTTCTTTCTGTTTGATACAAGTCGCTGTCATTAAAAGGAAGACTGACTCACCGGCAACACGGATACACTCCATCAGCGTTTCTAAGTTGTCATCACATTTCTGCTCATCGGTATAGAAATATGTCCTGGCACTGGAGACTCCTTGACGACGATCACCATACTTGGGATAGGCCATGAACTGCTTCAGATGCTTTTCATCATCTTATTACAACAACAATAAAAACAAAACACAAAAACCCTTAATTTCTCTCTTTATCTAATTATCAACTATAAGTGAGAGAGAGACAGAGAGAGAAATAACAATTAAATAACAAAAACAACAAAAAAAAAAGAGAAAAATTAATGGATGTGATGTATAATACATGTGTCTTCAATAGGAATCCTTTGACATTGAAAAAAAAAAATTACAGTATGTAAATAACCCCAAGCCCCATCATCAGGCGCGTAGCCAGGGGGGGACGGTGGGGGCAGTCGCCCCCCCCAAAACGCCGGCCAAAAAAAAAAAGAGAGAGAAAGAGAAGAAAAAAAGAAAGAGGACGTAGGAAGAAAGAGGGAAAAGGAGTCGAGAACGGTACAATGAATCGTCAAAGCTTCCGCGCTTTGCGCGGGAAGGAGGAAACTGAGTTCAAATTAAGAAATATGAGTCGGGAAAGGTACAGCGAATCGTCTTCTTTCTCTAATAATTTAATGAAACGTCAAAGCTTCGCGCGAGAGGGGGGGGGGGACAGAATTCAGACAAGGATATATTAAGAGCCGAGAAAGGTACAACGAATCGTCTTCTTTCTCTAATAATTTAATGAAACGTCAAAGCTTCGCGTGAGAGAGGGGAGGGACTAAATACAGATAAGGATTAAGAGTCGAGAGAGGTACAACGACTCGTCTTCTTTCTCTAATAATTTAATGAAACGTCAAAGCTTCGCGCGAGAGAGGGGAGGGACTGAATTCAGACAAGGATTATGAGTCGAGAAAGGTACAACGAATCGTCTTCTTTCAAAGCTTCCGCGTGCTCACTACCGCCCCCCCTAAAATGAAATCCTGGCTACGCGCTTGCCCATCATTAAAGGTAAAAGACCAGTTCTGGTCATGCAATTGCATTGTGAAGAAACGTTGTGGAATCAATCAGAAAAGGTTGATCATCTACATGTAGCATATTGGTGTGTACTGCAAGGTTCTGAAATCATCAAAAAGAAATTTGGCCCAGTCTTGGTAAAGTTACAAGCACTGTACACAGAATGATATATATGGGACTCAGGAGACACATGCGCGATATCTATCCTGTCCGGATAGATATAATAATTTACCAAGTATATCAATAAGTAGGCGGTTTCCCGGCAAAATTTGTAACATCACGTATTAGTCAAAACATATTCTTTCACATGATTGGTAATAAGAGCTTCCGTTTCATTTTTTGAGAGGGGGGCGTTTCCAAAACTGGTCTATACCTTTAACTACATGTAACTGCATTTGTTGTATTTGCAATTTGTGTTTATTTATTCTTTGTAATATTGGTTTTGCTTTGAATAACAGTTATGTTAATTGTTTTATTATAATTTTTTTATAATTGTTTCATAAGTGTATATAATACACTGTAAGGAACAAAACATTTGTGTGAATGTTATCAAATTGCATTTTAAAAATGCTTTGTTCTAACTACATGAACAAGGTAGTTTTGACTATTTATGGCCATGTTGAGGAACAGCACTTGGCTAAAACATGTTCATGGAGTTGAAATAAAATTGAGGTGACTTTACATATACCCTACAGCAATTTCTGTACTACACATGTATTAAAGGCATTGTTTAACAATTTTTCCAGTTTTACAAATCTGAGATGCATGGCCCTACATGTTATCAGTGTCTGTGATATGGTCAGGGATATGAGAACACCTCCCTGATATGGTGTAAAGCCCTAAAAAGATTGCGCTTCAAAATGATCATGATCGAAGTGCCTCAAAAAAGTACAAATCTTTGAGTGACCAGTTTTACCATACACATTTACCAAAAAAAGTCTGTAGTGTTATAAAAGCCATTGGTTTAACGGTTTTAGAAATTTTAAATTCCAATCATAAATATCTTGATAATCAGACAGGCGATCGGCTTGTAAAAGTCATGGGATTCCTGACTGACCAAAAGGTTTATATTATGATTGCAGCATGAGCTAGATCCAGGATTTTGTTTAGAATCTGAGACAAAGTTATACCCAATCTCTTTAATTTAACAACGTAACTGCAACAAATTTATAACCCTAAAGCATGTTAATAATATTAAAACGGTGCTTATAAAGTGCTTTTCACCGAAGTCTCTATTAAAGCGCTGTTATTTGTGCCTTTGTGGCTATCAGAAAGGAGATCGGATGAATACCTCCAAAGTAATTATGTGTATCTATAGTGATGTACATGTAGTACCAGTATAAATCACACAATTTGTTTTTTTGGTTTAGATTTATATATCCAACTATCTTAATGGCCATATCATACGCTCTGACTAGAGAATTAATGGATAAATGGAAATGATCATGCTTACTGTACTGTATTTCAGGCTTTTTTATGAGCTCCTCCAGGATTTAATTTTCATATGTTCTCTGATATTCTTGTGCACACTCTTGTACAACTGTCAATGAATAGATACTAGCCAAGTCTAAAGGAGCAATCCAACCTTTGTAATAAGTTCATTTATGAAAGCAGAAAAATAAGAGAAACTGAATGGCGAATGTTTGAAGAAAAAAATCAGACTAATGAATGTTTGAAATATGAGATCACTATGATCACTATATGAGATCTATGCAAATCTTAAATTGGCAATTTGGTGAATGGATTGTGACATAGTCACAGACAACTCTCTCATCTGTCGCGACAAAAAATTTATTATCATCATTTGTGTTTCTCTCTTGAGTGTTTTCTACCTTCGGGCACAATTAATGTTATAATAGGTTCTCTAAAACAAAAAGACCCTCCCGATCGAGTCATTGAAATATTGAAATTTTAGTAATTTTATGTGTGTAGACAAATGGGAAAGTTGTCTGGCACTATGCCACAGTAACCGATTCAGCCAATTCAAAGTGCCCATACAGGTAGTTTACAACGTTCAAAATTCATTTCCCTTTAAAGAGAAAGTTGAGTTCTGGGAAGAGGTGAAAAATAATTTGTGAGCGTTATCATTCTTATTATGCAAGTGTGGAAGAACATCAGATAAGACATGTTACCTGAAAAGCATGGCTTTTCAAATGCTTTTATATTCGAAATATGTCATGTAACTCGTAAAACTCGGGGGGGGGGGGGGGGTAGGTTTTTTACGCCACTTGTTTGTGTAGTCCCATATACATCTTTCTGTGTACAGTTTTTGTAACTTTACCAAGACTTGGCCTAATTTCTTATCATTTTGATGATTCCAGAACCTTGCAATTCAATTTAGGTTTTAGGTCTGTTATTTGTAAAATGATTCTGATTACTGATGGTATCTTACAATTCAAATTTAATAAATTAAGTGCATTTTTGTTTAAACCTCAATTCTGTCTCTCTTCAGTTTAAGACCAAAGGACTGCTTCATAAATTTCCTACAAACAAGACCATTTGCAATGTAACCCTCATAATTATGGTTTGCTTGAATTTTATTGGTGTGCTTTTGGATTATCATATTACAATGTAGTTCTGGTTTTATGTGTTTATTTTGTTTTTATGTACGGCCTACAATTTTTACATGTATGTATACCGATAATATAATGTCTCTCTTTAATACGGTACTGCAAAGTGTAGAAACTACACTAAGTGAACTCTGGCATGCACTATTATAATCAATATTATAATCATTCAAGCACAAAGTATAGTGATATACATGTACATGTACATTAAGGAGGCATCATTAAACCCTAGATATATAAGTTGAGACATATATAAAGGCTGATCTCAATATATGTCATAGTGAAATCTACATGTATGACAAATGCTTCAGAATGAAGGTGATTAATTTGGTTTCAGCACTGAACATCCATTTTGACTGCAATGTACATGTAGAGCCAACACGCAAAATAGCATTCTCAAAGCATATGTATGGAGTATGCATGGTTTTGATTCGTAAATTGAATTCTATTCTATAGGTTTTTAAAATGGTGTTGATTTTCAAAAGTTGGAAGAATAAAACTCATAACCAGCTTATACCTGGGTATAATTGTAGGTTCCTGCTATGATGAATTTGGGTTAGACTTTGTATTTCTGAATACAATTTTGATGGAAAGAGCGATATGCAGACAACATCTACCGTATCCTATTAGCTTTGTGTACACAGATTAATGGTCAATGAAATTACTATAGTCCTTGCATGTAAATTACCCAGGCCTCGATCACGATAATTGCAATCTATCAAACACAAATTGGCAACTCTGTGACACGTCAGCTTGCAATGTTATTTCCAACTTGCTCTGTCCAGAAAATTTCATATATGTCACTATTTTTTAATAATTGGTGAAGAAGGAATATATGTTTCATACAGGGTGCGAAAGTTCATGTGGTTGGACGAGCAAGTGTGCGCTTGTAAAATGGCAACTGTCTGGAAAGCTCCCCAGGGAGTGGAAAATGTGCACACATTGTGTGTGGGTAAGCCTGAATCTGATGACCGGGATAATGATATATCTGTAAAGCGCTTCAATAGGCACATCATAGGATCGATGTATTGAGCGCTATATCAAAAACAGAATATTATATTATTATTATTACAAATATTCATTCAAATGTGTGTACATTAATTGCTTACATCTAGGAACTAAATATTTTCTTTAGATAAAATGGACATAACAGAATTTTCTTGGTAGAAAGCAATATGGGACAGATACTTTGCTGAGTTGTCAATTCATGCTTGAATTCATCTCACCTTTCTTCTCTTTTTTAGATATTGCTCAACATTTCACTAATCTGTTTCTTTCTTTTGATCTGCTTCTCTTATGTACATCCAACAGGGTGGACTACCCATTTAACTGTATGCTGTGCTCATTTTCTATCAGATAATTGCTTTTACATCTCTCACTGGCCACTTTATGAGGCCTGTTTAATCAGATATATGTTTAATCAACCCATTGTGATGTAATATGACTTGCATTCTCGAGATCAGACTAAACACAAGGACCGCTATATTTGACCAGTGTCTGGCTAGACTGTAGACACAGGTCAATACAAATCTCTTCATCCAATGGAAAATACCCATAATTAGTTACACAGACGGCTCCAATAGGGAAATGATGTTCACCCTTTTATTCATTCGGGTCCTAGGTAAAATTTTATGCTAAAAACTATGCCATCGATTGTTTTTTTCTAAAATCTGTGTCCAACATGCCAACATTTTATGTTTTGGGTGCCCACCAGTGTTTTTATGCATGTCAGCTATCTAGAACAAACATTCTAGCTGAAAAATGATCATTTAGTGTTAAACCCAATATGAACAGTACAGTGAAATATGGTATAAAACAAGACGCAGAAGACCACAGGGGCCCTTAAGTTGCCCCAAAAGTATGTATTATCTTGCAAGCTCTCCTCCTACAAAATAAAAAATAAAAAATAAAAGCATCAAAACTTTTCCCTCAAGAAAATGTTCAATCATATACATGTACACCCTAAATATGATTATTGCAAAATATATGTTTCTAATACATCACATGTACATGTACATGTACATCCCCTGTATGGAAAAAATATTCCCTCATCAATAACAAAGAAAAATAAGTTCATGACAGAGAAAATTGAAGAGGAGCTCGAGAGATACATGTACTTCACAGTGTTGCCAATTTGTGTTTATTGATTCAATAATTCATATCTTTCTTATTTTTAATCAGAATTTGCTAAAGCTTTTACTGACCTATTCCTCTCATTTGTTCTGCTTCTATAAAAACCAACTTGGTATCAGAGTGGACTTCCCCTTGTTAATTAAGAGATTAAATGACATTCATCCATTCATTCATTCATTGTTTTATTGTCCATATATGAAGATTTACAATTTTACATGCATTTGTACATGCAAATAGTACTTACGTGTTTTGTGGAATTAAGCATAATACTTAAAATCAATTGCATTGTACTTTTTCGTTTATGTGAATATTATTCCATGTTACACTGTTTAAGTTTTTCACATATTACATTTCTGTCTGCTTTCCTTGGCTTTCTAATTTATTCTATAGTTGAGGATACTGCTCTCATGATTTCAACCATATTCTCTCTATCTCTCTCTCTCCCCTCTACTCTGTTATCCTTTTCTCTCCCTTTTTATCTTCCCTCTCTCTCTCTTCATATCTACATCTACTCCCTCTCTTATTTCTTGAACTCTTCAATCTCCCAAACCATGCAGTATGTATAATGTATGATCTTGCAAATTTACAAGTATTTATAAATGTATACCCAGTAATGTAGAGTTCAACTTTTTAATATGTACTTACATGTTCACAATATTTACCACAACTCTATAATCAGTAGGTTGCAACCATTATCCTGTATTTTGCCCCTCAAATATTATTGATTTTATAATGTTAAATAACTTTGTGCATAATATTATAACTTTGTAGTACATATATTGACCCTCTCAACCTGAGCTGATGGTCACTCTTTTTATATACTGGTACCAAAAAAAATAAAACAAGTCAACGCAAAACGTAGCACCCCCTCGCAGGGTACAAATGGCCTACAGTATATATACGCCAGAACAAGTTACCTCCATTGGACTATACTATTATATTACCAGGCAAGGAAGTTAACCACATTTTTACATATATAATTAGGTGTTTTTGCATATTTAATGAGCTATGACCTTTCACCTTTGATCTACATACTCAGAAATCGAACTTAGGCTGTACATGTATTTTGATACCATGTACCTTCCTATCAAATTTCATTAAAATTTGTCAAACATTACTCAAGTTATCGAATGGAAACCAGATTCACATATTTAATCAGCTATGACCTTTGACCTACATACTCGTAAATTGAACTTAGGCTGTGTTTTGATACCATGAACCTTCATATCAAATTTTATAAAAATCCGTCAAACATTACTAAAGTTATCGATCGGAAACCAGATGTGTACTTTTCGCATATTTAATGAGCTATGACCTTTGACCTACGTACTCCAAAATCGAACTTAGCCTGTATTTTGATATCGTGTACCTTCATATCAAATTTCATTAAAATCCGTCAAACGTTACTGAAGTTATCGATCCAAAACCAAATTTGTTACGGACGGATGCACGGAAGGACGGACGGCAGCGTTACTACATGTATCCCCTCCGACTTCGTCGACTAGGGGATAAAAATACATTACACATGCAGGAAGAAAATAATAATAAATCCATATCCTACCTTTTACATCATGATCACCTTCTGAAACACAGGATCTACAAGAAAATAAATATAATGGAATTATCAGCTACATGTCACTGATGTTTCAAGTAGGCCCGAGTCAAAACGGTTCCTCTGATCTTTGACCTCATCACCCTAAAACCTAATCCTTTCATTGGCTCTGCAAGATACATACATGTACACTATGTCCTGAATTTGATAGTAATCCATCCATCGGTTCTATTGATAATTCGTTCACAAGCTATTTTCGCTTAAATGAGCCCCATGACCTTTGAACTTTGACCTCATGAACCCAAAATCTAATCATTTCATTGGCTCTGCATGATACATACATTTAGTAAATGTCTTGAGTTTGATGGTAATCCATCCATCTAAGTTAAATCCATCCATCAGTTCTAATGATGTAATCATGAGCTATTTTTGCATACATAATGAGCGGTGACCTTTGACCTCATGCCCCCAAAATTTAATCAGTTCATTGGCTCTGCAAGATACATACATGACCCAAGTTTGGCGGGAATCCATCAATCCATTCTTGAGATAACGGGCGGACAACCCGAAAACAAAATGCGTCCAGCTACTTAATGGCGGAGGCATAAAAACATTATCAACCAGTTATCACTTAAATTTAAAGATATACATGTATACCATTATTTACATATATTCAAAAGTATTGTTTGCCATATCAGAAATAAGGGGAAAAATGTACTTTTCTCAGATGTCATCCAATTTTATAATCATCATTCATAGCACATCTGGGTACCTGGCAGGAATTAATTCCTTGAAATGCTAAAGTGGCTACCTTGCTAAAGCCAGGGTAATAATTTGGGCAGTGCCAGGAGCGTCACAACGTGACGGACATGTGCTATATAAGAAGCCACCATTATCATTATTATTATCTCAATTTCAAAAGACAATATGGTTCAATAAACATGGGGAGATCCCCCCCCCCCCCCCATGTTGATGAACTATAATATTGTAAAACCAGAGAATATCAATGATTTTACAATTACAAGTGGTCCAAATTTGTTCAACTTTCATGGCATTGCTAATAAATATTGGAATTACAACTCTTTAATTTTGGAAGTCTCTAAGTTTTTTGCAATATTTAATAGCCATAATGTCAACTACAATGTTTTTGCCAATTTTTCATAAAGGTTTCAGGCTTCACAGTACATGTACACTGTGAAACATACTTTAAAGATGGAGCTGGATGATTTTTGGATCAATGCTTCCAAATAAATTTTTAGTCCTATCATGGTACTATAATGAAGGATGCAATATGTGAACAGCACTAAACTACAAGAGGTCATATATTACCTCTGGGGCGTGTATAATTCAAATTATTGTGCATTGAGCTTGAGCTGCATGGCCAAGTTCAATTGACCTATTCACAGCTCCATACATGTACATTTAACCAACCAGAGTTTGCTATCATCCTAGGGAAATCAATCCTGATTCCAATGAATCAGGAAGTTACACGTTTGAAGCTTTATATAATTGGCGTTAGAATGATTCACTGCTTTGTTTGTTATTATTACCATCAACAAGAAATGCATTTTTAGAGACATGACTGGCAATAACCCTCACGGGCATCACATGTATATTCCATCAATTTATTTTCCCGAGGACATTTTGTTTCAATATGACATGTTATTAAATCTACATAAACACAAGCTTTTGAGAATGTCCGGCTATCTATGGATTTTAATATTGCATTCAGGGAATTCATGCAATACGACCTACCTTGTTTAAGTTGTTTTAATGATAAAAATAACTTGGTACATTGTTTCTTCTTAGCGTTTTTTTTTCTTGGGGGGGGGGGTTGACATTTTGTTGTTGATAAAGTCACTAAAGGGCAAGTCCACTTCAAAAATAACTTACTTTCAATAGAAGCAGAAAAATCAGACAAACCAATCAAAAACAACTTTCTAAAAGGTTATTTTTGGAGTGGACTTGTACTTTAAGTTATAACTGTATAATATAATTATCTTCATTGTCAAACAATCATCAACTATAATATTTAACTATTTATTTGCTAATTTCTCTGAGGAAAGACCTCAAAGTGTACATATTATTTGTTTGGAGCCAAATGGGCATTAGCTCATTATTTCACATAGTTAATGCCCTTTAGGCTCCAAAGAGATGACATTTTTAGTTTTGAAATATAAACAATAATCAACATTCAAATTATGTTACATACTCTGTACAATGATACATGTAGAATTTTTTTTTTTTTTTTTTCAATTTCAATTTATTTATTTTCTCTAGAGTCTACACTTACTTTATCTCAGCATCCACCGCTTGATTGTGAGGGATATCTTCTTCTACGCTATAATCCAAGATGGCTCCTACTCCATAGCGATTCAAACGTTCAATTTTAGGTTTGATCGATGGCTGGTCTTCCCCTGCTACAAAATGGCCGTAGAAAGTCGCCTTCATCAATCCTTCAAACAAACGCTTTCCAAGAAGCTTTCTGGAGTAGCTCAGCAGCTGTAAATTTAAACATTTTATTAAAAAAATGATAATACAGTACATACATGTACATGTAGACGTAGTAAACCATCATCTTATCTGTAGATTTGATTGTACAGACATGATGCTGTTGAATGCTGCTGACTAAATATGTTTTATATTCTTGTCTTTCCTCCACAATTGTTTACTTCACTCACTTTCACTGTAAAAATGTTAACAAATTTTCTCAACAGAACTATTTTAATCATTTTGAGGGGTTGATCTAGTCTCAGAGCAATCACTTTATATAAGTTGTGCCATAAATAGGAATTGATTGTACAGACATGCGGCTGCTGAATGCTGCTGACCAAATATGTTTTACCTTTACCATAGATACATATACAGACAAAATTTGTCTGGTGGGCCTGGGAGGGTTTTAACTTTAAAAACGTTTGCATGGTTTGGTGGAGCCAGAAGTAGTGACAGCGCCAGGAAACTTATCCCAAATGAAATAGATTGATTTTTGGTCTAGTCTACAAATATATTTAATTATGTTCCATTAAAAAGGCATATCAATTCCTTTCATAGCAAAAGCGCTCCTCACAATTTCTGTAAATTTGGCAGTTTAACGCTACGCGTACCGCCTTGACCGGACTGTGCGGTATCTGTGCAGTTCTGTGTGTAGAGAGGTCGAGCTGTATTCATTATTTCTTGGGGTGCATAAATTGCTCTAATTATACGTACGCGTGTAATGCGCAAGTTTATTGTGACGGCACTAAACCCATCCCACTCATTGTTCCCCTATTTTCATAATGGTACTGACCCAATGAAATGTAGTGCAGTGCGCTCGTACGCGCTGCGCTGCGTGTACTTATGCATGTTCAGTTATATGTGTATGCATAGCATTACGTACATGCATACAGGGCTAGCTGGCACAAAACCCTGGGTCGGGCTTCTAAAATGGGACATGAAGCATGATTTGACATGAAAATTGACGGAGCTAAAAATGAATCAATCAAAATGAAATTTATATGTATGAAAAGCTTACGTATCATATGTCATTGTCTGTGATTGAGGATTTACAAATTTGACGCAAAACGCGTTGCTGCAAAGTTAAAGATTGGTTTATTGAAAGGCAATCGAGCACAGTGCGACCGATCCATTGACATTGTGTATGAGAGAGTAATTTTTTTAAATGGATTGTAAAGTTCAACGTCAAAGTGACGGAGGTTTTTTTTCAAGTAAGGGCATGGTTTTACATGGAATGTAAAGGAAATGTTTCCTTCTTCTCATATCTCGATTGAGGATATTATTCTCAATTTCGATTTTTAATGGTAAAGAAAAGTGTAAAAAGATGTCGAGAATTTTACCATATGTCATGTAATATAAAATACGCGCGGGTCGGTTGATCTCCCAAAAGGAGCGCGAAGGAATTGATATGTATGTTCAAGTTTGATATTGTACTGTGCAATGTTGAGCTTTACAGACACTGATTAATTTGTAATGTTGGAAATTTAGAATAAGAATAAAAACATATTTATTGAGATTACCTGTTTATTGTACTTGACAAGGAAGTCAAACTGACACAGTTTGAGAACCATGACTGATCTCATTAACTCTAATGTAGTCTTGCTCCTGTAGGCAATTTCAGATATGAGTGTGAGGTATTGTGAATGGATATTTGAAAGCGTGTTCACTCGTCACACAACATAACTCTTATTTTTATTTTAGCTACGAGGAAACAAGGTTGCACTGGCAATAAAATACATGAAAGAAAGTATTCCCTTTTCGTTATGTTTATTGGGTACTGATGAGGCTGACGTACACTTGCAAAGTGTAGTCAAGCACAAGCCGAAAAATCGGAATAAGAATGCATAAATAAGAATTGAAGATATTGCACGTAGTTACATAATGATCAATGATGATAATGAACATGAATAAATGCGATGTACATAATGAAATGAATAGCGCTTACGACAGAGTGGAAATGAGGTTGAAAGTCCAATGAAGATGAAGAGAGTTGAGAACGAAGGAAGGGGCTCACGCGATGAAATGTGCGGAGGCTTGAAGAGGCGGAAACGCGACTTCGTTGACGTGGTTGAAGAACCGTGAAGAACGCGATGTCGTCGCCGACGCTCGTGATGATGATGAATGTAGATGGAGCTCTCGGGCGAGAATAGAAGAGAAGAGAAGAGATGTGTGGCGCTCGATGACGAAAGCAGTGAGTCGCTTGATGTCGGAGGCCAAAGAAGAAAATGCAGACATCAAAGCCGGTAGTGGTGCTGAGACGGTGAGTCGCTCGATTGATGAGCCGAACTTTGATGATGAATGTTTAGATGAGCTGCGGTGAGTCGAGCTCATGTGAGTGAAAGACTACCGGTGAAGAAACTGGCAGCTCCCAGCGGATAACCAAGCACCATATATGTCGGAACAAGATTTAACTGTTCCACTGGAAGACTGCAGCCCGATGAACCCGGCAGGGAAAGTGAAGATGTGCCGATAGAGGTGAAAGGCACGGTAGAAACAAGCCCGGAGAAGAAATCATGCAGAAACGTGTTGACTCAACTGAGATGTAAGCAGGAGTTGTTGACTCGACCGAGGTGTAAGCGGGAGTGGAGAAAACCTCGTGGTGATGAAAATACGCGGGGTGAACGATGCGCGTAACCACGATGCTCGATTGGAGGAATGAACACACGTGGTACGAATAATGAATATAAAATAGTACCGTGATGGAAAAATACAGGAGACATGAATGTACGGTGAAAGTAGGGCATGTAAGAGCCGCTACATTACTCCCCTGCCAGAATTGAAGCTGTGTATGCAATACACAGATGAGAGGCGAAAAAGATATAAATGAGCAAAGTACAAAATGTCACAAGAATCAATGGCAGATAAAAATGTAAAAGTGCATGTATTGTATAGCGTATGCAGTAATTTACAACAGCCCAGGAAATGTACAAGCATGGCATGTTGAAAGAATGTAAACAACAAGCATGGTATGCGAACGGCTGTTTAGTTGCCAAAAATAGAACAGTGAGTATTGACATGGTATGCATCGAATAAACGTGTATAAATGCAAGAGCATAAAAAGGCATTCGATACATAATCCAGAATGAAGACATTTTATAAAACATTGCTTAGTCCAAAAAGTCAGGGAATAATAAAATCGTACAACCAAGCTTCCAAGTAAACGAGGGGTCACCACTTTAGAGATATGAGTGTGAGGTATTGTGAATGGATATTTGAAAGCGTGTTCACTCGTCACACAACATAACTCTTATTTTTATTTTAGCTACGAGGAAACAAGGTTGCACTGGCAATAAAATACATGAAAGAAAGTATTCCCTTTTCGTTATGTTTATTGGGTACTGATGAGGCTGACGTACACTTGCAAAGTGTAGTCAAGCACAAGCCGAAAAATCGGAATAAGAATGCATAAATAAGAATTGAAGATATTGCACGTAGTTACATAATGATCAATGATGATAATGAACATGAATAAATGCGATGTACATAATGAAATGAATAGCGCTTACGACAGAGTGGAAATGAGGTTGAAAGTCCAATGAAGATGAAGAGAGTTGAGAACGAAGGAAGGGGCTCACGCGATGAAATGTGCGGAGGCTTGAAGAGGCGGAAACGCGACTTCGTTGACGTGGTTGAAGAACCGTGAAGAACGCGATGTCGTCGCCGACGCTCGTGATGATGATGAATGTAGATGGAGCTCTCGGGCGAGAATAGAAGAGAAGAGAAGAGATGTGTGGCGCTCGATGACGAAAGCAGTGAGTCGCTTGATGTCGGAGGCCAAAGAAGAAAATGCAGACATCAAAGCCGGTAGTGGTGCTGAGACGGTGAGTCGCTCGATTGATGAGCCGAACTTTGATGATGAATGTTTAGATGAGCTGCGGTGAGTCGAGCTCATGTGAGTGAAAGACTACCGGTGAAGAAACTGGCAGCTCCCAGCGGATAACCAAGCACCATATATGTCGGAACAAGATTTAACTGTTCCACTGGAAGACTGCAGCCCGATGAACCCGGCAGGGAAAGTGAAGATGTGCCGATAGAGGTGAAAGGCACGGTAGAAACAAGCCCGGAGAAGAAATCATGCAGAAACGTGTTGACTCAACTGAGATGTAAGCAGGAGTTGTTGACTCGACCGAGGTGTAAGCGGGAGTGGAGAAAACCTCGTGGTGATGAAAATACGCGGGGTGAACGATGCGCGTAACCACGATGCTCGATTGGAGGAATGAACACACGTGGTACGAATAATGAATATAAAATAGTACCGTGATGGAAAAATACAGGAGACATGAATGTACGGTGAAAGTAGGGCATGTAAGAGCCGCTACAAATTTGTAATGTTGGAAATTTAGAATAAGAATAAAAACATATTTATTGAGATTACCTGTTTATTGTACTTGACAAGGAAGTCAAACTGACACAGTTTGAGAACCATGACTGATCTCATTAACTCTAATGTAGTCTTGCTCCTGTAGGCAATTTCAGATTCTGAAAATGAGAGATCCAAACTTCTAGGCGAGGGTCCAGCTCCTGCCTCATGATCATGGTGCACAAGTTCCACATCATCTTTGCTAACAGAAGAAATGTCCCCAATGTTCTCTGGCGCTGGCTTTGGTGATGCTGCACTAGCACTCTTGAATTTCACACTGGTTTCACTGCACAATAAAACACGACCATGGGGTCTGTGATGCCCTTCCCCCGTCAATGGCCCGACACTTCTGCTGATAGAGAGAAGATTGAGTCGGGATCGCGGGAGGATAGTCAGACGATACGCCATTGTATTATCTATTTGGTTGGTTGGTGGCTGTATTAATACTTGAAGCAGTTTTAACCAGGCACAGGCACAGTAAATAATGGAAATTTCGAGTATCTACTTTCTTTACATGCACAGTGCAGTCAGTTTAAAATACCGGTACCAGTATTACTATCAGTATCACGTATACATTTGCATAGTAGCATTGAAAACAAGCAGTGTGATTAGCGATTGTGTAAGCGCGCCCTTTCCCTCTGCATCATCATCTGTTCTCGATCATCAGTCGATGCAGGCTCCGGCTCGGGTTCAGGGAAAACACTTTCTCGCAAAGAGTTGGGTGCAACCCGGTGTTTAGTCAGTGTGCCAGTTAGTTTAGTGTGCCTGTATATGTATACAATTACAAAACTGGGAATTTTCCTACAGATCTTCGTAAGAAGAAAGCTCGGCAGGCGACTTGCCGAGCGGATTTGTAGACAGCTCACCGGTTAATGTACATATGCCGGTACTTGAAATTATGTTTACTTACTAGGTACGATATGACGCGCTACACTGACGTCATACAGTGTTTCGCAATGAAATGTCTAGACTTAAAAACGTTTTTTTTTGTTAAATTATTGTATTGAATTATCAATTTGTGATATATTTGATTGTTAATAGTTATTCAAAATAGTTTATTAAAACAATTTTTTTTTTTTATTCTTAATACTTTTCAAATTTAACGTATTATCTCGTTAAAAACAAAAATCTTAAAAATATTGTAATAAAAGACTGATCATGTCTTGCATGCACCTGGCGACATTTATTTCCATTGCTTTGATTGGTTGGAAAAGTGGGCGTGTAGGAGGTTCGCCGTACTACTTGAGCTAGAACTTATTTGACGCATATCGCCCCCGTGGGGGTGATAAAGGCCTAAACGAGCAAACAAACAAACGAACAAAGAACATTAATTTAAAATCTACGTTCACAACATATTTAAAAGATATATACAAGTGTCACTTAATTCTTTGAACACTTTTCTTTTCTCGTTACAGAAATGAGGGGAAAAAAATGTCCTCTTCCCCCCCCCCCGTTACGATTTTTTGGGGATCAAAAAAAAAAAAAAATCCTTTACCCCCACCCCCCCCCCCCCCCTTGAAAAAATCCTGCGTACGCCACTGCCCGAGGTATCCTTAGAAATATACAAATAAGTAAATACATAAATAATACTAATGGGATTGTGTAACCCTATACACTAGCTGACTGAATATGAACTTCTTTACCGATCTCTTAACATTTAGAGGGGAGGGATGAGGGGAGAGCTAAAATGGTGGCTTAATTATAAGACTTGAATTAGTCCATCATGATCCGGGACCATGATAGCATAAACAAACTTAGCAAGCCCAATTTAAAAAGTTAATTTCTAGGTATTAAACTTCATTTCTATTTTAAAAGTCCTTGATCTATCATAGTAGTAGCATGGCAAAACTTAACGTCACATCTTTCTATAGCACCACTGGGAGAAGAGTTTTACCCAGTCTACATTCTGTCAAATGAATTGCCCTTTTTTTTGGGGGGGGGGGGGCAGTATAAACAAATATTTGTCAAGAGCAAATCTTTTATATTTTATAATTCACACAGGTGCTAGGATGTTTTAAATAGTATCATACCAACTCTGAATCAAGATCAACGGCGTACAAAGTCCACTATTCATTCATGATTTTTTTTTTCTAGAAGATAAACATCAGTTAGACGTATCACCCATGCACTCTACTCCTGATTAAACTTCTGTACAGATTAACCTGCTTGTAAGATTCGCTTCCGTAACTCTAGATCAGCGTTGGATTGCATGGGTCGCTCGAATTTTTCATTTTTCATGATTTCCGTGCTTTTATAAACACAGTCATTACAAAGGATAAAGAATAAAGCTGATTTCCCTTGCAACAATAATATATTTTTGACAAACCGAAGGCGTACGAACACCAGATAACTTCTCGGTATTTAGATCTAGAGGTCTATAACAGCTGCATTTTTCTGTCTCAGAAAAGTTTAGTTTAGTATTTTTTATTCAAAGTAATCAAAGCATGCAGGTAATATATTCTGTTTGGGGACCTTCCTCTAACAAGCCCAGCTTCAAGGTCTCCTCTTTCTTATATGTACAGAACATGAGCCAGGCGCGAATCAAGGATTTCTTAGGAGGGGACCCAAATTTGAAATTAAGGGGCCCCAAAAAATCGCACGGGGGGGGGGGGTTCCCCGAAAAACATACACATAAAAAAAAAACTCAAGGGGGGGGGGGTGAACCCCACCCCCCCCCCCTGCGTACGCGCCTGTACGAGCCAAATATTGGTACGTATTGGTGACCAGCATGACGTAATGGGGGGGGTGCAGGAAGGGGCGATTTTCCCCCTCCCTCCTCCGCAAAGCGCGGAAGCTTTTGACGTTTCATTTAATCATTAGAGAAAGAAGACGATTCGTTGTACCGTTCTCGAAAATAATCCTCGTCTGAATACAGTCCACCCCCCCCCTCTTCCCGCGCGAAGCGCAGAAGCTTTTACGTTTCATTAAATCATTACAGAAAGAATACGATTCGTTGTACCTTTCTCGACTCTAATCCTCGTATGAATTCAGCTTTCCCTCCTCCCTCCCGCGCGAAGCGCGGAAGCTTTTACGTTCATTAAAATCATTAGAGAAAGAAGACGATTCGTTGTACCGTTCTCGACTCTTATTCCTCGTCTGAATTCAGTTTTCCCCTACCCTTCCCGCGCGAAGCGCGGAAGCTTTGACATTTTATTAAATTATTAGAGAAACAAGACGATTCGTTGTACCTTTCTCGAAAATAATCCTCGTCTGAATTCAGTTTACCTCCCCCCCCCCCCCTCTCGCGCGAAGCGCGGAAGCATTTACGTTTCATTAAATTATTAGAGAAAGAAGACGATTCGCTGTAACGTTCTCGTCTCTTAATCCTTGTCTCAGTTCAGTTTTTCCCCTCCCCCCTCCTGCGCGGAAGCTTTGACATTTTATTAAATTATTAGAGAAAGAAGACGATTCGTTGTACCTTCTCGAAAATAATCCTCGTCTGAATTCAGTTTACCCCCCCCCCCCCCAAGCTATTACGTTTCATTAAATCATTAGAGAAAGAAGACGATTTGTTGTACCGTTCTCGACTCTTATTCCTCGTCTGAATTCGGTCTCCCCCCCCCCCCCCTCCCCCCCCCGCGCGAAGCGCGTAAGCATTTTACGTTTCATTAAAATATTAAAGAAAGAAGACGATTCGCATTACCATTCTCGACTCTTAACCCTTGTCTTTATTTAGTTCCCCCCCCCCCCCCCCTCCCGCGCAAAGCGCGAAAGCTTTGACATTTCATTAAAATTATTTAAGACAGAAGACGATTCGCTGTAACGTTCTCGTCTCTTAATCCTTGTCTCAGTTCAGTTTTTCCCTCCCCCCTCCTGCGCGAAGGCTTTGACATTTCATTAAATTATTAGAGAAAGAAGACAATCGTTGTACCGTTTTCGACTCTTAATCCTTGTCTGAATTTCAAAAATGTTTTTTGTCTGCTCCTTTTTCTTCCTACGTCCTCTTCCTTTTCTATCCTCTCTTTTTTTTGACGGCTTTTTTGGGGGGCCGCCCCCACCGCCCCCTGGCTACGCGCCTGCGGTCAGATGAACATTTGTCCGCCCCCGGAAACTCAGGGGTTTAAGGCAATAAATTATGGTCAGAAAAGCATTCAGGGTCCCGCCTTAGGGCCCCTGGTGGGGTCGAGGGTGCGAAAACCCCGGAATCTCAGGGGTTTTAGGCATTTGATTACGGTCAGATGAACGTATTTTTATACCTTATTTGTGACACTGACAGGACACTAATTGGCGTGAGGTCCAGCGGGCGGAGCCCCCAGAAGCTCAAGGGTTTTAGGCACTACATTACGGTCAGATGAGTACCAAGGGGCCCGTCTTAGGGCCCTTAGTTGAATCCCGGGGCAGAGCCCCCGTAAGCTCAGGGATTTTAGGCGTTTAATTACGGTCAAATGAGCATTTTTTATACCTTATTTTGTTGTGACACTGGCAATTAACTATTCTTTCTTTCTTGCTCTCTTTCTTTCTATTTCTCTTTAATATTCTTTTTCAAAAAATTCGGGGGGGGGGGGAGGAGGGAGCTGGAAGCTCCTGATCCCCGACGTTCCGCGGGCCCTGACATGTAGGCTTCTCAAGAGGCATATTTTTTGCCTGGCTGCAAATTTAGGAATTTGTCATTTTACAACAAACGCATAAACAAGTATAATTTACTAAAACTGGCGTACTGATGTGGGGGGGGGGGGGTAGGCAGTTGACCCCACAAATAAAATTCAAACGTGGTTTATTCTAATTCGGTACCAGTGATATACAAATGTTGCTGAAATGACATGATTTTCTGGGTTTTTTCTTTCACTTTTGCCCATTATGCCAGAGGCGGCACTCTCGGTGGGGGGGGGGGGGGGCACTGTGCCCCCACTTGTTCAGGTACTCCCCAAAAGCCCATTTTCAAATGGCCTTTTCTCTTCTAATAACCGTCCTTTTCCTCTCTTTTTTCTGGTGAGTACGTCTTTTCAGATGCGAGAAATTCCCCTTTCACCTTTTATACTTTTGCCCTTTTATTTTGACTCGTGCCCCTTTCCTTTTTAATAAGTGTACTTTTTCCTTCTTATTAAGAACCCCCTCCCCATTCTCTTAAATGTCCCTTTTCATCTCTGATAAGCGCCTCTTTTATTTTGACACGTGCCCCTTTTCCTTTTTAACAAAGTAGCATAGTTTCCTTATGATAAGTGCCCTTTTTCTTTGTTATATTAGCCCCTCCCCTTATCAAAAATGCCCCTTTTAACATCTGATAAATGCCCCTCTTAAAATCTGATAGGTGCCCTCTTCCTTCAAAAGATTCCCCATTTCCATTCTCATAAGTGCCTGTTGAGTGTCCCTTTTCAGGTGCAAGAAGTGCCATTGTCACCTCTGATAATTGACCTTTTACTTTGACACGAGCACTTTTTCTTTTCTAATAACTGTCCTTTTGATAAGTGCCTACTTTTTCTTTCTCCATAACATGCACCCCTAATTCAAGGTGATTTAGAGCCCCCTGTTCTTTAATTTTCCCTAGAGATAGCTCGCTCCCATTAATATGAAATTACTTTACACTCTTTCTTCATTAGATTGTGCTTGATACTCATCTGGGTTTTTTCCTTCCTTCATTTTATGAGATGTAATTTTTTTTGCACTGGGCCCTCTGTATCTTAACATTTTTGCTCGCTTTGCTCGCTCGAAAATTCAGACCATTACACCCAACTGCACAGTATGTTGCTTAATTAAGCAGTATCTTGTTCCACGTAAAGAAAACAAAACTATCGATATCATCCCTGGTAGGGTAATCGCAATCATGACGATGTAGGTGTAACTATATACCAATGTATTTTTTTTTCATGTTTCCCTTTGTAGGTTTATGCTACTTGGTGGTAATACTGATTTTGTTCTGACCCCCCCCCCCCCCAAGTTTTTGCTCATTACGCCACTGGCAATAACACATTAAGGAAAACTATACATTTTAGAAGTTTTTTTTAGAAAAGGACCAATGGGAGGGGACGTCCCAAGATACTTTACAGAGTTACCAATTTGTATTTGATTGATTGCACCTTCAACAATTCGAAACTTTCTTGTTTTTAATAGTTTTTTCTCAAACTTTCTATTTTTTTCTATTTTTTTTTTTTTGTTGCTTTAATTAAAACCAACCTAATATCAGGGTCAACTTCCCCATTAAAATGCAAACTTCACATATTACAAATCAAAATTTTCTTCCTCAATCTCTACGCTCCCATCTATTAGCGGGGGGGGGGGGCAAATTTTCTACCCCCTACAACAAATTGCAGAATAACGATTATCTTTTAACGTTTATTAAATCTTCCCTGTAAAATACCATCGCTGACAAAAATAACAATATTAAATGTATTGTCCACTATGCAAAGTTGCTATTCCAAAATAAAATGTCGTACACTGCCTTGTTTCTTATCATGCAGGCGATTCCATGATTCTTAGCACTTTATACAAAGAAGTTGTAAAAGAAACAAAACAGGGGAGATTGGCCCAGAAGGGACATCGCGAATTGTAAAATTGCGAATCTTGTGAAATTCGCAACAGAATATTATGCACGGTCGGATCTTGCCATTGGGGGGGGGGGGGGATTGACCAAAAGAAATTCCTAAAATCACGCCGTTTTACTGTTTTTACCTTTTTTCCCCCCACTTGGCCGCCTAAGGGGGGGGGGGGTTAAATCGCCGACCCCCCCCCCCCCCCCCCAAGATCCGCCCCTGATATGCGACTTGTTGCATTGTTCTTGCCTCTTGGTTTAGTGGTAACCTATTGAGAGGGAGGGAGGGAGGGAGGAGAGAGAGAGAGAGAGAGAGAGAGAGAGAGAGAGAGAGAGAGAGAGAGAGAGAGAGAGAGAGAGGAGAGAGAGAGAGAGAGAGAGAGAGAGAGAGAGAGAGAGAGAGAGAGAGAGAGAGAGAGAGAGAGAGAGAGAGAGAGAGAGAATTGAGGAAGTTCTCCCTCTACGTTTTGCATCGGACATGGATATGTGACTTCGTTGTAGATTTCAGAGAAGCTGCGCTGCTATTATTGTACTTTTTACTCAATATGACTGGGATAAAGTTCACCTAATCATGGGCAAAAAGAGAGATTCAAGTGTTGGAGGATATGGTTAGTTCAATATTGCAATTCTTTTTCAATAATAATTATTAAATTTATCTTGGAAAATTAAGAGGGAATGACAATGAATCATGATTTGGGGTAACTCCAGCTCCAGGGAGCTCCGGCGCCGATGCCGAAGGCTTCGGAGCTCCAGAGCTCAGTGCCCGCTTATGAAAACGATTTAAACGGCGGGTTGGTTTGTTTTCGCAATCGGTATAGCCACAATCAGGGTGTAACTATTCTTCTAGACTATTCTCCTAGACTTGTTCCTAGAAACCAACGACAAGACAGTCGTAACTTTATCCGCCAACTACGGAGATGTCTCTGATCTTCCTAAACCGTTTCACGAAGAGCTTACTAGCTAGTATCTCGTGAGATCGATACTATATCAGCAAGAAGAGGAGCCGAGACTTAGCCTTAGTCAATACCACCGGATTATTACAAAAGTAATAGACTAGACTATTAGGGAAAATACAATTATACAAATGAATTAGTAATAAAAAAGCCAGTAAGATGGATGTTAAGAACTACAGACCATTCAGCTTGACATCAGTACCATGCAAAATTCTGGAGTCGCTCATTCGAGATGAGATAGTTGCCCACCTGATGGAAAATGACCTACTGTGTGATGAACAGCATGGCTTTGTTCCAGGACGCTCTTATGTGACACAGCTTCTGACTGTCGTGGAGGCATGGACTGAGATGCTGGATAAAGGAACCCCTAATGATGTGGTATACTTAGACTTCAAGAAAGCTTTCGATAGTGTACCTCACCTTCGCCTTCTATTAAAACTTGAGACATACGGTATATGTGGCCAAATTAAGGAATGGATAGCAGACTTCCTCCAAGGTAGATGCCAGAGAGTTAGAGTCAATGATGAATTATCTGACTGGACAAAAGTAAGGAGCGGAGTGCCGCAGGGTAGTGTTCTCGGCCCAACAATGTTTGTCTTGTGCATCAATGACCTACCAGATGGACTTCAAGGGTCTGTCAAGATCTATGCTGACGACACTAAATGGCAAAGCATCCACCAAAGATGATCTGTGCTCAATCCAATCTGACCTTGATGCACTAATGGAATGGAGCAATACATGGCAAATGCACTTCAACACACAAAAGTGCAAAGTACTACACATAGGCCCAGGAAACGTCAAACACATCTATGCCCTTGGAGATGATGTCCTTGAAGCTACATCAGAGGAGAAAGATCTCGGCATCCTCATTGATGACGAGCTAAAGTTGCATAACCATGTGGCATATGCTGTCAAGAAAGCCAACGGAGTACTCTCCTGCATCCGTCGCAGCTTTGAGTGCAGAGACAGGTCAACAATTCCAAAGCTGTACAAAGGCCTTGTCAGACCTCTCATAGATTACGGAGATTCCATATGGTACCCTCGCTTCAAGACTGACTCCAAAACCATAGAGAGGGTGCAGAAGAGAGCTACCAAAATGATTTATGACATCCGCAACCGTCCTTACATAGAGAGACTTCGGGCGCTCAACCTTCCCTCCCTCGAATATCGCAGACGGCGAGGCGACATGATTCAGGTTTTCAAAATCATCCATGGACTTGAACGCATCCCAGTTGATACCTTCTTTGAACACTTGACTAGCAACACAAGAGGCCACAGTCTAAAGATCGTAAAACAAAGATGCTCAACGAAGATTAGACAGGATGCATTCAGCCAACGTGTCATCAATGACTGGAACACACTTCCTGAAGAGGTAGTCACTGCTACCACGGTGAATGCCTTTAAAGCCAGACTGGATCGAGTATGGAAGGACAAGCGTTTCTGCTCCCCATATGAGTAGAATACCCGACGCAGAACTGAGCCAGACAAACTTACCAAGAAGACACCCAACTACGAGAAGGAAGAAAATGAAATTGAACTGGAAGCCCGACTGCTGAGAACACAGCATTCTTCCAGAATATCGGGTAAAGGTAAAGGATACCAAGAAATAAGAGATGCAATATACTTCCAAATTTGTTTAGATTATACAATAAAAGTACTTGTAAAATATAATGTGAGTATTTCATTACATGACCGGTGCGGTGAATCAGTTTTGTTCTTGAATTGAGATGGGTACCCCCCGGATATTTTCATTTGATAGTTTATAAAAATCCACCAATATATTATTCTTAGAAAAATACGATGTAATGAAATTTGTGTCCAATGTTTTAGGTGTCAGTTGGATAATCAAATGACAAAACTTCAACATTCCAAACGTTAAAAAACATGTTTTAATCTATTCATTTTACACATTTGAAGATAGAATTCATCTCCAAGGCAATATGGGTCTGAAAAGTAAAGAATACACTTCGAACTATGGCTTGCCTCCCGAGGATTTTACAATATGTAAAGAAACGCGTATAATCAGTTTATAAAAGTGGGAAAAACCTTAAATAAAAACATGGCATATTTTTAAAAGATTTTCCAATGTAAAGAAATGATAACTTCCTGTTTGAGTGAATGTGAAGAAAGATCATAGCTGGAGGATTTATTGTCCTTTCTTGCTAGCCATAGTCTACCCAATAAATGACATGTGGTGGCGCTGCCCATCGACTAAATAGTTATGACAGAGATAAGACGGTGTTAAAGGCGTCATAACTCCTTAGTCAGGAAGTTGTCCTTGATGTTAGCAAAGAGGGCTTCGTGAAACACGTAGCGGACAAGTTGCTCACTAACGCTGATTTAGTCAAGAAGTTAGACTAATGACGGTTTCTAGGTACGAGCCCCTTAACATTAACATGATCAGCTGACTTGAACAAGTCAAGCATTAAAAAGTGTCCTTCTGTACTATTGGACATAATGAACTAAAAACTTCCTGTAGTTATTAATAAAGTTGAAAGGAATCAAGGTAAAAACTAAAATTTGGCCACAATGTACTAGTATTAGAAGGAGAAAAGCATATCACTAAAATCAGATGGAAAATGATATAAAAGGTGAAAACAATTCAACAAAATAAGATCTACACTGTACCTTTTCTGTGCCGCTCGGCACACAGGGGCAGACCTATACCGGTACATGTAGATCACAATAGCCACCACGTCTGCTGGCAAGATCATGATAATATTGCAGGCGCCTGTCACACTCAATCGTATTCCAGCAAATAACACCATCATGCAGAGCCAAAAGGCTTGTGTTGATCCAGAGGAATTTCTCCTCTGGTCCCCAAAACATGATTGTACACTGTATTTTGACTGGGTTCCTCTTTAACTGATAATCATGCATAAACTGACTTCAGGAACTTGTCATCCTTTTGGGATTGCAGAAAAAAAAAAATTATTATTTGAATTGTCCACTGTTGTGGCATTAACATAAAGACTGTCCCCATTATATTTAGCCACGTAACTACATAGTGTCACTTTGGAGATATTTATATAATATTGACTGGCCTTGAGGGGTATATCAGAAATATTGACCAAGCTCAGATCATATTGCCCCGAGTCGAAAGACGAGGGCAATATGGTCTTAGCGCGGTCAATATTTCTGATATCCCCCGAAAGTAAAGCCAGTCAATATTTGTATTGTTATCCAAATCAGACATCTAGAGCAAATACACAAATCCACCGTGACAATCTCAAGAACTGAACAAACTTTGTCAAACCAGCACTGTGCATCCCGCGGCTTGACACAATTTTCGTTACACTGCAAACAGTGTGCATTTGGTGTGATTATTACGTCACAATAGAGTGCGCGCAAAGTGCACAGGTTCTCGTACGCATAATAGATGCGCAATGAAAATGACAAAATACGGCGCGGTCAAAAGATGCCGGGATGCGAGACCGTGGAAAATACCAAGTATATTTTCACTCTTCTCTACACGCAAAGTCAATACGCGCAGGGAGACCAAGGAAAATACAAAGAATATACCCCTCCGTTCCCACTGCTAGTGAAAACTAGGGCAATACGGTTTTGTAAATGACCAGCTCAGATGTCTGATACGGGTAATAATAAAAGATAGCCGTTTTATGGCTTCAAAAATAGAGAGTCTATACTGTCACTCAAATCCTAACCCTATGGTTTGAAGATTTAATAAAAAGAATTCAACACTATTATTACGAGTCCCTCAGTCTTTATTCCATACTTGCCTCCCATGCTTGACGAACATGTAACATGCTGTAAATGACTATTTTGACCTTGCAACATGCGTTATTGCCATGCATTACATTATCTCTTGATCACATTGTTTACATCAATATAAATATTATGTTTAATTGGACATCATGACATATATATACCGGTAGTACAATGTACACTGTAGGTCTAAAAGTGAGATCATAAGCTTGTACACATGCAAGTGGTCTTACTATGATAAGTGATAAGTCTGATGAGTTGTTTATAGCAAGATAGAGAGTCTAATGTTATTTTGACGATGACATGGAAAAGTTTCTGATACAGAGCCAGATGATGATTTTGTTTCTAAATTCTCAATCATGCTATGCAATGTTGTGCATGTTGCATTTCTGTGGAATCTTGTTTGAACTTGTTTATTTTTTCTCATCAGACTATGTGAGCAGCCCCCAGCCTCACAAGAAGCACAAGAAACGTAAACACAAGAAGCACAAGAAGCATCGCGAGTCTGGCAATGGAGGTCAAAGTTCAGATACAGGACAAAGCGAACTTGTAGAAGCAACCGACTCCTTGACCGGCAAACCACAGCTCAAACTTAAGATCAAAATCGGTGGCCAGACATTGAGGACAAAGAGGTACACTTTAATATTGATGCTATTTTTTCACATATATGTTCCAGAGTACAAAGCAAATGTAATCGTGATAACCTTCCGATCTCTCCTCCCAGTACAACTAATTCAAAAATGTGTAGATGTACCCCTAAACTTAAATTCCTTATGTCCTTTCAAGGACACCTTAAAACAAAATGTGCATAGGTTGTGACTCTCCTATAATAAATAAATAATAATAATAAAAACGTTACTTATAAAGCGCTTACCACCAAAGTCTTTAAGCGCAGGGCTTCCATTTAACATCCTACCCAAGGGACTTTGACTGTAGTTTGGCATACCTTTTGTCTTTTGAACATGGGAGGGGTCATTTGACAATTAAGGCTTCAGATTTGAACCCATAGCCTTTGGTTTACAAGAAGATGCTCTTCTCTTCAGATTGAGCCATCTACTTGCCCCCTTGTTCAGTATTCTCTCTTTATTTGTTCAATATAAACAATTTAGAACATACATGTATTCAAATGATTGATTATACTCTACATTTGTCTGCTGTAAACTGAGAATGTCAACCTGAAAAAGTAACTCCAGGTTACCCTTTTTCTTATTAAATCTTAAAGATATTAACCAGTCTTTGTGAAGTTGAAACAAAAGGTTGACCATTCAATGGGGTATTGATTTGCCTTCTGGCATCATTTAATATAGCAGAGAAGACAATTTATTTTTGCTTCACTTATTTGACAAGATAAATGAATTCACAAATTGAATTTTGGAGAAAAAAAATGAAAATACTCAGTTGACTGTACACATTAATTTTTACATATTGAGCAAACCCCATTGAACATACAAGAGAGTTAATATAATGACAGTATTTTCATTCCTATTCAGCTTTGATAAGATAAGTGTGACAGCATCATCAGATGATCCAAGTGAAGATGAAGAAGAAGAAGAAGAAGAAGACACATTGGATGATGATGTCAGTAATGATACATGGAGGGGTAAGTTGAACTTCATCAAGTTTAATATATATATTTCATGCCCACTTTGAGAATGCAATGTGAAAACAAAAAATAGGATTATAACTTGTGGAAGTTTGAAAATTGTTGAAAACTTGGTGGCTCTAAAAAGAGGTTGATAAGAGTCATCATGTACATGTACATCTCAGTTTTCAATCTGATAAATCGGGATCATAGAATCATCATTATTTGCGTGCAAGCATCAAGTAATGAGGAAATGAAAAGTTGAATTATGCAATTACAAAGATGGATATGATTGCGAGATTTATTCAGGGTTTTGATTTCTGAGTCTCACAATACTTCTGAATACAATGTATATGAGACTACATGTTTATTTATTTTTTTTGACAATTTTAATTGGGATTTTTCACATACTTTGAGGTGTCCCATTCTGAAAATAGCTTGAAAGAGTGCCATTATACACTATTTTATAATAATCATTTTTTTTTTTTTTTTTTTTAATGGCTTTACTCCAAAAATTACACTTTCCTGCTGAAACCAGTACTTGATCAATATCTCTGGCAGGATTTCACTTACCAATGGTCCATTTGAGTGAAATGGTACTGCATCTTAAGCCTCATTCAGATATTTGTTGTTGTTGTTGAAATAAATCTTTATTCAGATACAAAATCATGGATAACATCATACATAAGTATTTATAACAAGCATTTCATCACATGTTTAAATGAGATCAAATTATGTATCTATATATTCAGATATGATTTTATAAGGTGTGCAAAGTGTAATATGCTTAACATTTTTGTATCTTTTAATGAAAAGCTCAGTGAATACCCGAAGGAGCTTTGTTTCCCGAAAGCGCTATGTATTTACACATTAACAAAACAGGCAGCTTTTTTGTCGCTTTTTACCACGTCATATCTAAATAAGCCTTCAGGATGAAACATTTGAATTGTAGGCTGGCACTATGCCTTGATACATTTATTACCCTGTCTGTAAATTTTGTGAGTGATGTTGAAATCACCAAGACCAAGGTTGCAGTGTTATTGCATGGGGGAATTCTGAATTTGGAGGTGAATACATATTATATATTAAATAACGAAGGGTAATTGCATTCTTAATTTAGAGGTGAATATATATTATATTGAGTACCGGTAACCAAATGCATGCAATATTTTTGCTTTGAAATTGAAGGGTAATTGCAGTCTAATGCCTTGCTTATATCCTGTCATCCTTCTTGATTAGTTTCAGATTGCCTTCAGTGTCAAATATGCACAGCTGAAACATAGCAAACAGTAGGTACACACAGTCAAGCATGGATGCACAATATAATACTATTGATACATCTTTTGTACACAATAATACAAACATAATACATTACACACTTGTGCACATTATTAGTGTTAGCTTTTAAGCCAATAACATACCCTCTACCTCTATCAAATACCCTATGTCATATCATCATTTTTTCATTTGTTGCATAGGAGCTACCCCAAGTCCTGTATCTCAGGCCAGCAGTACCGGTAGACCATTATCTAAGCGCTCTAAAGAACAGGCAGAGGAGGAGGCTTGGTTGGATGCTCTAGAGGCTGGCAAGCTAGACGAGTATGGAGAGATACCAAAACCCAAAGATGAATCACTTCTTACTGCTAGACAGGTATTACATCTATTCTTTGTTTTAGTGTGTAATATACTTCATGGATAATCTAATCAAGCAAGCTAGATGAGTCCTAAAGATGCTAAAGCTTTGGTATATGGAGGGCAGCACAAGGACACCGCCATAATCTCCCGAAGGAAACTCAGTGTGTGCATCGGAGTGGTTTCGGAGTAACGTGCGTAATAATAATAATAATAATAGCTCACATTTATAATGCGCCTCATACATTGTACTTTGTTTCTAGGCGCAGCACATAATAATAAGCCGGGATTTGTGAAATAGGCAAGTTGGCGATCACTACATAAGACTGAGCCAACGGGTATTACGTTCCCATGTGTAAAAAGTTTGCAAGATGGCATACATTGTAGGTATCACACATCCATGTGATGCCCTCTTGAGTACATCCCCAAGTTTGAGCATTTTTTAAGATGAATCACTTCTTACTGCTAGGCAGGCACATGTCTTCAAACTTTCCAAAGTTCACCTCCACACAAATATCAATACATTAAATGCATATTTAAGACAAATATTTGATTATATATAGATATATATTTATAATTGTTGTTATGATGTGCTGATAATCTTGATCAGTGTAGTGAATGTATACAATTGTTTATTGGGCAACAATGTTTACAAACATTTTTAAAAATTTTGTTTTGTATTTTTTCAATAGAAGTGTATTAAAGAATAAGATCATTTTATTTGGACAGGATGATTTGCATATGCATTAAAATAGACATTTCAGTTATTTGATGAGTGATAGATTTGAAATTTGAACCATGAATTGATAATCTCTTTTAGCAGCTCCTTGAAGCTATCCAGGATGATGAATTGCTGTATGTCGATGAGAGATGCCATGGTGAAGCAAAGGATTCTAATGAAAGAAATACTCTGAAAAGTTAGATGAAGTTGGTATATGTTTATTCTTTGTACATGTTTTTGTAACTACACAAGGAGAAATCAGAATAGCTCTAATCTGAAATGTTTATAATGATATTTCATGACAAATTTCTTTTTCATTTTTCATTGTTACCAAGAAATCTCTCCTGAAAAGAATAGCTGCAGAAGAAGAAGACTTGACACCATCATCCTTCTTTGGCGCCCAAGGCAAGATCCCTGAGATGACAGAGGAAATGATTGAAAAGAAAGCTGAGAAAGCTCAGAGGAGGAGAGTACAAGAAAGACGGAAGCAGGAAGAAAACAAGGTACACAACTCCAACTCAAGATAAGTTGGCATCGTTTGCAAAGATGTTCATAAAAATCTTCTGCTATGATAAGTTGTTAATAACTAGGTTTTGTTGTTGTAATTTGGATGTCAATTGGATGTATATTTGTAAATCAATGTTTTATCATTTATAATGATAAAATCATCAAATATCTATGAATTTCAATTTGAGTTTGTACATATTTGGTAGAGATTCTCAGGAATCCCTCACTAGGAGGCCTTTTTAGGGAATTTCTTCTTGTCAATTTTTTCGTTACCGGTATTTAAATTCTTTCAACAGATTTTGTTTAAAAATCATTTCTAATTTGGAATCTGGCCTGTGTGAATGACTCTTTGTTACTTACTTTATCTTCTTTTGTTTTGTACAGAAACAAACAATAGAAAAGCTGCTCAAGAAACAAGATGCTAAATTGAAGGCTGCTAAGGTAAGAACCAGAAAGGAACTACATCTATTACTTTGATTATTACCCTTTTTCTAGTATTTCATCTGTACATACCATTTAATAATATATTTCAATGTGTATGACATCAGACAAGAGCTCTTGAACATTAGGATTGATTTTCTACTTTTTTTTATACTTTTATTGTCATTCTGTGTAGATATCTACACATGCATAATTCAACATTTATTTCCTTGTCTTCAAAATCTGTAATGGTCTGACTTGTCTTTCAGAATTCATCATCTCAAAGGCACCCTCTTTTCTACTTCTTCCGACCTTTAACTTATGTCTGGTCTCTGCATAAAGACGTGTTACATGGACAGAGCCGTCTCTGTCGCCTCTTCCAAATATTGAATAGCCTCCCTCCCCATATGCAAAGTGCAACTCCCCTACCCACTTTCAAAACCATGTTAAAAACAGACTTATTCAAATATCTTTTAGCAATTAGCTTTGTTATATTTCTGCTTTTATTTTGTAGTTAATACTATATCAGTATTCTATTATTTAACATGTTTTCCTATCTCTTTATGGCAAGTTGAAAATACACCTCACCAGTATTATTATTAAAACATGAAAAATGAGAAGAAACAGTTTGAGCAAATTCTGGTTAAAAGTAGAAAGATATTAATTTTTGAAGTTGAGATCAATCCAACACAAAGTGCCAACTCTGTGAAGTATCTTGCGAGTTCCCATTCGTTTGCTCTGCACTTAAAATGTTATAAACTTTCATTTTCTTTTCTATTGATGACGAAATAGATTTTTTTTTCATGGAGGGGCTGTATGGAAACATGTTTGCAATAATTATATTTAGGGTGCATGTGTGTTTATTAACTTTAAAAATGCATAACTTCCGAGTATGTTTATGAGGATTTTCTCAAACTTTCACTGACCTGTTGCTCTCATTTGTTTTTTGCTTCTATTAAAACCAACATGATATCAGGGTAGACTTCCCTATCAAGCTTTAAAATATTTGAAACATGTCACCAGGGAGTTGGAATAAATTAAAGGGCAAGTCCACTCCAAAAATAGCTTACTTTCAATAGAAGCAGAAAAAGCAGACAAACCAATATGGCTGTTAATGGATGTCATGGCTGGAGAGGGTTAAATTCCCTGTTGTTAAGCCAAGTTAATCATGAATATCTTTCCTTGGGGAAAATCTTTTGAGACTGTATCGCCATCCATTCCAACTACCTGATGTAACACAGTGAACAGGCTATTTTTATACAGTAGTTTATTAATAATATCTTTCCTGATGTTCGTAATGATATCTTAACCACATCCAGTAAATAGCAGAAAAGAATTTTTACAGCCTAGTAGACAACTTGACCACAACATGTACAGATGTACCCTAATATTGAATATACTCTTTTCCTACAGGCTAAATTAAAGCGGAACCTGGAAGTTCCTCATATCAGATACTGTAACAGTAGCAGTGGTGTATCACTCTCTTACCCTGCTGGATACGACTTTCCTCTTGATAAAACTCAACCTCCGTAAGTATGTCATTGAAATTAATTTTATATGGTGCTGTAGCTTGCATCCCAAACTCCTAGTCTAGTCTGGCTCAATACCTTTACAAATCTGTACAAGGTTCTGGATCAGTCCAATAACTTGTTAAGGAACTAAGTTGAATGTATTGTACAAATGTTGACCCCTATAAGTGTCTGGTCTTTTCTATAATTTCTGACCCCTTATAATCTTTATGCTAGAGCTCCTTACATACATACCAAACACAGTAAACACACTTCTATTCTATCAAATATTATTGGGTAATGCTTGCCCGACCACTAGGAGTCGCATGTTTGTTAGATGCGAACATTGAATTAACATTCCAAACATATTTATGTGTACACAATTTTTATTATCATATTACATTGAGTAAAGCGACATTGTCCATACAAGAAAAAGAGAGAGAGAGAGAGAGAGACAGAGAGAGAGACAGAGAGAGACAGAGAGAGAGACAGAGAGAGACAGAGAGACAGAGAAATGTTACTGAATTACAGTGAGTGAAGCACTATTTGCTTTTGAATACTGTCAGTTAGATTTCTAGGTGTCTTTAAAATGAAGGGATAGGAATTTGCAATGCTCAAGTCTGCCCATTCATGTCTAAATTACTAGTGAATGAGGTAGGCTAAGTCAACTTGTAATTGGTAACATTCAAATGAAACCACTTGATTTTAGAAGATGTTTAAAGGCTCGTTCACATACACATGTATGCTGTCATAAACCGGGATGGTTGTGTTTATAAATGAATGGTAAGTTGGGATGAGAATATTAGCTATGCACAACAAGATTTACTCCTGCCCTAATCTACATGTAATAAGATACAAAAGAGTGCAGTATTCTTTCCACTAAAGAAATTTTTTTTAAATGTGGTAAATTGTAGTGGCATATGTGAATGAGCCTTTAGTCTGGTCAAATTTCCTCTTTCTATTACATGTCTCATTATTTATCACTTACTTATATTTGTTAAATTATAATGTTCTTATTATCTATTGTTCTTGTTTTTAGGCCGATTAAAACGATCGCGAAATGTGGAGTCAGTGGTTGTCTCAATGCCAGAAAGTACTCTTGCTCAAAGACTGGTGTTCCTCTCTGCAGCTTGGAATGCTACAGGAAGAATCAGACACTAATATGTCCAACATGATAGTCACCTGTCCTTATATACATAAAGTGACATTGAGAGACTGGTTATCATTTCTTGATATGAGGAAAGCTGCCTGTCGGTGTGGATTCTGTTGATATTGACACAGAGGAGTGTTCAATTTTCGCTATTGCCAACATATTGAAAATACCTGTATGTTACGGTCCAAGTCACTTGATCACCATCTGATGATAGGAGATGAAAATCTAACAGAATCTCATAAGTGAGGAACTTGTGTTGTGGCTGAAGATAGTTGATTCATCAGTGTATTATCATAATTTCTAAAGTTACAGGTGTTATGAAATGAGCTAAATTAAGCTATATTTTACATCATGCGAAATATCTTACCGGGTACTTTTAAATTGCTTCATCTTTATTACACCTCTTTTGTTCTTGTCTTATCATGAAATACATAATTTCTTTGACCAGTCAAGTACCTATACGGCAAAGAAAATACCAGGTAAAAGGTGGAGGTGTTGTGGTCTAGTGGATATGTCACCGGACTGTAGTTAACATGGTACATTTCACTCATTTTGTATGCATAAATAATTGTATAATTCTGGTAAGTATATCAAATGAAGTAAATGTTGCAATGCAATACTTGCAAAATATTACAGAGACATTTGGAACAGCACCTAAAGTCAGAAATGAAGTTACAGGGTTCAAATCCCAGCCTGGCACTAACTTTCTTTGGCAAGATGTAAATATCTGTTGCCACTCTCCACCCAGGTGTTAAATGGGTACCTGATATGCTTGAGCAATAATTACAATGTACTCTGGCAGCTCAGCTTTAATCAGGGTAATAATATCCAAGCGCCATGAGCATCACTGCATGACGGATATGAGCGCTATATGAGTGACCATTATGTACACTATCTAAATGGTGAACTTTAAGGAACCTCGCCTCAAGAAATAACTTGAGGTATTCAGAGAAATTTATTGCATTCTTGTCCATTAATCTACAAGATCCCCCCCCCCCCCAAAAAAAAAACTTGCAAAGTGTATGAGAGAGGTATTAAGTAAGATCATCTTATCTCAGCACTACATGCGCATCGCCACTTTCTTGATAACGTGACTTACTATGCGAAGTTGTTTATCAAGTAAATGTATTTAAATTTATGGAGGCTTCCTTCCCAGGTTTGTGTGGTAATGAAGTATTTCATTCGTCTGCTATTATCCTTTGTACTACCGTTGTCAGTTCTGGGGTGAAGGTTTTGCATCCTAATAAATGAAATACATGTTGATTTTTTAACTGCTATATTTAAGTATTTTAGTATTTTTAACTAGAGGAGTTAAACAGAAGGTTGAGTTCTGGGAAGAGGTGAAAAATAATTTGTGAGCGTTCATCATTCTTATTATGCAAGTGTGGAAGAACATCAGATAACACATGTTCCCTGAAAAGCATGGCTCTTCAAATGCCTTTATATTCTAAATATGTCCGTAAAACTCAGGGGGTAGGATTTTTACGCCACGTGTTCGTGTAGTCCCATATACATCTTTCTGTGTACAGTGTTTGTAACTTTACCAAGACTTGGCCAAATTTCTTATCATTTTGATGATTCCAGAACCTTGCAATACACACAAATTCTTATATGCTAGATGATCAACCTTTTCTGGTCGATTCCACACCGTTTCTTTCACAATGCAATCGCATGACCAGAACTCAACTTCATCTTTAAATTTGCTCCCCTGTTAAATATTTTTCACCAAATATAATTTTTCATTGGAATCTTTGAATGCAAAACTTTGTTTTGTCATGTTGTTTTTTTCTTCACTATCCTGTTTTCTAACTTTTGCTGCATTTATTCAAGTCAACTTTATGCCAGGGTGGAGTTGCTCTTTAATAAGCAGAGAAAGGGTGAGAGAGATATGGAAGACAGTGATAAGGCAACAGATCAATTGATAGAGAGAGAGAGAGAGAGAGAGAGGGGGGGAGGGAGGGAGGGAGAGAGAAAGAGAGAGAGAGAGAGAGAGAGAGAGAGAGAGAGAGAGGGGGGAGGGAGGGAGGGAGGGAGGGAGGGAGGGAGAGAGAGAGAGAGAGAGAGAGAGAGAGAGAGAGGGGGGAGGGAGGGAGGGAGGGAGGGAGGGAGGGAGGAGAGAGAGAGAGAGAGAGAGAGATGTGGTAGGCCCACTTGCAAACATTTTTTTTCAGGATCACACTGATTCGCGAAGCCACTATAACTTTAGGCTACTATAACATGAACATAAGGTGCTTTTTCTGAGGGTTAAAAAAAGTGAAAATTTTAAATCTTTCTGCCTAGCTACCTATCATTTAGGTTTCATCAGGATCCTGTTCCCTTTTCATTTTCAAAATTGGCATTTCCACTCCAATGTGCAAGAAATGCATTATCTAAAGGTTAAAAATATGACAAAGATCCCACTCTTTCAGCTTTTCCCTTTTAAGTAACTGTCATAAGGATCATGCGACATGTTGCCCTTCCACTCCTCCCATTATGGACTAGGTGAACAACAAATTGTTCACTTAGTCACCGTGACAGGAATAGTTTATTGTGACCAAACAGGAGGGGGATCAGTTGAACGGTACAGCTCCAAGGAGGAAGGGGTACTTTCATTGAAATGTCATTAGAAGGGAATCAGAGAGAACAGAACCCTTACAGGAGGCAGGGCCCCCAGGGGCACATTATCCCCAAGGGAAGGGGCACATGGCTATAACAAGTGGGGCAGGTGAATAATTACCCCAAACTGTGTGTGTGTGTGGGGGGGGGGGGGCAGAGCTCTGGGTGCATTTACCCTGTAATGGGGGAAAGGAGCACAGAACTGAAAGGGGGATCCGTGCAGGGTACGGGGCTATATGGAGTTTTGCTCCAAAGGGGACAATTTGATATGAGGTATTACTATTCATAATTCAAATTGAGGGTCATTGATCATAATAGTGTGAATACAAAATGTGGGTCACTATAACGTGACAAGTGGGAGCTATTCATAAGTCATTTAGATCACTAATTATATGGGCGGGTATTAATAATACCATGAAGGTCATTATTCATAATATGAGAATAAATTCAGTATTATAAATAGCCACCCTTTTTTCTTGTTATGAATAACAATTTTCTTTTGTTATGAATGGAGACCCTTATGATCAACGATCCCGATTTTGTATACAGGAACCCTCTTTTTATATTTTGAATACCCTGTAGCAGATATATGAGCAAGATTCTTTTAAATAATGACCCTTTTCTCAAATAATGAATAGCACTCGGAATAGGGGCCCTAAGAATAATTGTCGAAATAACGAGTAAATGGTTAATTTTCGAACCGATCATTTACCAAAGATGAAAAGGGGCATTTTTGAGTAGGGGAAGGGGCTCTTTTATTAATGGGGGCAATTTTTATTAGGAAACGGGGCACTTATTAGAATGGTAAAGGGGCACATGTAAAAATATAAGGTAAGCTTATCCAAGTTAAAATGGGTGTAGTCATTAAAAAGGGAAGGGGGCACTTCTAACAAAGGAAATAGGACGTCTTGTCACAGTAAAAGAGGCACCTCTCAGATTTAAATGGGGCAATTATCAAAAGTGAAAAGGGCACTTATCAAAAATGAAAAAAGGCACTTCTTGTACCTGAAAAGGGGCACTTACTAGAAAGATTAAGAACGGCACTTATGAGAATGGAAGATGAACACTTTTTGCAAAGGAAAATGAGAACTTCGAATGAAAAGGGGCACGTGTGAAAACAAAAGGGCACTTATCAGAGGTGAAAAGGACACTTTTACAAAGGGGCACTTGTCAAAGTAAAAGGGGCACTATTCCTACGTAAAAAGGGGCACTTTTCGGGTGCTTGAAAAAGTTGGGGGGAGCACTGCGCCCCTTCTGCCCCCCCCCCCCCCAGGGAGGGCCGCCTCTGCTATGTGGGACAAGTAATATTTTTGAGCAGTCTTGCTGATATGTGAAGTTAGAAGATTCAATCATTATTGCGAGGAAAATAGTATTACGTGGGAAGTTTGAACGGAATAATATTGCGAGCGATCGAGGGAGCTAGCGAGGGAAAGAAATAATCATGAAAATTTTTTCCCCTCATGTCACCCCGTAATAATGTTTACAGACACCATACACATACATGCAATTTCCTTTTTTTTGAACGACTAACGCCACGGATCGAATGACTACAAATTTGCCCACAGGCCACATCTGCTTCAAATAATGGATTATTCACATCTGAAAGTTCCTCAACTCAAAGAGGAACTCAAACGACGGGGTTTAAAACCACACGGTCTGAAAGATCAGCTGGTAAATATTCAAACTATTCGAGATACCTTTAGTTTGACCGACTCACTAAAAAAGTTGCGGCTAGACCCCCATGCATTCTAGGAGTGGCGTGAACGAGTCGAGTGCGAACGCTGGTCAGGGCGAGGTGCAGGTGCTAGGTGCAGGTGTAGGGATAATTGTGAGATGAGGGCCAACATAGCTAGGTGCATTACTATCCTCATGATCCTGGCTGTGTATTAGTGATTCTCAACATTTCAAACACCACTGTACACAACTGATTTCACTAAAAATTGGTACTTTAGTGACGATTGAATACACCTAACGTTAGATCTAAATAGCAGTAAAATACAATTTTTTCAACTTTCCGATGTAAGAAAGAATATTAAAATTTAAAAATTCAAATTAAGAGTCCATTGTCAAACTTGCCGATCAGCCACATCGGCTTTAGTGAGATTGTGTGCAGAGACGCCAAGTCGCCAAGTTCAAAGAACAGCAATGCCTGACATTTTCATGAATCAGTGCGCGAGTGAGGGTATAACACACGTACATGTAGGTATAGCGTTTTTTCAAAATCTAGCGCGCGCGTGCGTGAGAGCAATGTGAAATGCGTGATGTCATGCCTAATGGGTGACACTTAGTAGCTCTATGTGTGCATCTGTGTGTTATGAGTGTATTGACTAATGACTATTCATGTATTCAAATGCTGCCTATTCAGCATCGGCATCAGCATCAGTACTCAGATGTGTGAGGTGATCGTTTTGAAACTTCCGGTCGTTGCATTGAGTGGTGCTTCGTTCTAATAAATCTGAACTATTTTTGCTCACATGGCGGGTGGACTTAATTTTAGGGAAGCATTTGGTGCTGAGAGCACCAGTGCTTGTCCAATCTAATCTTGAAGGAAGTGCTAGAGGTCAATACGCATTAGCATTGACTCTCTATGCGTTGCTGGAGTGAGGGCCGAGGGGTTGTGTGCCCGGACGCTTAACAAAATTGAACCCTTCTCTTTTGCCTTTGAATTTCATGAAAAGTTTGCATTAGGCTTACAGTGTACCATGGTAACTGTTTGTTCTTTATATCATCCATCAGAAGTCTTCAAAAATTTATGAAATTTTGCATGTACACTTCTTCAAATTACTGTTTTAATTCAACCTAGTCGGAGTAGTCATATCTACTCAGAGTCGGAGTACTCCAGAGTCCGGTGCTAAGCCTAGTTCAGACATATATCCATACTTTGACCCGTAATTCTGGCGTGGAGATTCCCTACTAAAACATACCAAAATCAACTAAGGCTTCATGAATTGTTCAAATAATGGTCATGATTAAAAAATTGATATGTTTTTTCATCGTGTCAATTTTCTTATTTTTTTTGGAGTATTTTTTTCTAAAAACGAAGACTTATAAATATCAGTAAGTAGGGGCGCTGGTCCGAGAACAAAGATCGTTCTCATAAGCGAGAATCGTCTTTGTAAACACGGACAGACGTGTCTGCAAAAATGAGGATTGTCCGCATTTTCGCTAGTGCTGTAGTCAAATGTTTAACCGTCCGGTATCCGACCGCCCATGGCGGATTCCGTTTTCAATTGGACGGTTTCGTTTTCCCGTTTTTTTTTTTTTTTTTTTAATAATTTTTTTTTTTTTTTTTTAATATTTTTTTCGATTTATGCCCCTCCACCTGGCACTATGCCTGGCAATGTCTCCCAGCTCAGTAATCGGTGTGATGACTTACCACTTGGAAACTAGAACAACACTCCAATTTGTCTGTCATCTTGGTTTGAAAGTAATCTTTGTAATAGATCTCAATATATATATTCATCCAAGTTTAACACATGGTGTACCACAAGGTTCTATCCTAGGTCCTCTACTGTTTTTAATTTACTTTAATGATCTTACACATTATTCTAAAACGACATTGTTACTATTATTTGTGACTAGTTCACGAGCAAAAATCGGCGCCTTCAGTTAAATCACCTTCCTGCTTTTTCACACGGCCAAAAAAAAAAAAAAAAAAATTATTTATTTTTTTTAATAATAAATCGTTTAACCGAAAACCGTCCGGTTTTGACAGGCGGTTAAACGGAATTGGAGATATCCGTGATGTTACAGCACTAATTTTCGCAGATGTTTCATATAAATTCTGATCCGCGTGTTGTTGTTGATCTTGTAGTTATGACAGTTTCAAAAAATGACCCCCAGGAATACTCTCATTTACAATGTATATATGCTTTCTAAATCCTAATCATGCATCATCTGATTTTGTTGTATTAAAGTACAAGTCTAGAGTCTACTCATGTTTGATCTACATGTACTTCATGAATTTTTACTAGGTCTAGACCAGTGTATTGATTCTGCAATGAAATTTGGGATTTGCAGGTTTTGTTTACATTGTCTGTTGATTTGCAGAGCAGGACTGTTTTTTGTTCTGCCAAATAATCTTTGCCATACTGTGTAAGTGAATTAGAACACCTGCCTACATGTAACAAATTTTGCATTAGTGAACATTTGACTCCTTGATCGATTCTTTTTTATCAAGTAGGTCTATCGTAGGTCAGTAAGGTCTATCATCTATGACTAATGATTAGTAGATCTACTCCAATAACTTGAAATATACAAGAGAGAGAGAGAGAGAACAAATATATAGATCTACAAATGCAGGAAGACCCATGAAAGCTATTAATGCACTTCTTTCACAGGTCACTTTGTCAAGGTTTGTCAATCTATTGGACACGGATTTGACTTGATTTGACATGGTTAATTAATTAATTTTTTTTAATTTTAAAAATGATTTGTGATTCAATTAATTTATTTGTATTTATTTATTTATTTATTTATATATTTTATTTATTATTATTATTATTATTATAATTGTTATTATTTTTTTATTTATTTATTTATTTTTTTTTTGGGGGGGGGGGGTTATACTTGTAATTTTTTCTAGTGTCAGTTTAGAATGAAGCTTTTTTCTTGAATCCTAATCCAAAAGTTATTTGTCATAATTCTTTCTCCAGGTCTTACGTCTGAAAGACGCAGACAACATGTTCAAGCAGAACAACCTAAATCCTGACATTGGTCAGCTGATCCGAGCTGGTCCTAACACCCCAACCAGTGGAGATGATCCATCTACACCAGAGGAACTAGAAGCCCTGAGGGAGATGAGGAAAGTAGACCGAGAGGAGAGAGCAAAGATTACTCTCTTGAGGAAACCTCTCACTACTTTGCAGTACTTTTTCCTGGAAATTTGTATCATGATTGTTGGATGGACACACAGGTACCTATCAGTTTGAGATATTTCATCAAATCAGTCACTGTTCTAAAGGTACTTTTTAACAATGCAACAAAAAAATGATAGAATTTTAAATCGTGTATACTGCCTTCTTTCTCTTCTGGAAAATGGATTGAAAAAAGTTCCATATAAAATAGTGATTGATGCCTCATGGAGACATTTTTAGGTTTATTCAACATCCTAATGTTTTTAACGTCTACTGTTTAACAGGTTAAAAGAATTTACAAAGAGCACAAAGATGAAGTGGCTGCTTTTGTTATTCACTTGCAACTAAAGTACCCTTTTCTTTAACTGGCTCACAGATTATGGTCCAACAGAAGAAAAGTAGTAGTTTTCATCCTGTGTCTTGTAACAATGGCCATCTTGTATCATCTAGAGGGTTCACATCAAGTGGTAAGTTCTGTACATCTTAATACTCACATGTATTTAGCATCAGCCATTATGCATGTTCACAGATGCTCTGGCAACAGTTGGGCAATGATCAATTTCTATCACCAACTATATTTCTAACTTCAACCCTGGAACATACACTAAGTATACCCTACTGAACCTAAATTATTTGGGTAATCAATACCGAATCCAGGGTTGATTCTTTCCGATTTTACAAAAATCAAAGGATAAATTTTGATCGCCAATGATTTGAAAGATCGAATGAGAATGGAAAAAAAATGTGCCTACAAAAAAAGGGTTTGAATTTTACAAGTTTACAGAAATCAAATACTAAGAAATATGCATTATCTTACATCAGATTATTTTGAGTTGTTGTAGACTATGTTTGTTGATGTTTAGCAGCACCTTTCATGCCTATTAGATTTAGAGAAGTTAGTCTTAGAGTAGATCTATGCTAAATATGTAAGCTGTCATTTCAGATTATAATGACAACATTTTACCCTCCCAATTTTCTGATCCGATACCGATATCTGGAGCCAAATGGGCGATTTGATCATCCAATCCAATCGTACCCTATAACTAACAACAATGAACCTAAATCCAAATTGCAACTAAAGATGTGATTTTAAAGGGGAATTAACTTCAAACTACATCTTAATTTCAGTTTGTAGGCGATTTAACCCTTACTGTACTGGGCTATTTCGAGCACTCTCTGACTGGGGGGGGGGGGGCCTCGGAGGCCCCCCCCCCCCTATGATCTCGGCCGTTGAATGTCCGATGAACGCGAAAATTTGCATGATTGTAGATATTTACGTAAGGAACAAGATGGTATAATTAGTTTTTTCCTTATATGCAAATTTTTGGCGTTATAGCCTAATTAATTATGCAAAATGCTAATTTTATGCATTTTACAGAAAACTCTACATATTTGTCCGTAGACTTGTGAAGAATCTTGAAAATGTATTGAATAAATGTTTCCTTCATCTCAAATTCATGAGGTTTCATTATTTTTATGATATTTGAAAATGCATAGGTTAATTTGCATAAATTATGAATACGCAAATTACGCATTCATGAATATCTAATCTGGTAATATACAGGGAACTAGAATCATTACAAAAATTGTCAGACTCCACTTTTGTTATGTTGAAACTCATTATTCATATGAAACTTCTTTTCTAACACAAAAAATAGTTATTTGATGTAATTAATAATGATAATTTATGCAAATTTGATGCGATTTTCAACTTTTTATTTTCTTATGTATTTCATTGTTTTTTATTTGTTATTATATCTATTGTTTTATTTCTAATGTATTCTTTTGTTCTGAAATACATCGAGTTACTTTGAGAAACATATAAAAGCAATTTGATATCAATTCATATCTTCACATTTCTGCTTGTACATGAATATATGCAATTATTGCACTTTTTTAATGACATGCGCATACTAATTGTTATGTAACACCTTACAGGTATATCCGATTTCGACGAAAATGGTATCAAAATGTGCGTAAGACTTGAAGGAAAAAAGTCATGAAACGACAATTCAAAATTCCGAGCGGTTGCGTCGCGATCTCCAAAAATGTCGAAAGGGGGGGCCTCCCAGGCCCCCCCCCCCCCAGTACAGTAAGGGTTAAAACATCATGTATTTGACAAAAGGGAGGACGTAACTCTTCTTCAGAATCCTTTGTCTTTTGCGGCTCTGAGAATTTTTAGTACGTCGCCATTATCTTTGCGCACGACCCGTTCTGTGATGTATTGCATGGATTTGACTGCTATCACATACGTAAGTTTCGCTGCTGTAAACTGTAAAATGATCACTGCAGAGTGCAGATCACATCGTTTTTCCTGTCGTACCTGCTACCTATATTTCATTGTGATTGTGTTGGTCTGGAAACCGATTAAAGAATTTCCCCTTGGTTTTCAAGGAACAATTATTAGAACCAAACACTTAGCAATACACCATGTTTGACGTGTATTGCATAGCAGCTCTCCTTGCGATACGTCACAACCCGGGAGTTTTTAAGTAAAGGGAAATTGCGACAAAATGGCAGCTTCCTTGGAGCAGACGACGTCGTAAATGTGGCGAAGTAGGGTCTCTTTATTGTACTTGCAAGACAATATTATTTGGCCTACAGCAATGCTTTTTATATCAAATGAAACGTTGTTTTACTCTCTATGTCATGATAATGCTTCATAGTCGAGAGGTTTATTCCCCTTTTAATAAGTCTTTAGCAAAATAAAACAGAGCATAAGTTGTTAAAAGTACTATTCTCTTTTTTGTACCTTCCCCCGGATTACAATGTTTACAGAGGTAAATTCAAAGCTAATGTACCAGAAATGTAGCAGAAAGAATTCTATGGCAAGACAAAGTACTTTTAGACTCCCATTCTGCTATTAGGAAATATAAATGTTTCTGCTTAGTGTCATGTTAGTCTGAGCATGTTGCTTTTATATGTACATGTAGTCTATTTTTAGAATGAGAAGTTGATTGATAGCCGATCTATATCGAATTATATCCCTACTTGATACTCACCAAAATTATTTTCTTGTTTTTATTTTAAATCATGCCTTTGAGAATAGATTGTATCATTTCTCTTTAAATGTTAATCCAATATTTATTTCCTTTTGATTGTTTGCTTAATTTACTCCATAGTATGTACAGTACTTAGAAAAAAAGACTATGTGGTGCTTATACTGGATAGGACTTGGAGTTCTGTCATCAGTAGGTCTAGGTACTGGTCTTCATACATTCCTACTCTATCTGGTAAGTACTGTTGAATCTTAAAGTAAGGATTGCTTATTCCTGTTTAGCATACATATAATACTCTTTCAGATTTTATTCTGGAATAGTTTTGACTATGTACTATTTGTCTTGATTGTGATAGTGCAGTGATTTTTGTTTTTGTTTGTTAAATTGGAAGCCTCTGTGTTATGATTGGTTTTTCAGCTACACTGTACAGGCTGTATATGAGTTACATGTATGTAGTTGAATCCAATGTAGTTGGATTCTGGTCATACTGTCATTCTGCCTTTCAGATATCCCCTTTTACATGAGTGAATAGATCATTCATTGTTAAAAGTCCCTCTTTTAAGTGATGGCAAAATATACTTAAATTGCTTTATTTAAGACACATTTCTGGAAGGATTTTCAAAAATGTTGGTGAAAGAATACAAAATTTAGGTTTTCTTAAATGACATCCTCTTTCAAATTATACAATTTACCGTAAGTGAAATTTTGCCATCAAATTTGGGGCTCCATACACATTTTGGGCTTTAATGTTATTTCATCCTTTGCAAGAACTCATCCATGTTATTCCATTAAATTCATCACTAGTATATGAAATATGACCCAAGACATTACTTGATGTTAGGGATGTTTTTACTTAAAAAATTAAAGTTGATAAAGTTGTTATTGTATGCTTTGTTGTAGGGTCCTCATATAGCCTCGGTGACATTAGCAGCATTTGAATGTCAGTCAGTAAACTTCCCAGAGCCTCCTTATCCTGACAAGTAAGTCAGTTTTCAACTACATGTACTAGTGTTGCCCCTTGCATCAAGAAACCTACATGTATCGTGTGTTCAAACCAAGTGTATATTTATTTCCATCACTCTGGTTTCTCACACATTTGTTTCTAAATGAGAAAAGATGACATTTATTGATATGGTAAAATTTAACTGTTTAATCAACACATTGAATAAGATTATAAAACAATTCATGCAGGCACAAACGAAAAATGATTTGGTCACCCCTTGATACATGAATATATGAGGATTTTCAGACATCTCATTGCCCAGAATCGTCTTGTTTTTAATATTGCGTGTGAGTTAAGTGAACGAGAGTGTTAAAATGTTTTAAAAAATAGATATAATAAGAAACCTCGCTGTTAAATAGAAGCATATTTGGGTACCTTGTTGCCCACGGGAGGTATTGAGGCACTTGGTCTGATGAAATCATTCTGTCACTCAATGTTCCGAGCAAGCCAAGCTAAGCAAGGACATTAGACAAATTGGTACCTGTGAAATGCTATTTCGTCATGAAATTACATACTTCAAGCAGCTTTGAATGTCCAGTTTACTCAAAATCAATTTTTTGATGTAACTAAATATGGTACCCTGGTTGAAAAACAGTGGTCTAATAAACCATTGATTAAAGCCACATAGTAGTCAGTGTCCATGTGTATTGCACTATAATTCGCCAACACCAGATTCGGTTGAATTATCAATTAATGTGTCTGTGTGTTCAAAGGTCTCTGAAGCAGCAAACCCGTGGTTCTGCCAGATATACTTCAAATTGCCTTCATATTTCAAGCGTAAGGGAAATTTAATATTATGATGAGAATTCCTTATGGTGGTACAAATGTAGAGTAGGGCACAGTGCATTACACAAGACCTGTCGGTCCTAACAGTGAAGTCTACTCTTAGTGACTGACAACACACGTTATTAGCCCCAAAATGGTAATACTCTGAAATATATACATGACATATTGGGATAATAGTCACTCCACAAATTCATCCTAGAAGTAGTGCTGTAACATCACGGATATCTCCAATTCCGTTTAACCGCCAGTCAAAACCGGACGGTTTTCGGTTTTGAGGGGCATAAATCGAAACTTAAAAAAATAAATAAATAAATAAATAAAAAAATAAATAAATAAATAAAAAAAAATTATTAAAAAAAAAAAAAAAAAATCGGGAAAACGAAACCGTCCAATTGAAAACGGAATCCGCCATGGGCGGTCGGATACCGGACGGTTAAACGTTTGACTACAGCACTACCTAGAAGGCTGTCATTTCTATTATTATCAAGTTAAATTTCAGATATTCTTGTTCCTCTTTAGAATTGTTTGTCCTGAATCAATTGAAGGAAGTTCAGCCATTTCTATGACGATATGGTCAGTGTTACAGAAGGTTCGTGTTGAAGCTATTATGTGGGTGAGTAGTACATTTAGGTTCATAATTCTTTTTATTTTTGCTAGATACCTATTTCCATGTCACATCAATGGATCAATGATTCTGGTCATATCAATTCAATATTTTATTGTTAAACTGGTGGATTTATTTATTTATTTTTATTTATCTTAATAATCTATTCATCTATTTATTTATTTATTTATTCATTCGTTCAGTCATTTTTTCATTCATTTGTTTGTTCGTTTGTGCGTTCCTTCGTGTATTTCTTTGTTCGTTCGATCATTCATTTATTTATTTATTTATTTTATTTTGTATGTATTTTTTTTTATTTTTTAAATTTCTTGTTACAGGGTGCAGGTACTGCTCTAGGAGAGTTACCACCATACTTCATGGCCAAAGCAGGTACGCATTGATTGTCATTTATGTAACGGACGAGCATGACTGCAAATATCCAATTATTGGATTTACTATTATGATATAAGTTATAATGATGATACATTGAATACTTTGTATCTGTTTTATTTTATATGAAACCTTGTGTATATTATCTTCTTTTTCTCTGTCTTTCTCTCTCTCTCTTTAGCTGCCATATATGTATAAGTTCATAGTCATGTTGTACATTTTACAACTTTCTGTTTCAAGCCTCCTCCATTGATCAGCATCACTCCCTGGACTTTCATTCCTCTCTCTCTCTCTCATCTGCTAAATCCATTCCAGCAGTCATGCTTGAAAAAAAATTGCATTGAATATCTTATATGTTGGAATCATTATTATTGAATTAACCTGATTCTACGAGATATTCATTTGACACCATGGGCGTCAATCCTTACGTTATACCTATTGTTCAGGGAGGGGGGGATGAATGAATAGATCATCCCCCCTGAACAATAGGTATCAATTACAGATATACGCCCATGCTTGACACAGATCAAATATAGTTTCCCCGTTGATGATCACAAGTTTTTTTGTTTTGTTAATGATTTGACAGCTCGTCTTTCTGGTGTTGAGCCCGACAGTGAGGAATACGAAGAGTTTGAAGAGATGATGGAACACAGTCAGAACAGTCAACAGGTTAGTCATGAAAATGATCATCTTTTAATCAGCTGGACAACTTATACTTTCATTATTGGAATAGGCAGTGCTAGTATTTTACTGTTTGTAAACTGTAGAACTTGTGTGTATATCACAGTATGGAAATGTCTGTACCTGTCAGTATCTCAAAAATTTTAACATTCATATCAGTAACTGAAAAGCTGAATATTCCACAGCTGTAGAACAAACAAAAAGTTTGATTTTTAAGGAAAACCATTTTGTTTAATTTAATTAATTACATTTCCACTTGAAATATTTTAATTCAATTTCTTTTTTATTGGCCAAGGAAAAGTTGCTTACTCACATTTTCCAAAAACCTAGGAGCATGAATAATTAGAGGTACCATGGTGCAGCATTCTCAAAGTCAAAATGTTAATATTGCTGTAGACATTTGCAGCAAATGGTAATTTTGCTCTTTTTGTGTTAATCACTTTGAACAGGACTTCATGACCCGAATGAAATTTGGGATTCAACGCTTGGTGCAGAGAGTGGGATTTTTTGGTATATTAGCATGTGCTTCAGTAAGTACAACACTCCACTTTATTTCTCTCCATCGCATACAATATCTAATATGCCGGATTGATTATTATCAAAATTACCCTGATTCTACAGGATATTTTTTGACACTTATATATACTTATAAATATGCAAAATAATGTGTAGATTTGTTTATTCATAATTTTTCATACTTTTTAGCATTAGTTTATTTAGATTGATAATAAGTACATACCGTAAGTGCTGGTCAAAAGTTTTGGTACACCCTGGAATTTGAGATGAGTGTTTGCTTCAATGTTGTATACATGTCCAATGTAATTAGTTTGTCTTGGCACTGACAAATGTGCTACTGGTAAGGTTTCACATTTGATGAATATTGTAAAGTATGTTTTGATGCTTCCAGATGTTATTTACTTTAAATGTGCGTAGTAGAATACCCAGCATTGATGAAGTAGGTGCTCATTTATTGATACCAATGATTTATTTTATAATCTATCTACAGATTCCTAATCCATTATTTGACCTAGCTGGTATTACCTGTGGTCATTTCTTGGTACCATTTTGGACTTTCTTTGGTGCCACACTCATCGGCAAGGCTGTCATTAAAATGAGTATCCAGGTTGGTGAAAAGCATTTCAAAGCTACCCTATTTAAATCAAAATGAAATTGTCTCAAAACAATAAAGAAAATATGTGTTTTTTATATTTATTTATTTTATACCATTTTCAACTCTGAATACAGTTTAATCTATTTTTTTGAGTTTGAAATCCTTTGCCAAAAAAATATAGAGAAAATAGCCCCAACATATATTTTTTTGCATATGAAAAATGACCAGGGTAATTATGCTAAATTTTATAAAGCCAGAATCTTTCACTACCTGAAACTTTTGTAAGGTGTTATCAATTTCTGAAAATCTGTACCACTCATGAAAAAAGGAGAGAATATGACGCAGGTTACATCAACTACTTGGTTTGACTCGAAATTCACTTGCAAATTGTTTACAGGTCTAATAAAATTATGAGGAAACAAAAATTACTTTAGATGGCAACCAAGTGATATCAAGTATTTTCAAATGATATATCGTCGGCCTCATGCCAAAAGGGCCTTAACTGCTTTTGGCCATTCCGAGATAATCGCGTTTAAAGGTTTTGGCCTCTCTAAAAATCAAAAGTTTGTGGTCGTTTTTTTTGTTTTTGAAGCCAATTTCGATAAATATGTTAAGTTATTAAGTTTTACATGAAATGTGTTAAATGTGTTATAAAATATTCTGAATTGTACATGCTATGTGCAAAAAACATGTTAAGGCCTTTTTGGCATAAGGCTTGAATGCAGCGTATTTATGCCAGAAGGGCCGTAACCTACTCGGCATTGTGCCAAAAAAGGGGCGTAACCTACGCGTCGTTATGCCAAAAGGGCGCGCATAGTACACGCGCATAGTTAGCGCCCTTCTGGCATAAGGAAATTTTCTTGTTTCGCAACACCTTTGGTTTGCCAGAAAGGCCCTCCTACGGCTATTGGATCTCGAAAAGTGATAAAACTGGTTAATTAAAATGTTTGAAAAAAGTATTTTTGATATCTGAATATTTTTATTGATATGATGCAGCTTTCGGTAAAGTTTTTTTTTTAGAGATCGTACATTTAGAACACCTTTTTCGTTGTTTATTTTTCATCACAGTCCCATACGTTGACATCTGCGTATTTCAAGGAGTCGGTCGCATTTCATGCATCCACACCTAATTTAAATCTCACTCAGATTTCATGATCTAAATTCATGACATTTACTTTCAGTGATTATTTTAAGTACATTGTGTCTATTCTAGACTAATCATGTTTTTAATGGTGTTTCTACTGATATTTATTGAATTAAATGGAAATTACGAAATAATCTGTCATTGATAAAAGATTTACCGTGTAGGTTAAGGCCCTTTTGGCGTAAGGAAAAAGATGAGATACGCGATAGGCCCTTTTGAAATTCATAATTATCTTCATAAATAAATCGAATTTCAACAAGTGAAGCACATCATTTTAAAGAGAATGATGACATCTACAAGGTGATGTTAATAACTCAATAACCCCCAAAATCGAGTTAAGGCCCTTTTGGCATAAGGCCGACGATATGTAGACATTGCTTGCAAGGTAGGAGATCAATCATGTACAACAAGCTGGAAAAATTACCTATTTACAGTTCCAATGAAAGACACACTTTGTCAGAAATGAAATGCATATATATAAATAATAATAATGGTGGGTTCTTGTATAGCGCTCATGTCAGTCAGATTTGACCCTCCCGAAAGGCGAAGCTGTCTAATTGTTTAAAAAACCAAATCTGCACTATTTGTTTGCTTTGAAACTTTTATTGTAGGGTGTCTAATTGTCTCCCTGAAGTTATTCTACTAGCAGGAGCTATTGAAGATGTGAGATATCAAATTTATTGTCCATATGAAAATGGAAAATTATCTTCCATTGGTGTTACATGCCATGAATAAAATTTGATATCACAAGATGTTTTGATTTGATAGATCAGTCTTAACCAAAGTTCCCAGGTATATTTGGTCTTTTCTTTTTTTAAATTTTCAAACAGGATTAGGTTTGGCATTATTAAGCATACTTACCTTTTTTTCCTTCTCATTTTTTCTAGACATTGTTTGTCATCATCACATTCAGTGAACATTACGTAGATTTCATGGTAGACCTGATTGGGTAAGTACTCTCATAAAGGACTGTGTGTTTATGAAATGCTTACAGTAGAAATTACATTGTTTGTGCAGAACTTAAAGATGAATTTTGCCATTTCTTTGTTTTTTACCCACAATTTAGCCACAAGTAACTTTGAAATCTGAAATGCTCCTCTCTGTGCATTGCAAAAGAACTGCACTTAACAAGATGGGGATGTTCCTAACTATTTTCTTTACACTCTTTGAAATAATATGAAATACCTACTTTCATAAAGTTGAGCATGCTTGGATAATAGGTCTAAATATTCATGTACACTTTTGAAGTTTTCAAACTTTTTATGAATTTTACAATATAGTTTACGGTATGTGATCTATATCTGCTGATGCACACACTTTATACACAAAAGAATTTGATATTTTACTATTTTATTTCAATATTAGGGGCATCCCCATGGTTGGTCCTCCTCTTCAGCGACCTTTCCGTGACCTCTTAGCCAAGCAGAAGTCCAAGTTGCATCGGAAACCAGGGGGTTCAAGCGGTGATAAGGTATGATGGAACAATAAGGGAAATTTTCCTTCATGTTTTATTTTTTAATAGTCACATCATTTTGTTTCTTGTGATGTGAAGAAGAAATAAGTCCATATTCTTTGAGCTTTTTGACTATCTCTTCAAACATAATTGTGGTGCAGTAGAGTAAAGCCTGTGAGTTTAACTTCTCATCTTGTCCTTTTTATATACAGTTGTTCTGTTGTAAAAAATGTACTTGTTTGGAAGAAATTACTTGAATGCTTTGAGCACTCTAATGGTAGCCAGGCGATATTAGTATCCGGCTTATAAAAAGTCAGTTTAGTTTACTCTTATTTGTTTTCCATTTAGTTACCCCCTTTGGGTGGTATTCTCGAAAGCGGCCTAAGTTAAACCTGGCCTAAGTTAAACCGTGGTTTAGTTAGGCCAGGCTTAACTTAGGCCGCTGACCTAAGTCATTTTCATTTCTCGAAAGGTGGCCTAACTGATCCATGGTTTAAACCTGGCCTAACTTAGTCCATGGATTATTCACCATGGTTACGGTTTCTGCACATGCTCAGTACCGAAGCTGCGACGTCACAATGCACTAAGACAATGGATGCGCGCAGTGTGGAGAGGATGCATCACCTCGATAACTTGAGCAATATGACGTCACAATGCACTAAGACAATGGCTAAGACAATAGATGCGCGCAGTGTGGAGAGGATGCATCACTTTGACAACTTGAGCAATATGACGTCCAGGGGCGGCGGAGCGACTTCCAAAGCGGGGGGCAGCACCAACAAAAAGGGCACTTGCTGGAATTGTATCATTGTTAAAAGGGAAATTATCAGAGGTGAAAAGGGTCACATATCACACCTGAAAAGGGGCATTGAACATATTTTAAAAGGGGCACTTATGAGAATGAAAAAGAGGCACTTAAAAAAAAAGGAAATGTGCATTTGTTGTTAATAGGGGCACCTCTCAAATTTAAATAGGGCAATTATCAGAGGTGAAGGGGCACTTCTTAAAAGTGAAAAAGGGGCACTTATTGCAAAGGAAAATGGAAACTTGTCAAAGGAAAAGGGGCGCGTGTCAAAATTAAAGGGGCACTTATCAGAGGTGAAAAGGGGAAGGGGCACTTTTCCTATGGAAAAAGGGGCATTTGAAAAAGGGGGCACTGTACCCCCCCCCCCCCCCCAACTCTTTCTCCCTATCTCCATCTCTCTCTCTCTCCATCTCTCTCTCTCTCTCACACACACTATCTCACATCATTGTTTATTTCTCTCACCATTAAATTGTTCTTTCTCATTTGGTTCCCTTTCTCTTTTACTCTATCTCTCTCTATCTCCCTCTCTGTTCTCTCACTGTTCTATTTCAAGACTTTTCCATGTATAATTCAATGAACCCAACAGTATGCACACTTAAAGATAAACTCCAGTACTGGTAAAAAAAAAAAAATTAATTCTCACAGAATCAAACGAAACTTACACTGAATGTTCAAGATTACAAATAAATGACATGTGCCAAACAATTTTGGAAGAAAATGTATACTGGCTGAGTAATGAGCATAGAAAGACAAGGAAACCAAGGTAGTACCATCCCCGACACGATGTGTGTTGTCCCATATATAGCTTTCTATGTGAGTGTTTGTTACTTTACCAAGACTCGGGTCAAATTTATTATGATTTTGATGACTCCAGAACCTTGCAGTGCACACCAATACTTACATGCTACATGATCAACTGTTTCTGATCCTTTCACACCTTTTCTTTCACAATGCAATCGCATTACCAGTACTAAAGTTTAGCTTTAAAATCAAAAGATATGAAAAGAATATTGTATATAACATATCAACAATTATGTTCAATTTATTTATTTGTCTTTAAAAGAGAAAAGATTGTAATTCACAATGAATACGATTATAAAATTGAAGGTCAAATATTAAGCTCCAATAGCCTCATAATCTGCTACTTGAAACTATTAGAATTAAATGTTATGTATTTGTTACATTACTTTTTCCCATTTTTTTAAAACAAAGCATAGTCTACTTTTGAGCCATGTTTCATGACTTGCACTATATTATAAAACACATCATGAAACATGATTTCTTAAATGATTCTAAATCACAATTTTTCCAGTGAAACAATGAACATCTGATGTACATAAAAACATCCTTATGAGTGATGGTTGCTTTGTGGTTCACATACACAACAAGGACATATCAGGCTTTTTATCAATGGTTGCTTGTTTGTTACCATAGCTTCATGTTATGAGGATTATAATACAAAGGTTTTGATCCCCATGCAGTCACAGTTACAGCAGATGGAGTCTGGTTCATTGAAGAGGCTAAGTAGAACTTCATAGTCCTTGCAAGTATGTCTGTTGAATGAAAAGAGAAAAGAATGAAAGGAAGCACATTGAAACCTATTTCTGTTAAACATTAAAAAGGTCTTGCATGTACATTGTGGTAAAAGTGGAGTGCATATTAATCAATCACATGAAAGTATTGATGGAAAAATGTGAATGAACAAATGCCATCCTTGAAGTACCTGGGCATACAAACAACAACTTATTCGTACAGCCTACCTGTCAGATATTCAGCAGCTCAGTAGTTCTCCTTCCTCTCTCTGAATTTGTCTCAGTTATCAGGGAATTTGAATTCATTTATTTTACTGAAGAAAAACATCATCCTGAAACAAAAATAAAAAGGTTTATACCTCATTAAAATATCAAAGATCTACTCCATTGATAATTGGTCTTAGTTATAGTGTCAATCATATTCTAACTTTAAAAAAAAACTTAAGGCGCCTTTCATGTAGGCAGTGACTAGGCACCCCCTCCCCACTCAGTTACTAGTAATCATTGATTTACAGAATGACTACCGGTTTCTCTTTTAAAGTCAAGAACAAACATACACATTCTTGCAGTACTATCTCATAAATATGCTTGCACCAAGTTGTACTTGCCATGTCATGGCCGAAGAAAGCCCTAAGTAGTTAAAGTCTATAGCCAAGTTAGTTCGTTCCCTAAAATCAAGTCTAGAGGTCTACATCTTACTTAGATAACCAGCCGACAGTTGGCCTAACCTAGATGTAAACGCAGCCTGGAATGGAGATTTTACAAGGCCCTAATCGTTAGAGCCCAACTTTTCCAATTTGGTTCAATCTAGCATTAGACCAAAGATTGTCTTTGTTTATGTTATCTCCCAAAATGAGCTTCGTGAAAGGGAAAAAGTAAAATGAAAATTTACTGCACTATACTGTACTGCAGTTTGTAGGTCTCTAAGTCTTATATGGTCCATAACTGTTAGTGGTAGGTTTGAATTTTCTTCTGACCCAAATTTGAAAGTAATTAATCAACTGTTGATTATTTGTGTCTTATTTTCAGATAGTTCCGCCCAGAAGTCTAGGCCAAGCTGTCACTGTCAGGAGTGACTGGTAGCCATGGCAATCGAGCTGAAAATATTAGCTCATGTCGATTTCAAATGAATAAAAGTTTGAGTGTAGATTGCACCTACATTCATCAGACAAAAAAATTTTAAATCACTTCATAATGTACCTGTAGACACATCTGCAGATTCATAAAATCAGCAGATCTGTTTAATAAAAATTGTATAAACATGATTTAGTTTACAAAATTTAGGCGTAATTACAGCTTTACTCACCAGCAGACTTTCCAAGAAAAATGGAGTATCTTTTTTTCCTGTTCAGGAAATAACTGGTGTTTGGCCAACTGGCTTGGAGACGCCTATGTGGGTGCAATCAATAGCACCGACCATATTAACGCCAGGGAAATGGCAGTAATTATACAATTCATGTTGGGTCTGCACTCTGCAGGACTGCCTCTCTTGTTGAAGGAATTGAGAAGTATTGCTCCCATCTCCTGGCAATGGCTATTGAGATGGACTTCACAAGGCGGGACACCGTAGCTTGGGAGAGGCCTTCTTTTTTCATCCCCATGCATCAATTGAAAAGAACCTGAAATAGCAGAAAATCAAGATGAAAAATATGTTGATATTTGATAAGATATTATAATTTCTCTTTCTCTGTAGCTTACTAATAGTATTATTAGACTAAACTACTGTAACATTATCAACAAATGTATGTCAAAAAAAGGAAGCTTCTGTCCATTTCCTTTCAATTTCTATTAGACCTGTCTAGACTAGACTCTTATTGATGAAATTTAGATCTAGGTCTAGTAATATTGTTTTAAAAAAATGATTTACTTGGGGGGGGGGGGGGGTGGTTCTGAAAATCATAATCGTCCTGTAGAAAATTATTGCACCAACAGCCACAACTACTAGCACTGCAGCTCAGGCAGAGGTGATACCAGACCGAAATTTCTGTCTCTTCGTTCGTTAAGCTATGGTCACAAATCAGAGCAGCGACCGACCGATCAGTAGCCTGCTCGGTCGCTGCTGGAATTAGGCATCGCCCAGCGATTACGTCGGTGCCCGGTCAGCGACCGCCCAGGCACCGAGCGTATTTTGGGCGGCGACTGAAAAGTGAGCAGGCGCCGCCCAAATTTTAACTCCGCGCTAAAACTTCAGCGGCGACCGAGCGATGCCCTAAAAACGAGCGGTGCCTGGGCGGCCGCCGCTCGGTGGCCGGGCAGCCGCCGGGCAGAATTGGTTAAAAACTCGCCGCTCGGCCGCCGAGCAGGCTACTTTTGGGTTATGTGACCATAGCATTAGCCTCTGATTTGGGTAGGGTCGGCTCCTGAAAGAGAGGAGCCGATGTTATGTTTAAAAACAGGTTCATTGAAACTAACATGCAATTGAAATTAACATGCCACTTAGAAATGCACTGCAGCTGTTAAGGCACAGTTCATTGTTATTCATATTATTAGATGCATACACACAATGAATGTATGCAAGGTCCTCTGTTCACTACATTATACATGTAAAAGCACATGGATATTGAGTCTGGATTAAACTACCAAAGCAACCACACGTGTTTCTGAAGGCTCCATTTTGTTTGTCTCTATACTTGCATTTATTTAGCTTAATAGTTATTACTTTCCAACCCACAAAATTCAGAGGCTAACGAACGAAAGAGACTGTATGCTAGTCCACTTTTAGGCAACAGCGTCTCAAAAATCCACTATAAAAGTAGTTTCTACGTCTAGCAATGATAGTTTTAAGGTGGTGTTAAGGTGGTATATGCGTACGAAAGTACAATAGTGCCAAGAAAAAAATTATCCGGTAAGAAATTGCTCATAATCTCAGGAAACGAAAATGTTAACCGACAATTATTTGCACGTATGGGACTGGTCTGCGAACACCATGAAACTTTACCAAGTTTCCCCAAAATGTATTCAGTTAAAAGCATTTTAGATTATCACCAGTACAGCAACATGAAAGTAACACAAATACTTTATTAGCTGGTGTAACTTTCATGAGCGCTTATCCATACAAAAGAGTGTAAATTGTTATCAAATATAGAAATTCAAATGCAAAACTTACCGTTCACTCTCCGCGGACACTCGATTTCACTAAAACGTGACGTCACGCGAAGTTAGGCCGAACTATGACGTATTTAAACCTGCCCTCTGAGCGGCCTAAAGTTAGGCCGAACTATGACGTATTTAAGCCTGGCTTATCTTTAGGCCACCTTCGAGAATAGCAAAAAAGATAGTCCATGGTTTAAACCAGGTTTAGGCCACTGATTTAACTTAGGCCGCTTTCGAGAATACCACCCTTTGTGTTTATGTGTGCTCTGTAATTATCAAGAATTGCACATACACTCGGCAAAAAAGAAAAGAAAAAAGTGAACATTTCTTATAATTAAGATTTTCAAATAAATATTAAATTTAAAGTTATCTTTCATATATCAGTATAAACATGAATGAGTGAGCATAGCCATTTACCAATAAATGAGTCTCTTAAAGAAAATTGCAAAAATGGGGCATCTGGCCATTTAAATGATGATGAGCATTTCCATCTTAAAGAGTCAAATTTATAGAATGGAAAAACAAATTGTGGGAAACACAAAAGGTGAGGCATCATGACCATGCTGGTCAAAACAATGCAGTTCTTAGACTATAGTTGACATCCAGAGCTCAATCCTCATTGTTTCTCATTCTTTGTTTTCAATTATATCTTACAGATGCACATGTTCATTAACAATCGAACAGCTATTTGTTCTATTCTGAAAATTTCTTTATCAGACCTTTTAACGGTTAAATGAAAGCACCATTCAAGCCTAAAAGTTAAAAACTTGATCTGTATTATTAATATTCATTCAATTTGATATATATTTCATTCATGGTTTATACAAAAATAAAGAACAATGTAGTGTCCACTTTATTTTGTTGCTGAGTCTACATTGTATACTTGATTTGTCTCATAAAAAGATGATTCTGAAATTGAAGTCATATTGGCAGTTTACAAGTATGAGACGTGTACATGAGACTGCTGCACATAGTATTGAGGTAACTAAAGACTGCCATTTATATATTTGATATTGTACATTGTTCTCTTGCAACAGAACAATCTGCTTGGATTCCTGTTTGAAAAGCTCATCATCGCCATGGTGATATACTTTGTCATCTCCATCGTGAACTCCCTTGCCCAGCGCTACTTGAAACGAGTCCAGGAAAAGAATCGAGAGAAGAGTCATTGATGATTACTTTATCTCTAGACTAGTCAACATTTATTGGGTAACATTGCTTATTATACAGATTATATTAATTTCTTTCTATTATAATTTTGTTGAGTGGCTGGCAGAAGGGCAATAGCACACATTCATGCTATAAAGCACATTTCTTGTAACCCCCTTCTTAGGTCTTGATTGCACAATACATTTTATACCAGTTTTATTTTTAAAAATGGCAGGGATATGTCTCTTTATCGACTAATAAAGGAGTGAAAATGAATGGTTACTACGTAGTTGGGGTAGTTTTGTATCAAATATGCACATATATGTGAAGTTACAGGCATCTTAATGCTAATGACCTTCTGCTGAAAGCAATAATGTGTCTTCATTTGGCAGCATGGTGCAACATGCTTATGCTGTCCTGCCAGCCACACAACAGTTTGGTGGTACTCACAATATATTATATTTTTCCATTCCACTTGTGCACATTTATATACAGAGTTAGGAATCCTATATCCTCGTTCCATTGGATTGTGCATAAATTTTCAATCGATTGAACTTGATTAGATTTGAATTAATCACTGATTGCAACTCTTCATAAGGCTGGGACTTGAGCATATCTTCATGCATTTTTTCATTAATTTGATCTTAATTCTATTTCCTAGGTACTAACAACTGTGATTTTTCAGATTTTCTTTTTTGCTTGATTTTTGATGAGGCACTTCTTTATTAATAACCTGGACATGAGATGAGGGCATTAGTGTGATATTATAAAGGCAGGCTGATATTCCATTTGACAACACCTATAGTGGATCTGAAAGAATTAGGTTTTGCTAATATTTTTATCTGCTAAAACAGTAACAATAATAAGAGTGAGGTGGGATTTTTTTGGTGTGATTGAACAGTAACATTGGAAGAAAGTATTGTCTTTATACTTGACTATTGTATGGGGAATAGAAAAAGATGTTTAACATCGAATTTGAAATGCAATAGACTAATGATTTATAAAGAAACATGTTAGATATGGAACATGTATGCAGCACAGGATAAAAAAATGAAAAAAATGTATCGATACAGGGCTGTCAACTTTTAGGAACTACTCTGAGGGAGATTGTGGGGGGGGGGGGGTAGGGTAGTGAGCACTAAAAATAAATTTACTCAACACTCAATAACTTGCAATGTATGGAGTTGGGCCAAAAAAAAGGTAAAGGATTTGAAATGCTACACAAGAGAGTTACATAGGAAATCATTCTACAGGTGGTACATAAGCCCCCTTTGTATATAAGTACATGTATGTATGTCTAGCAAGTAATCAGCCAGATATGTAAACAACTTCCCACCGAGTATCCCTCTAGCGCTTTCAAGTCATCATTCTCAAATTCAGAATGATGTGATTTTATCTCATTTAATAATACATGTACTTGATCACTTCACAGTCAGAAGTACATTTGTCAAATTATGAAACCTTGAATGGGAGTTGAATTACAATGTTGCATATTGCAGTTGACAATTTGTTTTCAGTCGTAAGACTGTAGTATATGGGAAAAGGCCATTTTTGTAATGTAATAAAGTTCAATGCGTATATCTTTGTTGAATGCCTGGTTACAAATTATTTAATTCATCTGTTACAAACAATTGTATTTCAATTGCCAGAATGCTGATTTCATACATTAATTATATGTGTTGTTATATATGGCAGGTCATGATGTTTGTCCAATCTAGAAACAACTAATGTATGCAATTTGCATTATTGATTATTGATATATAATGTAATAGCTGGTCACTAGGTATACATGCATACATTTGTATACATTTTGATAATGATCTATTTCTATCATAAACAATTTGGTAAGAAGATAGCATGAAAGAGTCTGCATATCAGTAGACAAGTTGACAGGTAAATGTGAGCTATAATCAAATCACATCCAGAGGAACTAAATTACCCAGTTACAAGCATTCATTCAGTGGCATAGCTACGGGAGAAGGGGAGGGGGGGGGGCAATCAAATCACATCCAGAGGAACTAAATTACCCAGTTACAAGCATTCATTCAGTGGCGTAGCTACGGGAGAAGGGGAGGGGGGGGGGGATGAGTGGATATGTCACCGGACTGTGGATCACAAGGTTCGCGGTTCAAGTCCCACCGCGGCACTAATGTCCTTTGGCAAGACATTGATCTACATTTGCCACTCTCCACCCAGGTGTTAAATGGGTACCCGGTAGGATGCGAAAGCTAATGTGGTTAGATTAGCAAGTGTGCGCTTGTAAAAAGACGCCTGGCTGGAATGCTCCCCAGGGAGTGGAGAATGTGCATACATTGTGTGCGGGTAAGCCTGAATCCTATGACCGGGGTAATAATATATACATCTGTAAAGCGCTTTGAGAGGGCCTCCGGTCCTGAAAAGCGCTATATAAGAACTAGCTATTATTATTATTAATCAAATCACATCCAGAGGAACTAAATTACCCAGTTACAAGCATTCATTCAGTGGCATAGCTACGGGAGAGGGGGAGGGGGGGGGGGGCAATCAAATCACATCCAGAGGAACTAAATTACCCAGTTACAAGCATTCATTCAGTGGCATAGCTACGGGAGAGGGGGAGGGGGGGGGGGGCAATCAAATCACATCCAGAGGAACTAAATTACCCAGTTACAAGCATTCATTCAGTGGCATAGCTACGGGAGAGGGGGAGGGGGGGGGGCAATCAAATCACATCCAGAGGAACTAAATTACCCAGTTACAAGCATTCATTCAGTGGCATAGCTACGGGAGAGGGGGAGGGGGGGGGCAATCAAATCACATCCAGAGGAACTAAATTACCCAGTTACAAGCATTCATTCAGTGGCGTAGCTACGGGAGAAGGGGAGGGGGGGGGGGCAATCAAATCACATCCAGAGGAACTAAATTACCCAGTTACAAGCATTCATTCAGTGGCATAGCTACGGGAGAGGGGGAGGGGGGGGGGGGCAATCAAATCACATCCAGAGGAACTAAATTACCCAATTACAAGCATTCATTCAGTGGCGTAGCTACGGGAGAAGGGGAGGGGGGGGGGCAATCAAATCACATCCAGAGGAACTAAATTACCCAGTTACAAGCATTCATTCAGTGGCGTAGCTATGGGAGAGGGGGAGGGGGGGGGGGAGCAATCAAATCACATCCAGAGGAACTAAATTACCCAGTTACAAGCATTCATTCAGTGGCGTAGCTACGGGAGAAGGGGAGGGGGGGGGAGCAATCAAATCACATCCAGAGGAACTAAATTACCCAGTTACAAGCATTCATTCAGTGGCGTAGCTACAGGAGAAGGGGGGGGGGGGGGGGGGGAGCAATCAAATCACATCCAGAGGAACTAAATTCCCCAGTTACAAGCATTCATTCAGTGGCATAGCTACGGGAGAGGGGGAGGGGGGGGGGGGCGGCAATCAAATCACATTCAGAGGAACTAAATTACCCCGTTACAAGCATTCAATCAGTGGCGTAGCTACGGGGGAGGGGGGAGGCAATCAAATCACATCCAGAGGAACTAAATTACCCAGTTACTAGCATTCAATCAGTGGCGTAGCTACGGGGGAGGGGGGAGGCAATCAAATCACATTCAGAGGAACTAAATTACCCAGTTACAAGCATTCAATCAGTGGCGTAGCTACGGGGGAGGGGGGAGGCAATCAAATCACATTCAGAGGAACTAAATTACCCAGTTACAAGCATTCAATCAGTGGCGTAGCTACGGGGGAGGGGGGAGGCAATCAAATCACATCCAGAGGAACTAAATTACCCAGTTACTAGCATTCAATCAGTGGCGTAGCTACGGGGGAGGGGGGAGGCAATCAAATCACATCCAGAGGAACTAAATTACCCAGTTACTAGCATTCAATCAGTGGCGTAGCTACGGGGGAGGGGGGAGGCAATCAAATCACATTCAGAGGAACTAAATTACCCAGTTACAAGCATTCAATCAGTGGCGTAGCTACGGGGGAGGGGGGAGGCAATCAAATCACATTCAGAGGAACTAAATTACCCAGTTACTAGCATTCAATCAGTGGCGTAGCTACGGGAGAGGGGGAGGGGGGAATCGAATGATAAAATAAGGGGAAAAAGAAAAAGAGGCAAGAGCAAGGAGAGAGAAGAAGGGAAAGAAAAAAGAATGTGAGATAATATAAAGAGAAAGATTGCTAGAAAACTCTTCAAAGATTATAATTTATGTGAATGAGAAATGTGTAGACAACATGATAAAGTCTTAGATGGTGGGGTGATCCGATCTGCGTCCTTGATGGATGGTACAGCAAAGATTCTTCTGTCAAGTTCTGTCCAGCTCTGCCATATGTAACATGCCTGAGTTCCGTATAGCATATATTCAGTAAGGAATGTTCATATTTCCTGTCTTAAATAACAGATCTTTTTGTGTGCTGCCATTATGTAATGGGCACAAAGCTCCCTGCAATGTAATTGTGTTTTTGTAAAGAATGAGAATATCTAATACCGGGTACCTGATTGTTATGCACAAAAAGATGCTCGACAAATATTGTCAATTTTTGTCTCGCCTGCGTAGCAAAAAGCGAGACATAGGCGCCGCTTTTCCGGTGACGGCGACGGCGGCGACTGCGTCAACATCAAAAACTTAACCTAAGGTTAAGTTTTTGAATTTTTGATATGATTTTTAAAGTATAAGTTCTTAGTCAATGAAACTTGGACTATAGGGTTATCAAGTCTCCCCAATCATGTGAGTAGAATTTCAGGTCACTAAGTTTAGGTCAAAGGTCATTTATGGTCAACAAACTTAGACTTTGTTGTGGCATCAACATCAAGATTTTCAAAATGCTTCTTCTTCGTTATTTTTCAACTGATTTTGATTCTGATCGTTTCATATGATAGGGCTAGGAGGGGGATTTAAAATTTCTACACAGAATCGTGAAATTCATTATCTATGCTAATTTATGCAAATTTATTCGAAATCACAAAAAGGCTTCTTCTTCATTTCTCGACCGATTTTGATTTGGTTTGCTTTATATCGTAGAGCTAACTTTGGTACACTAAAATTCTACACAGAATTTTGAAATTGTTCTCCATTAATTAATTATGGTAATTTATGCAAATTTATTCCAAAAATAACAAAAATTGCTTCTTTTCCCTCATTTCTTGACCGATTTTGATTTGGTTTGCCTTATCTGGTAGAGCTAAATTTGGAACACTAAACTTGTACACAGAATTGTGAGATTTTGGTTCATTGATTATTTATGGTACTTTATGCAAATGAAATGAAATTATGTCCCTTCCAGGGCATCAAATTTTTATTTTTTGACCAGTTCAAAAGTGTACCACATAAAATTTACGATATTTGTTGTTGCGAGATGCGGATGAGCGCTACGTCATTGACGTTCTGGTTTATCATATTGAATTGCGTTATGCAGGCGAGACCGCCGAGAGCATTTCCCTTGTTTGTTATCCCTATTTCCATTTTTCCCCCGTTCAATAAAATGGACATCTGATTTGCTGATTAAACAAAGTATCATCATTATTTTGGACCTCTTTTTACGTACGTTGTTATTAGATATGAACGCCAATTAATTCACCAATATCTGTGTGTTATTCAGAATCTTCCAAACATGTACACAGTATGAGAAGTGAAAAATGAGGAATATTTACTTTGATGCACAAATTCTAGGGTGAGAAAATTTACAGAAAGTGTACATTTCCAAATTTATTTGTATGTTTTATGTATATTTTGGAAAAAATCCATGTGTATTTTTGAGAAATACATCCAAGTAAGAACAATGATAATGAAATTATGTTTTGTTCCCTCTGTTGGAGTGGCAAATATATGAAACAATAGAGAATTGTTTCAGTTTTGTCAGTGTAGCCCTGTTGTAAATGTAGTAAGCAATAATCTCTTGATAGAGCAAGATCTTACTTTTGTCAATTCAGTCGGTGCCAAAACTGATTGTGTTTTCTCAGACGTTCAGATGGCAAGCTGCAGAACTAATTGTTGATAATTCATTCAATGTGATTATTGATAAACAAAGCTAATTCCATTGATGTGAACATGTGGTATTGACTTCTAATGAAAATGGCAAAAAAAAAAAAATTGTTCAATAAAAAATGATTATATTGTAATCAAAACAGATGTTGTGCTTTCATTATTGGGTTTTATTTAGGAGGTATTCACTATGTAGCTTTCAAAGTCGATGAATTAATGTTATTGTTTAACATTAACAATGCTCATTTCAATATTGTTTGGAATAGTTCTGAAACACATTTTTATTAGCTAATGGAAAGAAACGTTGTGGAATCGATCCGAAAAGGTTGATCATCTAGCATATAAATATTGGTGTGTACTGCAAGGTTATGGAATCATCAAAATGATAAGAAATTTGGCCCAGTCTTGGTAAAGATACAAGCACTGTACACAGAAAGATGTTTATGGGACTGCGCCACGTGCGTTATATCTATCAGGTCCAAATATAATTTTTTGAGAGGGGGGCGTTTCCAAAGCTGTTTTTTAAAGAAACCGAGAGAAAGTTTTAAATGGACTAGTAATTTTGTTGCTTGGAGAGGAGAGTAAAAGGGGGGAATGTATAGAGAGGGAGAGAGTGACCATTACTAACATGATTGCAAAGACCTTCAAGAAATGAGCTCAAGGGTAATATCAATACAATACTGTGTATCCTAAAGGAATAGTGTTTGGATAAAAGAGCACGTCGGAAGGAAAAAAATAAATAGATGAATTATATATGAACAGGAAGCTTATAAGCCATAGATTACAATAAAATCAACTATATGCTATTTTAGTGTCTGTCAGAGGAGTAACGCCTCACTGAAAGTTCTAAATCTAAAGCTTTGAAAAATTGAAAGTTGTTGACCAAAAAACTAGCCATCGACTTGATGACATCATCTTATTTTGAGTACACATATTCGTAATGACTGCATTAAACAAGCCAGGCTCATCACCTCGGCTATTATGTCGTCACCTTGACTGAAGCAAATTTGACCGTGTTGACCCGTAATTTGGAGGGGTGCAGAAAATAAGGTTTAAAGTTGCTTTTGTACAATACTGAAAGGGAAAATAAATATCTTTTATTCCTTCATATTTGTATTATTCGTTGATTCATTTTTCTATTTATATAAAGTTGTATTTTCATCAGATATGGTCTTTAATGAGATTATGCAATACATCATTGTAACATGTATGAGCACATTTTAACTGGTAATGGACAGCGTTATTGAAATAACCTAGGTTGATTTTTCAAAAGTTTGTGATGATGTTTAACTGTGACATGAGAGTACATTTATATCTCATCTTCCTCTGTGCAAATTACACACAGCAACAATGATGGTGACATCACCTGTTTTTGAAATAGACTTCAAGACAAGTACTTCATTTCAGGTTTTTTAATATACTCATTTTTAATGCTGAATACATTCATATATATTTTCAGATATAGATATCTATATGAATATGTACAAGTTATTAATGGAAACATTTTACAGAACTAGTACACTATCATTTTTACAAGCACACATAGAAAACACAGAAAATGCATTTATTTTACAAATCATACCCCGTTACACATAGTACTTTTGCAAAGCAGGAACACCATACTTGCTTTTCAATTCTATAATCGGGACAGAAAAACCTGCCAAATCGTATTATTTATGAATACAGTTGGAATGAGTGCCACCAGTTATATTAAATCCAAGTTGACATTAATATATACATTATCCCTTTCCATTCACCAAAGTAACTGTAATAGTACATAAGATATCCCCAATATTATATTTTGGAAATAGTTGTTCAAAGGAAAGAGTGGATATACTTTAAAATTGTGAACAATAAATAGTTATACATTCCTTTTAAACTGACATAACCCAGTAGTTTGCACCCTTCTATATAATTCCTAGATTAATTCATACACAATCATCCATTAGAAAGTCTACCACGTTTATAACAATACTTTAATATATCTTGTTCTTGCTTTTGAAGAAGAAAATAGTTGAATACCATCAATGAATACATGATTATGACCACAAAGCACATTTAATGGCAATATATTTGAATACAGTGATAGCAACATAAGATATACATTATGATATTGTCTCATCGTTACAGAGAGTTCTCCTAATACAACTTTAAATCACATTATATAATCCAAAGTATTCTAAATGCCCACTTCTTGCCGGTTTCCCCGAATCCCTTAAACCCCCATTGACCCAGCTGTGATTTATGATTACATTTTAATTTTGACAGTTTGAATCCACTTATTGTGCCCCATAAACATGTAAGACATATAACCATATTGGTAATCAAAATTGTGTAATGTAATTGTGAATATAAAAGATAAACAAGGCTACTTAAAGTACATGTGCATGTTACATATCCTGCTTTATGATTGGCTGTTAGAAATTCTCTCAGGTTGCCAGTAGTTGGAGAAAAGTTTCAATGTCCAGGAATTGGGTTGTGTTATTGGTCAGTTCATAGTCTAAATAAGATGTTCTAAATTGGCTTTATATACCTCACTTAAGAAATCCAGCCATCTGATTGGTCGAATTGCATTCATAAACTTCAACTGTTCCTGTAAAATTCTCGGTAACCATGCATAAAACATTTCAATATTTTTAATAACCATGGTTATTAAAAAAAGTTGGTCAGCCTCCATGGTTACCCCATAGGTTTACATGTTAAAAAATGGTTTGAGCGATGGAGGATGCCGTATGTGTGCGAAGGATGGTCGGTAATTTCAATACAATTGAATCTCGATCGATCTTACCGACAATTTTATCTTGCATTGTTGACATGAAGACGAAAATAAACTTCCAAAAACAAAAAACAACATCTGCCGATAGATCTTGATCTAAGTTCGTGCCAATATGCATTGCAAAAGTAAAAGAAGAGTCCGTATATGGAGCTTTTGCGAAGCATTCATCACACGCGAAGCCGGTTTCAATCCATTTTAATGTATATATTGTACAAAACTGCCATACATGTTAACAACGCGCGATGGCCGAGAGGTCTGAGGCGCTGACTTTAGAAGTATCACCTTTTGTATACGCAAGAGTTCGAATCTCATCTTCGACCAAAAAAAAAAGTATTTTTTATTTTTTATTTTTTAGTCTATTTTTTTTCGGCATATAAAAGTATTAATGACTGCTTTAATATTCGAGAAATAGTTGTTTTCATACGCTCTCGGGAAGGTTACAATTGGGCTATTCCCCTCGGCAAGCCTCGGGGAATAGCACAATTCTAACCTTCCCTTGAGCGTAATAAAACAACTATTTCTCTCAAAGCAGTCATTAATACTATATTATAACTTCATTCAGGTTGCCAGTGTGTGATTGGTGGACAGATCTTATCTCTATGAATAGGGATGTATGATCGGTCAGTGCATGTCTACTTTAAAGATTCTTTTCTATTTTTGGCTGCTAAACTTCTTTCAGGTTGCCAGTGATAAGCGGTAAATTTTGATGCAAGGAATACTTTTAGTGATGTATATGTGATTATAGTCAGTTCAGTTCAAGCTAGTCTATATACGCCTCCACTAGTGACTGACATCCCTTCAGGTTGCCAGTGACTAATAACAGTTCTGCTCAGTGAGGTCATGGTGTAATGATGTAAGATTTAAACTTGAAAAACTGGCCTAAGTAGTTCTGTTGCTGGCTGTTGAACTGTATTGAAGTTACCCCTGATTGGTTGAAAGTTTGATGTTTATAGGAAGAATATTTATAATTGGTCCATTCAGCAACCCAGAAAGTCTGTATGAAAGTTCTTGGGGTACCCAGGGGACACTCTGTTAGTCATGTGATCCACTTTCCAGTACTGATCGTCCAGGATGAAATATGAATTACCTGTATAAAACAAAATATTAAAAACAAGTAATATTAGTCTGTTGTTTCTACGTAGAGGATGGCCAAAAGACAATACCTCAAACAACTGTCAGCTATTCCATGAACTACTGGAAGCTGATAATAAGGACACTGTCTCCCACTGTTTAAGACCAGTTTCATTTAGTGCTTTGAATATCTGAACAGGCATGTTTCATTTTGCTCGTCAAAGGCTCATCAGCCCCATTATGTATGTATTAGAAATAGAAAACTTTGATTTAAAAAAAAAATTAATTACCCTTAGCTTTGGTCTTGTGGAATGGGAGTCATATTGAACAAAGTTATCTTTTATTATTTTATCACAATTATCAACTTTATCATTAGATGAAAACTCAGAAGAACAGAGATGAACAAATATGAAGAAATAACCCATATAATACTAGCCAAGAGTCAAGCCAAATCATACTGATATTTGTATTTCTTAAGTACCATTTATGAAATATCATCATAGTCCTATTTAGCTAAAACTATAATAATTTATCAGTCAACTTTAGCCACATTTTCATTATTTCTTTCTTTAAATTTGAAACACTGGGTACAATGTCACTCACTGATACTATCATGAGGATAGTACAGATCATTGCAAATACTATTTCAAATGATATTGAAAAATATTTCTGAATATTCAAATATGATTTTAAGATATGCTTCTCACCATTGTAAGTGAAAGCGGCATCCATGCGTCTTGTCGGTAGACCATTCCACAGGTTCTGGATCTGCAGTGGACCTTCCAAGATAGACCCGGTGAGGTCGCTGTAGTGCCATACCTTGCCTTTCTTGAGGAAGTATGTAGACTGGGGCCAGGAGGGACAGGACAGGGCCATGTCTATGGTCCTAGGTAGACCAAGTTCTCGGAGATGGACCTGGGTGTAGGGTGCTGTGGAATCACTTACTGTTTTGGGGTGGATGTCATAGATCCACATCCGACCAGCTGGAAAGAAACATAATTGAGCAGGAGAAATTGACATGCAGGCTTGTATATTTTCAAAGTCAGATGAATAGATTTGAATAGTGACATCTAAATAAACAGACTGACCAATAACAAAAGAAAGTGATAGACGTACTAAGTCTATCAAAGACTAAGACTAAGTCTATCAAACAAAATAAAGATAAAGAGATTGTGTTGTAAATACGCCATTAAAAAAAAACATCTATTTGATCCATAAACTGGTCAAAAGAGGAATTGAAAATAGAGAAAGAAAAGAAAGAGGAAATGACGAGTGTCGTGCCAATCGTTATCTCACAATGTGACTTGCTCGACCTAAATGAATAACACAGTTTCCCCAAAGAGGTGCACTGTAATATTAAAATAAGGGTTCTCATTGAAGAGTAGAGTGAGCAAAAAACACCCTTGAGCCTCTTTCAGCGGGCACTTTTTAAATGACTTTAATTAATTTTGAAAGTATGCCTAAATTATAACATTGCCACTTGGTCGAAACATAATTTAAATTACTCTTTCACCTCACATCTACAATAAAGAGGGAGAGTTTACATGAAGTATGCCTCACAGTTTAAAACAAAATTGCAATCATGGAACATTAAAAAAAGAAAAAAACATTCCATTTGAAATATGATTATGTACCTCTAATAAAGACAGCTTTATTATCAGTGTTCCTCTGATATACAGCAGCTATCCCAGCCGGTAGACCAGGCCATCGGTCTGATATCAGGCTACCACTGATAGGTGATAACAGATCATTAGGAGATGAAAACTGCCAGTATCTATTACCCTGTATCGAGAGTGAGAAATATGGAATTGTGTACTAAAATGTTAGATTTTATATTTAGTTGAGGTGAAATAAGTGATTCATTAGATAACAGATGTCAAACAATCGTTCCTTCAATTTCAGCAAATTTGAAATGCTGAATCAGACATTCCATTAAGACTGTCTTTGCTAACATCTTTCATAGCATGTTTCACCATTTTAAAGCCATTTTTAGATACATATCTAAAATACAATTAAGCATCTTTAGAGTCCATACTAACAAAATAATCCTTTAGGCCTACTTGATATACTTATATAATAATAAATGCAATGATATTATATACATGTAGATAATTGCTGAATACAGAGGGTACCATACATTGAATATTATTATCACTCTGCTTTAGCCAAGCTCTGTGAGCAATTAAGAAATTCTTGATATTGCACATTTTCAGTAATTAATAAATGAGTAGGCCTACTTTTTGGGGTTGAGTGAGTCATAATCTAATACTATTTTTTAAATAAATAATCCATACAGTTGAATTTGTAATATTTACTGTCATTACTTTCACTTTAACTTATTAATTTTAGTCATTTCCAGATTGGTTGGAGGGGGGGGGGGGGGCATTGATCACTGGGAAGGGTAGACCAACCTTGAAAGCATAGATTTCTCCTGCCAAAATAGCGACTGCATCAAGAGGTCTTTCCTCACAGAGGTACCTGGGTTCACTATGCTGGACGATCGGACTAGGTAGCCTCATACCGGCTGGAGAAATAGGGTCTGTCGGTGAATTCGGTAAACCTAAGAGATCAAAGAAATTATATTAATAACAAACTTGAAGAGAGTGACACAGACATCAAGGGAAAGGTTGAAAGGGTTTAAGGACATTAGAATTATCATATAGTTTATGTATATATATATATTATCACATGTCGGTAAATGTATTGGTAAATGTTACCGTCATAATGTGACATGATATATCTATACTGTATAACGTATTTCATGATTTGTTCCAACTCTTTATTTACCCATTATCATTGTATTTGGTTGAAGGATGATTATGTTACCAGAATATAATATTATTGTAGATGTAACAATTTTCTTTATTGCATAATTTTTTTGTTTTTTGTGGACTTTAAAGCCTGTCTGCACTAGTTTAGCCAGGAGGAATTAGACCACCCATCGTGGTCACTGACAGGTGGTTATCTCATCAAGTCAGCTCTCAATTAACATAAGAAAGAGAGGATCATAGGGGACCAACGGGCACCGCTTAGGCATTGTTTTATATATAGAGGAAGCAAGCTACAAGTAGTGCAGTGGGGAATTAAGGTATGCAAGATTGGGCTTTGAAATGGGCTATGTGCCCCATTGGCGGATCCAGGGGGGCCGGGGAGGGGGGAGGGGGTGCGATTTTACAAATTTTCGAGGGCAAACAAAAAATTAGTGCTCCCCCCTCCCCCACTAAGCGAATTATCGGCCGGCTATTTTGCCGCTAAATATTTTCTCATGAATTGGGCCCCCTCCCCTGCCGCCCTGGATCCACCCCCGATGTGCCCACCGTGCGATCCCCTGGATCTGCCAGTTAGTAAAGTATTGCACATTGTGTTATTTACCGTATATTGATTGAATACCAGTGACATCTGTCTCTGTAAGCGTAAAGTTGGGAATATATGGTTTGACGCATGGAGACATGATGGAGATATGATCGGAAGAGTGCCCTAACCCCAGGGCGTGGCCAATCTGATGCAACATCACTTGGAGGAGATTGATACCTGGAAGACAAAGGAAGAGGCATAAAAAGTGAGTTTAAAAAGAATCATTATAATGAGGACATTAAAAATATATTTTTAAAGCTGAAATATTTTGTTAAAGCAATAAGAGAGAGGAAGGGAGGGCAGAAAGAGGACAAAAGGTGAAATGCAATTTGTAGAAGGGGGACAGAATATATGAGAGTAGGGAAAGAGAGGGGGACAGAGGGGGAGCAGGGAGAGATGAAGACATAGATATAGAGATAGATCGATAAATAGAGGGAGAGAGAGAGAGATAGATAAAGAGAGAGAGAGAGAGGGGGAGAGGGGGTGGAGAAGGGAGACAGAAGAGTGGGGAGACAGTTTCGCAGTACAATAATCAGTTTCAAGGTGAGTTCGATGACGTTCGATAGTGATGTCAAAGAAGTACATTAAAGCTCTGTCCGTCATCACATCTATTTCACATTTCGTCAATCATTACCACGACTTAACTCGTCAACGTAGATTTTTCTTGTTGCCCTTGGATAGTTGATTAGCTCTCCAGGAGTCACCATTCGAGTGAATTAAATCGTGATTAGATTCCACCTAATACCAGATGGCTCCCATCATAATTGGTTGAGCATTATGGCATTGTATCAGCGTATACCGTAGTATCGCATCGCTTACAGAATGGCCGTGAAATTATGATAATGCATAACGTTATTTGATTGTGATAAATCCTGTCCCGACCAGATTTATTACTTTTTGTATCATCGATGTGATAATTTCCCTTTCCAACTCTTATCATGATTTCATTAAAGCTTTCTTTCATACATGAAATCGAGGTATTAAACTATTAGTAAATACTTTGTTGACAGTATGTTTTCCACGGACACAGCATGGACAGCCGTTCAGACTAGTGAGTTTTGCCGTGATCAAATAAATATATTAATGCGACTTGTGTCTGTCTATCAAATACGTACTGGTATAGTATTTCCTTTATCATATTCTGAAACTTGAATCAAATTTCGAGGGATTGTTAAAATTCACTGGCTCTTCACTTACTTGGTATATTGAATGACAATTAGTCGGCCAAATATATGATACATATAGATACGAGACAATTGAAAGTAAATAATGATAATTAATACGATGAACTGGCAAAGAAGATATCACAGTTGTTTGCAAAGTGATTCTGCCCGTTGTCATATTTCGTATCGACTTCCACCCTCTCGTCTCTTCTTTTTTCGCGCTTTTACTTACCGTCTGCGCGGTCAAATGTAAACTGTTCATCTGCGTCTACGTCGATCCTGACGACATGTTCGTACATCTCCTCGACCATGGGATGACCCACCACGCCCATCGCTCCATAAAACGGGTAATCATCTTGATGAAAACCCGAAACAAACCGAATATCGATGTCTGCCGAAGCTCGCCGGTTCACTTCCCGAAACGTCAGCGGTGTGACGTTACTCCAAAGCTGGAAGGCTCGTGCTATTTCGTTACGGTACTGGGACTTCTTGACGTTCTGTGGAAACTTGAAAATCCTGCACGATGAAATAACAATAGTAATATTAATAATAATAGCGTTCATGTCTGTCAGACTTGACACTCCTGGCGCTCCACAATAATATTATTAGCCCGGCTTCAGCATGACTGCCATTTTGATGCATTTCAAGGGATGCAATCCTACCAGGCATCCATTTATCTCACCGGGGTGGAGTGTGGCAAATGTAGATTATTGTCTTGCCAAGGTACTTTAGCGCGACGGGACTCGAACTGCGAACCATGTGGTTCACAGTCCGGTGACATAATTATCCGCTAGCCCACGATGCCTCTTTACAATTATGATTAAAAAGAAACACAAATGATTGAAGAGAATAATAAAGAGTACGCCGGTACGGTGGTTAGAGAAATCACCATTTTCACAGGTTAATCGACCCTCCCAATTAATAACACAAAACTGTTAATGTGTACGAAACGCTCTGCCATTTGACGGCAGGGAAACAACATTTCTCAACAATAATAATTGTTTGTTTGTTTGTTTGTTTTTATTTCCGAAATCCATATATACATATAAGTTTAAAAAACATACATATAAAACACATTTCAAACGATAATAAAGTAAGTAAAATGTGTAAAGTATAGACAAACGGTTGAATAGCCCATTTCAGAACCATTTTCAAAATGGTCCTGTTCTTTCATGGGGTCCAAAAGCAAAAATCATATAAATTTACATACAATATCATTTTTTATAAAAACCATAGTAATTTACCAATACACTACCCCCACCCCCCCCCCCCCGTTATCGATCCCCCTAACCTCACCACCCCGCCACCCTCTCGATACTGCCAACCCCTCCCGCTACCCCTTCCCAAGTCCTCCAGTGTATAATGATAATAATATTAACAGTAATGTTAATAATATCACTAATGGTAATAACTAAAATGATAATAACAACATCAGCAACCACAAAAATAACGATAATAATAATAACAATTAATACAATACTAATAACACTAATAATGATTATTACTACAGTAATAATATACAGCAACAACAAAAAGGACTCATAGAGAATCTAAAAATTAAGTTCTTGTATGGGAATCTTGTAGAGTCAGCATCCCTGCAATGACCGAATGATGATAGAAAAGAAAAATAATAAGCTATGCTTAGAGGAAAAACTTGATTATCATAGCGAATGCAAAAATCGAAATCTAATCTTACTAAGAAAAAGAGACATTACCAATACAACACTGATATTTTCACATATTCACGGGGTTATTCACGGGGTTTCTTTTTAAAGATTTTACACTTCCGTTATACAAGAGGGGGAAATGAACGACTCGTTTATATTATTTCTAATGACGTCACCAAAGAACTGAGATGATTTATTTAGTTAATGTACGTTTTTTAAATCTACTTGATGTCCTCTGATACGGTAGAAATGACATAACAGAAATAATTTAAACCATGAAGATTGTGATAAACGTGACGACATACATTTCCACTACGTTCCAGACGACCATATTTGGGGTCAAAAGCACTGTACGGATTGAGATGAATGACCCCAAAATTGTTGTAGGTTACATGGCAACTATTTCGTCAAAAATGTTTCCATCTTGATCTTCTGATCTTTGGAATCTGAATCATTTTCTCATCCATGATCGTGCGTTCTTTCTTTTTTTTCTCCATCTTTATCTTCATCTCTCCTCGTACTGTAAAATGTATTCAGTAAGATTTCTGATATTTCTATGACTCTTTTATATAAGTAGGCTAAACTGTTGAGGAGAGGGAGAGGAGAAGAACGTTGCTGTTTGTTTGTCGTGTATATACATTCATCTTGTACAAGAAAAAAAACCATTCATTATGTATTGCGAGATTTTTGTTGGGGGGGGGGGCTTTATGTTCGGATTGAATACCTCCATGTTCTGTGTTCATAGTTTCATCATTATGTAAATGTAGTTTGAGCGATTCAATCAAATTTAATTTAATTCAATAATGGTTTATTAATGCAATCAAAACAAGTTTGTACAAATCATTATACATGAAAAGCAGCCGCAGCTCGATCAATCATGCTTACATCTATACATTTATACAAGATAAGAAAAAGCTATTAAAAACAAGCAAAATTAATAAAAATGTCTTTCACATGTTATATGGTAAAAATTGATATTGCACAGTGATCTGATTAAGAATGAATTGCATTATTTTGAACCAGTTTGAGACTTGTATTCATCCTTTTTACGATACAATAACAGAACCATTCAACTATGATTGACTAACTTGGTCAAATAAGGTAGAGATAACGTATCTTGGGAGTTTTCGTTTAACCACATTCGAACTCCTTATGTCTTGGAAATAGCCATGTCCCATGAACATGGTGCGGAAATTCATCTTGTTCAATACAATCGGTCAATGCTTTCACAAACTACTTCTTAAAATGCGTCTGTTACATAGCATTTTTGAAATAATGAACTCGTCTATGTCGTCAACTTTCCAGTAAACTATCTTACTACATGTTATGCTGCTGCTACTACTACTACTACTACTACTACTACTACTACTACTACTACTACTACTACTACTACTGCTGCTACTACTACTACTACTACTACTACTACTACTACTACTACTACTGCTACTACTACTACTACTACTACTACTACTACTACTACTACTACTGCTGCTACTACTACTACTACTACTACTACTACTACTACTACTGCTACTACTACTACTGCTACTACTACTACTACTACTACTACTGCTACTACTACTACTACTGCTACTACTACTACTACTACTACTACTACTACTACTACTACTACTACTGCTGCTGCTGCTGCTACTACTACTACTACTGCTACTACTACTACTGCTACTACTACTACTACTACTACTACTGCTACTACTACTACTACTGCTACTACTACTACTACTGCTACTACTACTACTACTACTACTACTACTACTACTACTACTACTACTACTACTGCTGCTGCTGCTGCTGCTGCTACTACTACTACTACTACTACTACTACTACTACTACTATATTTTACTCCCTTTATTGGTTTCTAGTATCTTATATACTGGGCTTTACCTAAGCTTGGTCACTGTATTGCTCTCTTACATCATAGTGCACATTTACCACTCCCTATGGAGCATTCCAGCTAGCCGGCTTTATACGGGCGCAGACATGCTAATCAAATGACGTTCACATCTTAGCGGGTACCCTCTCAATACCTAAGTGGAGATGAGAATTGCAAATGAAATGACTTACTCAAGGACAGAGGGGGTGAAGGATTTTTCAAAGGGGGAAGGACGAAGCCAACACAAAGCGCACTGCGAGCACGAAAGCACTAGCCCTTCTGGGTGGGGTCCAGGGCATAGCATAGGGACCAACCCTCTCGAGTTTAAGCAGTTCACATCCTTCAAGATATAAACTCTCTCCTAAGGACATTTACAAAACAAAGGGTTGTCTTGGGAACCACTTCTATCTTTACGGTTAGGATCAAGGCTAGGGGCCGTCTTTTCAATTTCAAGGCAGCCGTCTTGAGTGATAGAAACTTTAATCTGTCACCCTATTTTAGTGCAAAATCAATTCTCTCTATCTATCTATTTATATATACACACATATCTCACACAAACACATGCACACACAAACTCCCTCCAAACTATCTCCAAATGAACAACTTTTATTTTTACGGATGGGGTCCAGGGGCCCGCCGTAGGGCCCCTTTGGGATGCAAGGGCAGAGCCTTTGCTGGGGTCCAAAGGGCCATGCCCATGGAAGTTCTTAAGTTTTTAACAATTTAGAACTATCAAGAAGATAATTGTAATTTTCTCTTTGAAGTACATATGGATTCTATCGTTTTATTTTAGAAAAAAATATCCTTTTCTCTCTTATAGACAATTTTATAGATTTTTCGTACTGTTATACTTTTGTCCGAAGTCTTCGTAGGCACATGTCAAGCTAACTCATCAGCAATATAATCTGTATGTGTACATTTAAGTTTTATCAGGGAGGTGTTTTAACTCACATACCCTGGTTTTATGTTCTTCTTTTTTCATTCCTCTCTCTCTCTCTCTCTCTCTCTCTCCTTTTCAACTCTCCCTCTTTCTTCTTTCCTCTTTCTTTTTTTCCTTTTTCTTCTGGCGCTCTCTCTTCTAAAAAGGTAGTGCCACGGCCTGCACCGTTCCGCCATGCACTGCGGGGAAGCTGGGGTTAATGACATATTACGTAATCCGAACACCTGATCGAGTTGATTTTTCGAAAATGGTCGCGATCGTGGTGTAACCTCAATATGCGTATAACGTGGAAATGAACATTTGAGAGAAACCTAGAACTATGGGATGGAAAATAATTAATTAATGCGTAGATCTGAACTTATCTTGACCAGCTAGGTATTGGCAGACATCTGTCTTGAATAATCCTTCATCATCTTTCATCAAGTTCTCAGACATTCTTTGACTCTTCCTTTATTTCATTTGTATTTTACTAATAAAAAAGTACATCGTATCATGATTCATACGGAGAAAGGCTGTACATAGAACGGAGTACAAAGAAAAGATAATTACTTGGCTTCCGCATGGCTTTCCTGTTGTCACGTGACACTGGTATGTGTCACCTGATTTTTAGAAGCTACAAACACAAATTCCAAAGCATGGTCTTTGCTGAGGATTGCGGAATTTTAGGAGAAAAATATCGAATAATTCTCCTGAAAGATAAACCTTGAAACAGGAGCACTATTTCATCCCCCCCCCTTTTTTTTTACCTTAGTACACAGCCTAAACTATAGCGGTGACTGATGCCGATCTATTTCAAAGATCGGCACACAGCCAACATGAGGTGAATGCTTTAACTTTTACAATAATTTCCTTCAAGACATAATTGAAATAAATAGGTCAACAACTATCTTGTCGAAATCCACTGGCTTGTTAAATTATATAATTTAATTAACATTAATTGATAGAGAGTAGCGGGTGAAGCGGTTGTTCAACCGCTCGCGAATTTTCTCTAAGCCCCCCCCCCCCCCCCCCCAA